GCCTACTATGAACTCATCAAGCAATAATCACTTATCCTGTTTAATTGGCTTCATGTCCCATTGGCTTCCACCTATGTGTTCTCTGTCCATCGTGTTGTGACAGCATCATCCCCTTGTTGTCAACACCTTACCTATGTTATCCCACTCATGTATGCAATTGTTGTTACTGTTAATCCTCTACTGTTAATTCTCCACCTGTTATATATAGTCTGCACTATGTCCCTCATTCAGTCTTGCTTGACAACGGTATAAGGATCTATACCGAAATGTTGCTTTTTACAGTATTAAAGAAGTTGTTATCCATAAAATTGTGTCTACCTTGTCATTTGTCAACTTCTAAGTAATGCCTATCAAACAATTTATACATATGGTGGTACTTTTCAGACACTGTGTTTAATGGAGAAGTCTGTAAATCAAATCTGTAATAAGCAGTGCCATAAAATAAAAATCCCCAAACAGAGAGAACTGACAGGTTGTTCCATCTAATAAATAAGTTCAAAACAAAGTAAACCCCCAAATAATGTGTATAGCTAAGGGTTAAATAAGGAAGAAAATATTATGGATGTATATTTTGTTACCTTATTACTTTTGTTGTTCTTACATGTACATATATATGCTCTCTGCCTCATGGCATTCATTCACCTGATGAAGGAGTAAGCAAATACTCTGAAATTTTGTGTTCCTCATAATAAAGAAGTGGACATTTATAAATTCTCTTTCTTATGTGTATGACCTCTAAATGCCTTTCAAAGACTTTAAGGGTTAAATAGGTCCCATTATATTATTCATAATGAGCAGCTGGAAGTAGGATTTGAGGGTTTTAAATCTTATGTTTTTTAGATACATTTGTTTTGGTTTAGTCATGTGCTACTAAACATTCCACAATTGTCCCCACCGCCTTGGACAATGTTTGTGCTGTAGTGCGGGCACAGCAGTTTATACCTGTAGTCAACGATTGTTTGTTTGTTGTTTAACGCCACACTCACCAATATTCCAGCTATATGATGGCGGTCTGTAAAATAATCGAGTCTGGACCAGACAATCCAGTGATTGACATCATGAACATCGATCCACGGAATTGGGATCGATGACATACATGTATCAACCAAGTCAGCGAGCCTGACCACCCGATCCCGTCAAGTCACCTTTTACGACAAGCATAGTCGCCTGTTACAGCAAGTATGGGTTGCTGAAGACCTATTCTACCCCGGATCTTCACGGGTCTTGTAGTCAACGAAGTAGTGACATAATTCAGCGCAATAAACAAACCCCTTCCCTTCTATTATCAGCCTATCAGGAAATAGCAGTCCAAATATTGAGTGGGCATGGCTTGCATTTTATTTCTCTATACACTTGTAAGTTCAAATAAAAATGTAAAGAATTATACAAACTCACACTAAAATTAAACGTTTCTTCCAGTTTGGTTCTAAGAGAGACACTATTTCCCAGTGCTTACAATTTCTGATATTCTGTCCACATTGGTCAGCATATACTAGTATTAATACCACATCCCTGTAGAGGCATGCTCAGTCCCACAATAGTCAGCATACACTGGTATTAATACCACATCCCTGTAGGGACGTGTTCTGTCCACATTGGTCAGCATACACTAGTATTAATACCACATCCCAGTAGAGGCGTGCTCAGTCCCATAACAGTCAGCATACACTGGTATTAATACCACATCCCAGTAGAGGCGTGCTCAGTCCCACAACAGTCAGCATACACTGGTATTAATACATCCCAGTAGAGGCATGCTCAGTCCCACAACAGTCAGCATACACTGGTATTAATACCACATCCCAGTAGAGGCGTGCTCAGTCCCACAACAGTCAACATACACTGGTATTAATACCACATCCCTGTAGAGGCATGCTCAGTCCCACAAGAGTCATCATACACTGGTATTAATACCACATCCCAGTAGAGGCATGCTCAGTCCTACAACAGTCAGCATACACTGGTATTAATACCACATCCCTGTAGAGGCATGCTCTGTCCCACAATGGTCAGCATACACTGGTATTAATACCACATCCCAGTAGAGGCGTGCTCAGTCCCACAACGGTCATCATACACTGGTATTAATACCACATCCCAGTTGAGGCATGCTCAGTCCTACAACAGTCAGCATACACTGGTATTAATACCACATCCCTGTAGAGGCGTGGTCAGTCCCACATTGGTCAGCATACACTGGTATAAATACCACATCCCTGTAGAGGCGTGCTCAGTCCCACAACAGTCAGCATACACTGGTATTAATACCACATCCCTGTAGAGGCATGCTCTGTCCCACAATGGTCAGCATACACTGGTATTAATACCACATCCCAGTAGAGGCGTGCTCAGTCCCACAACGGTCATCATACACTGGTATTAATACCACATCCCTGTAGAGGCATGCTCAGTCCCACAACAGTCAGCAAACACTGGTATTAATACCACATCCCTGTAGAGGCGTGCTAGGCCCCACAATGGTCATAGAGGCAAATAACCTGCTTCTTATACTCCAGACACCACCCGTGAGTAAAGCCTGGTTGAAGGAAATACAGTATTTCCTCCTTAATAAATACTTTTGTTTGTATAAACATTCATTTTCCAAGATAGACCTGTCTTTTCAGTCATGACTAAATCCCAAATATTCTCAAGGTGAAGGCTGTTGTGACCTGAAATGAGTGAGTAAGTGAGTATGGTTTTACGCTGCGTTTTAGAAATATTCCAGAAATATCACGGCGACGGACACCAGAATGTGGCTTCACACATTGTACTCATGTCGGGAATTGAACCCGGGTCTTCAGCAGGACAAGATAATGCTTTAACCACTAGGCTACCCGACCGCCCCGGCCTGAAATGAAGACTCGCGAAGACAAATGTACCCCTTCATAATGCTGCTATAGTCATGGATGTGAAACAGATGACTTAAACACCATATACTCCCGAAATATTTATTCTTCAAAACATTAGAAGTTTATAATAACAAAATAACTTATCATCACAGCAACATGTAAATATCAACAACAACACAATGGCAGCAATTGAGACATGCTGAGCTGAAAGTGACCAAAACACGTTGCAATATCACAGATAATGAAACACATTTGAAAAAAAACCACATGATGAACATGATTTGAGGAATGTAAAAACTAACTGGACATCACATAATGTGTTTCACATATAGTGAGAGAGTTGTGGTATTGTCACCTCCTAAGTGGCTGTAACCTTGGTGTATGAGGTCAGCAATATTCCAGTGTTCTGTAAATAGCCTAGTCTGAACCAGGAAAATGATTCTAGGAAATGTGCATGGTTTTAAAGATATCTTTGTAGAAAGTAGATTGTAACCCAAAACTTTTTTGCCTCATTCATTATAAGACCGAGGTGTACACAGGCACAAACCTACCTCCACTAATTAGTAAATCAAACAGGTAAATCACAATAAATTCTGTGAACTAATACTTTAGGCCTTATATATTATTTTAGTTGCTAAATACAAGACTGACAAAAGAACCATGCAATGAAATATAAAATGAAATGAATTCTGACAAAGGTATACAATCATACTTCTGTGATGGTGTGACCTCAAGTTTGTTTTTCATTCATTAGTCAGAGTATTAATCTGGAAGTTGAAAATTATTCTAAAAATGTTTTTCCGACCAACCATAAGAATTGTAATCCAATTTTTGAAAAAAAAAAAAAAAAATGCAAGGGCTAATTTTGTGGCCAAAAATAGTGTTACTGTTACAACACTGTGTGTAAATTATTCTTGCTTCAGACATAACCTAGAAAGGTATGGGGTTTCATGTTTAGTCAACCAACACACGGCACATGAATGATCATGTACGTACCTCCCATGCTTGGCAAGAACTTAACACAAGAATGATAGTACATGCAATTGTAGTTTTGGACACTTTCATGTACTACTTTGAACATGATGACAATGAATCAACAACAACGACCAGTATATACACGTGAGTCACATGACTGACAATGTGGATGAACAAGGTTCAAGGTCATTAGAACACAACATTCTCTGTGCACCCTGAATAACAGAGGATGGTCATCAGACCGCCATGATCAAGTTTCCAGTGAGTGTTTCCTGGACAATTAATAGATACCTGGTACCAGCATTTTGCAGGCTGTATATTTGATTTGTCATCAATATTTGAACTTGCTCGTACGATTTCACATTATTCATAACCTAAATAATAAACCTGAAAGGAGGAAAGATATGCCTGCCTATATCTAAATAGTTTGATGCTCTGCAACACAGTTACTGAAATAGTAAGCTTGTATGTATTATCGAACTATTCTCTGGAGAGACAAACATAATTTCAAACAGTCTCCTCATGGGTTAATATATGCCGAGGTGCCAGAGACTGATGGAGACAATTAGGAATATAGGGATAAGTGATGGGTACAATTAGTAATTAATAATCAATTAAAGATTTCTGTTACAATGTAAACTATAGAGCCTTTGTGTTCTAGATTGTCTTTCACAAATGAAATTGTATTCTAGAATGACAGAATACTTAACTCTATTAACATCAAAATGATAATATTTCATCAAACAAAATTACATTTTCATGTCATGAAAGCAGAAATTTCATATTTTCCACTAGCTTAAAATGAGAGCTAACAATATTGCTATTTGGTGGATATATCACTGCTAAACAACATGCATACACAAACCAGCCAGCCTTGGTGACAGTCTTCCAGGAGTGACATGGCACACCTACCGTATTCGACGTATTAAGCGCCCGGGGCGCTCTCAAAATTGGAAATAGTGGGCTCTTATTAGAATATAATTTTGGTGAGAACAAAAACAGAGTTGAAAAATTGTAAATTTCGTACAGTAGTTTATGCTGACAGCCTGAAATGATACAAAAGAAAAGTATGTACGTATCATACACGAGAGATATATTTTCTAGAATTTAATTGCCCACAATTAAGAGTGCATATAACACACAAGTGAGTATTATACACAAATCAATAAGTCTTGTGTACATTGATCAATCGGAAGGGGTGCTAATTGGGATTGTTCACTAGCAAATATATTAGCAAATATCGCCATGGGCGCTTATTAGAGCGGGGCGCTTATTACGTCGAATACGGTATGTGTTTCTCTTAAAGAGGGACTATGCTCAGGTCTGTTGGCTGGCCTGGCAAGTTTGAGTCAATTCCTTCACCATGACTGTTTTCCTGCCAACTCCATTTTACAAGTTTATCAATCAAAGGTTAATGAGTACCCTACTTACACAGTGACAGTGTCTCAAGTTGGCATAGGGCACTACATTACATCATCCACAACGGACTGACAATGGGCACTAGACATCTAAGTCTACCCCCACAGGATGACAAATGTTTCAGTACATTATTTCTCTCTCAGTTGTACATGAATGGATTGGAGTCTCTATGTCAGTGGTGATATGAGCCTGGCCCAGAGTTGTAACCATGGTGACCTTGAAAGTTTGCACGACCATGACCAGATGAATGGCTACCTCTCTGTAGAATCATGACGGGTGAAATGCCCCCTCTCGGTGAGGAGGGCAGGTGCTGATGCTGATGCATCATGGGGCCCATGTAGCCCATTTGGTTGTACCCATGCTGAAAGTGGTTTTGGTTGAACATCCCCATTCCATGATGTCCTCCTACATGTCCCATATTGCCGTGGGGAACGTAATGACCCCCGCCACCTCCTCCACCATGGCGATTCTGGTGATGGTGGTTGTGGCCATGACCTTGATAATGTCCTTGACCTCCATGAGACCCTTGACCTTGGTAGTGACCTTTCTGACTAGTGGGAGTGTTTGAGCTATGCCCCGATCCCTGGCTGCTGGTGGATGAATTGGATCGGGTGAGGGATGAGGAGCTGGAGGACTTTGTGGCATTGTCTGCCGGACCAGACTCTGCCTGGCTGTCACTGTCACCATTGTCTTTCTGGTCAGGCGTATCACAGTCTTTGCTCAGGAGCTTTGGTGTAGTTGAGTTGTTGTGCTTCAGGATGACCTTGGTTCCTGAAGATGGGGACGAGCGCTTCTGGTAGTTCGGGTACTTGTCCCAGAGCTTCAGGAGGGCTTCTCCAACACTGGGCTCAATCTCCTGGTAGAACATAAATCATACTCATTGTTTGAATTGAAACAAAAGAAACAGAGACGGGGGTTCAGAAAGTTGTTTGTGTATTTGTTGTGTAATGCAGCACTCAGCAATATTCCGGCTATATGACTGCAGTCTGTAAATAATCGAGTCTGGACAAGACAATCCAGTGATTGACATCATGAGCATTGATCCACGCAATTGGGATAAAATGACATGCATCAACCAAGTCAGCGAGTCTGACCACCTGATCCTGTTGTCACCTCTTAAGACAAGCATAGTCGCCTTTTACTGCAAGCATGGGTTGCTGAAGACATATTCTACCCCAGATCTTCACGGGGTGAGACAAGCATGGGTTGCTGAAGACTGTTCTACCCCAGATCTTCACGGTTCAGAAAGTGTGAGTGTTTGGATTAATGCTGTTTGGGACAGTATTTCAGTCATCTCACACAGCAGGTAGGTGATGATGATGAAGATGTCTGCCACATTGGCACCACCAACAAGCACAGGTATATAGAGGACCCAAGAACCATAATGTCAGAATTCTTAGAATCAAACTCACTTCCTGCCTGGGATTGATGTAGTATCAAGGCATAAAGAGTCTTGAAAGAAGCAATTGCAAGGTCAAATTCATACTGAGACATCATTACCTTAATTCCTGATTGCATCCAAAAACCATATACAGTGATCGCTCGCTATTGCGCTCTTCGATAAAGCGCTACTTCGGTTATTACGCGCGGTAACGCATGGCTCCCAAAATTTATGTACACTTTTAATACTGAGAGTTTTACACAGACATGATTGTATTGTTGTTCGTTGTTTATTTGCACATAATGCTTCTCATTGCATAATCAACGGTTTATCGCTGAATGGAGTTATAATAATCTATTTGAAAATATCCGCGGCAAGTCCTGGAAATACGATTGTTCAACTAGTTAACTTTTCACACTATACATCCTTTGATCTTAGAAGCGCATGCATGCAATAAAAGAGAACCACAAGTGAAGTTTATATTCTTAATTAGTGGGCAATCCAATTTAAGGCTAAACTGTCACACACATGTAGTTGCTGTCACAACACGGTGGTCATTCATTTCGTAATCTCGCTTTCGTAACATCGCCTGTTTTTTCCCCGTAGTTATAACAAGCGATTTCATTGGATTAAAATTTGTTTCTAATGACGCTTTCTTGCCGAAATCTGCTACAAGTTTCGTGATTGGTCAATTTTGAGCACGTGACCTCAGGCAGCCAATCAAGCTTTGATACAAAGCTCGTGTTTGATAAATTTCAGAAGTTAGCGAAAGATTTTTTGTTAAATCGTGTTATTCTGAACGTTTTAAGCAGGAAATCACGATATATATTAAAAATATGGAACTTCGCGAATGTATCGTGCTAGGTTACGAGCTGTGACAAAGATTTTTCATGCATATATTTTTGCATTAAACGTTGTGTCCGAGCAGAGAATTCAAGGCGACGAAAGCCGAGATGTCATTTGACTTACATTACACGCGATCGCACGAAACGATGGAAATAATAACTTAGATGTAAGTTTGATTACTTTTAGATATATTTTTGTTGATTTTATTTATCACTTTGTATAATATATTTAAAGATTTGCTTAAAATAGTCTTTATTTTGCTCTTTGACATGTTCGATGCGGACCCGTTGTCGAAATGTGTGTCCGTGAATTTTATTTTCAATAACATCGCGGGAAATAGTGCATAATTTTTTAATTTATTGATAAAAAATGATAAATTAGAATGGAATACGTATTTCAGACATTGTGAAATATGACAGATTTAATAAATGAATGATATTACAGGTAGATCTAGGTCAATAAAAATATATACTATTTTGACGTGACGTGAGATAAACACATAGGCCTATTGATGATTTGAGATTTGCCGAGCGCGCTCCCCCGCCTCGGCCTCGGTTAAACGGCTCATCGTCTATAACGCCCACCAATTATTTGGACCCCATTGGTAGCGCAATAGCGAGCGATCACTGTACATTGAAATACGGCATTATAGATGCAAGTTGGATGCTTACTTTTTATTGATAGTATTTCATCCAGTGTGTATTTGTACATGGCAAACAGGGTGTCACTATTGTAGTCAGAACTTTCGATTCCTGAGATGATGGTGATCAAGACACATTCATATCTTCACTGACCTTAAGACAGCTGATAATAACTACAGTATACTAAGTATAGGAAATCATTGTACAAGAACCTCCTGGTGTGGGAAATGCCAGTTAATGTAATCTGTACCTGGCCGTCCCTGCTGACCTGGACCTTCTTGCTCTCGTTCCAGGGGTTGGTCAGATGGTGTGTGCTCTGGAAGGGGATCATTGCCCTGCAACATACACAGTACAGCTTAGGAGCAGAACAGGTCAGATAGTCACACCAACTACCAGGAAGCTAACCCTGGCTTATAGGAGGACAAAGAGCAAGGAATCTGTGATAGGAGGTGAGCAAGGAAGGGGATCATTGCCCTGCAACATACACAGTACAGCTTAGGAGCAGGACAGGTCAGATAGTCACACCAACTAGCAGAACATAGAGCAAGGAATCTGTGATAGGAGGAGAGCAAGGAAGGGGATCTTTGCCTTGCAACATACACAGTACAGCTTAGGAGCAGAACAGGTCAGATAGTCATACCAACTAGCAGGAAGCTAACCCTGGCTTATAGGAGGACAAAGAGCAAGGAATCTGTGATAGGAGGAGAGCAAGGAAGGGGATCTTTGCCTTGCAACATACACAGTACAGCTTAGGAGCAGGACAGGTCAGATAGTCACACCAACTAGCAGAACATAGAGCAAGGAATCTGTGATAGGAGGAGAGCAAGGAAGGGGATCTTTGCCTTGCAACATACACAGTACAGCTTAGGAGCAGGACAGGTCAGATAGTCACACCAACTAGCAGAACATAGAGCAAGGAATCTGTGATAGGAGGAGAGCAAGGAAGGGGATCTTTGCCTTGCAACATACACAGTACAGCTTAGGAGCAGAACAGGTCAGATAGTCATACCAACTAGCAGGAAGCTAACCCTGGCTTATAGGAGGACAAAGAGCAAGGAATCTGTGATAGGAGGAGAGCAAGGAAGGGGATCTTTGCCTTGCAACATACACAGTACAGCTTAGGAGCAGGACAGGTCAGATAGTCACACCAACTAGCAGAACATAGAGCAAGGAATCTGTGATAGGAGGAGAGCAAGGAAGGGGATCTTTGCCTTGCAACATACACAGTACAGCTTAGGAGCAGAACAGGTCAGATAGTCATACCAACTAGCAGGAAGCTAACCCTGGCTTATAGGAGGACAAAGAGCAAGGAATCTGTGATAGGAGGACAGCAAGGAAGGGGATCATTGCCCTGCAACATACACAGTACAGCTCAGGAGCAGAACAGGTCAGATAGTCATACCAACCAGCAGGAAGCTAACCCTGGCTTACAGGAGGACAAAGAGCAAGGAATCTGTGATAGGAGGTGAGCAAGGAAGGGGATCTTTGCCTTGCAACATACACAGTACAGCTTAGGAGCAGAACAGGTCAGATAGTCACACCAACTAGCAGGAAGCTAACCCTGGCTTACAGGAGGACAAAGAGCAAGAAATCTGTGATAGGAGGTGAGCGAGGAAGGGGATCTTTGCCTTGCAACATACACAGTACAGCTTAGGAACAGGACAGGTCAGATAGTCACACCAACTAGCAGAACATAGAGCAAGGAATCTGTGATAGGAGGAGAGCAAGGAAGGGGATCTTTGCCTTGCAACATACACAGTACAGCTTACGAGCAGGACAGGTCAGATAGTCACACCAACTAGCAGAACATAGAGCAAGGAATCTGTGATAGGAGGAGAGCAAGGAAGGGGATCTTTGCCTTGCAACATACACAGTACAGCTTACGAGCAGGACAGGTCAGATAGTCACACCAACCAGCAGGAAGCTAACCCTGGCTTACAGGAGAACATAGAGCAAGGAATCTGTGATAGGAGGTGAGCAAGGAAGGGGATCATTGCCTTGCAACATACACAGTACAGCTTAGGAGCAGGACAGGTCAGATAGTCACACCAACTAGCAGGAAGCTTACCCTGGCTTACAGGAGAACATAGAGCAAGGAATCTGTGATAGGAGGAGAGCAATACATATGGTTTATTGTCACATATGGGTCTTGAACACACTTCCAATAGATGAAGAGTCTGCTTGTGAAAAACAACCAAATTTATCACTGCCAGAAAAGAATATTGCTCAATGTAAGGGTATACCTGAATACAATATGACAGGCTGAGACTAGTCCTATAGACAGAACACAAATTTTCATGGTGTAAGGGAGATATAATTTTTAAGTCTGTGATAACTACCAGGAGTAAACAAAATTGTACAAAGGAGGTTGAAAATGTCCAAATGAAATGTCATTTCAACAGTGCATATCTTCGTACATAAAGATATGGACGGGCAAAGTACATTCTACTTGCTGAAGTAACCAAAGGACCAGTACAAATTACAGTAGATTTTCTAACATACATCCATAAAATGACCATAAATGACTTGATTGAGTCTTATTTTTTTCATACATTTCATGTACAAGTAAAAATAAGTACGTGCCAAATATCAATGGACAAAGAATAGTAAAGGCTTACCTCTTGACCCATTCAATGGCAAAGTTACCACTAAGGCCAGGTGAAATAAAATCTTGTGATTTGTCCTTTCGGATTTCAGACAGCATCTTGGCATAACCCTGGAAGTGACCGCTGCCTTGTATGGAGAAAATCAGGTAGACCGTCTTGCCATCCTACAATAAGAAACATACTGACTTTACACAGAACAGACATCGCCACAGTACAGTGAACTAGCCTGAACAGTCTCCAGCATAGCCCTCACAACAAATACTGACTTCATACAGAACAGACATCACCACTGTACTGTGAACTATCCTGGAAGGTCTTTAACATAGCCCTTATACTCAGGGCTGTTCCAGTAAATACAGTACTTATATATGTCAGCAACTATATGAGCCAACTGGGTAGTCTGGCAGTCATAAGTAGGAGAAAAGCCTCAACTGACCTGGAATGCCTTGTTGAGTTTCTTCTCATTGCTGACGGACGTGGCCCACAACCCCTTCTGCAGGGAGATGTCGAGGTTCTTCTGGTTGTTACACTTCATCACAAACAACCTGCAAGGGTGGGAGCTGTTCCCCCCAGGGTCCCGCTCCGCCCACTTAGAGGGGGAGGAGGGCTGGGGGGAAGGGCAGGGGGTGCTGCCGGCGCTGCCCTTCAAGCTGTTGGCGCTGCTGTTGCTGGCTGAGTTGCTGTGGACGGAGGATGTCTCCAGTCTGTCTTCACTGGTCTTGCTGCCTTCTGGAACAGAGAGGGAAACATGCATGGTTCTACGGGCTCTGTTGGTGTTCTATGCAAATAATGCCTATTCTAACATGAATTTTGAAATTACTCGATTCTCATTGGTCAATCAGAGCTATCAAATCACAAACAAGAGTCATCAGGAGATGACACATCCCCCCATTCTGGTGCAATTCAGAAATGGAGTTTGGCTACTTATACCCCACTTTTTTGCACCACCATTGGATACGTTCAGTTCAGTTACAAAAAAATAATGCTGTTCAGTATTTTTCAACATCCCTCGTTTTCAGTATAATTCCAACTTGTCATGAAAACATACAAAAATTCAAACAAGAGTCATCAGAGGATGACAAATCCCCCCTGCACCACAAATTCGAAGTCCAAATTGATGGGAGAATTACTATCTTATCTGTTTGTCCGTATACAAGAGTAGTTATTGAGATATCAATACCATGGAGTTGGGATTCGGAACTTTCCATTTTTATGTCAGGTACACGACAATACGAGTCAAAGTCAAAATGGTTGCCATGGAAACAGGAATTTTAATACATCTTAATTTTTTTTAATTTGTAAATAGCAAAAGGCACCACTTCAGCCCCTGATTAATGCACAAGTTTGGATGAAAAATGTTGAATAGTTTTTTTAGTTCTGCTCTCGAAACGACATCTACACCTAAGTCTACTTGTTTCAATGGAAACAGGAAAAAATCCAATTTTAAATTCCAAAATAGCAAAAGGCACCATTTCAGCCCTTGGTTAATACACGTACTCGGTATGGATAATAAGTCTTTCACAGTTTTCAAGTTGTGCTCCGGAAATGAAATCCACCCCTGACTTTTGAGAGTAAGTCCAAATTCTTTTAATGGAAATCAAGATAAATAAAACTGCCACAAAATCTGTAAACAGCAAAAGGCACCAAATCAGGATCTACCGGTATTTGATATATCTGCCAAGTTTTGTTGAAAGATATTGAATGTTTATTTTAGCTGTGCTCCTGAAAGGGAAATCCACCCCCTAATGAGACAAAGTACAAATTGTTTCCATGGAAATCGAGAAAAATAAAAATGCAAACAAATCTGTAAATAGCAAAAGGCACAGCTTCAGGATCTGTTTGACATATCTGCCAATTTTTGTTGAAAAATATTGAACCGTTTTCAAGCTCCAGAATAAAAATGATTATGGACTGACAGACGGATGGAAATTCTGATTGCTATATCACCCCCTTTTACAAAAAAAAGGAGGATAAAAAAAACCTCTGATCTAATTGGTTGGTTGGTTGGTTTGTTGTTTAACGCCGCACTCAGCAATATTCCAGCTATATGACGGCGGTCTGTAAATAATCGAGTCTGGACCAGACAATCCAGTGATTAATATAATGAGCATCGATCCACGCAATTGGGATCGATGACATGCATCAACCAAGTCAGCGAACCTGACCACCCGATCCCGTTAGTCGCCTTTTACGACAAGCATAGTCGCCTTTTACGGCAAGCATGGGTTGCTGAAGACCTATTCTACCCCGGAATCTTCACGGAGCCCTCTGATCTAAACAACATCACAGCAGAAGCTAATATTAATAGAAAAGCACTTCTTTCTCAGTCATTGTAGGTTTGCATTTTTAATTACATTTAGAAACGATAGAAATTGACTAACAGTGTATTTCAAGTTTTAGGGACCACAGAGATTTGGCGCTTTTATAAAGGCAACATTGATGTTCTATTTTCTGCGTCACAACGAGCATTATGACATTATTGCAGTGACATGCGTTGTGGAATGAAACATTGCAAGGCTTGCTTAGTTTACTTGGTGGGAGGGATTATATCTACAGGTAACCTAGCTCTAATGAAAATACATGTTTATCTCCTAATTAGGTGAATAAAAAGAACAGCTTATCTACTGGACTCCAGGAAATGACACACACATAAATTAAGGATTTAACACTGCAAATAACCACATCTCTGGCTTAAAACAACTTTCAATCAATCATTTTACACTGTGAGTGAATTATTCTGTGATTAGATTACAACACATATATCATAAACCTGAATAAGAAAATGTTTACTAATACACAGATTTCAGCCCATGCTGTTCTATAAATGTGTTGACAGTGAAACAGTGGACATCTTACTGAGGTTGATTTCCTTTCTCTTGGGTGGAGTTGCTGGGTATCTGCGGATGTTGTACTTGCTCTGGTTGTCATCGGCCTCGATGTAGCCTCGACTGCTGCCTGTCGTCATCATGGACTCTGCCGCTATATAAACAACACAACAACAGCAGGGATAGATAAACGACAGCAGGGATCCATGTTTATCGTAATGCCAAGCATGTGCTGCAATACGATTGGTCAATAAATGTTCTGATTCCCTGTAAATCTGGACTGTTTCTTGACATGTATGAATGTTGGCATGGTGACATGAATACTGTATTCCTTCATATATTGAATTTGTCTGATATTTATCTGAAGAAATTCACTTCAGTTAATAATTCATTGTTTCTCTGTCTTGATCTAGGTAGGTCTTGTCCTCCATGACATCCAACCATTCAAAACTGACATCATGTGTTCCCAGGTGTTTGAGTTCATATTGAAAGAGTGAGTGAGTGAGTGAGTGAGTGAGTGAGTGAGTGAGTGAGTGAGTGAGTGAGTGAGTGAGTGAGTGAGTGAGTGAGTGAGTGAGTGACCTAGTGAGTGAGTGAGTGAGTGAGTGAGAGTGAGTGAGTATGGTTTTACGTCTCTTTTAGGAATATTCCAGCAATATCACAACAGGGGGACACCAGAAATGGGCTTCAGTTATTCATATTCAAAGAGAGTGCAACTGAAAGGTGTTGATTTGAACAATATAGTTGTGGTTATTCAGTCATAATGCTTATCTCTTTATTCAACAGGTGCCATACATCTGCTTAGATTTGACTTTGTTGCATGTGTTGTTAGATGGCGCGGTCTGCAATATTCCAGCTAGCTGTGATTCATGTACATCATGGCAGGGTTGTTAGTGCAGTATGTAACAAACAAGAAAGTTATCAGTAAAACACCTTTGAACAACCCAAAGCCCTGTGTGATGACAAGTCAATATGAAAATCGTTTATAGGGAGCAGTACAAAGATGCGATTACCACAGCTATGTCCCAGCTATATCCCAGTGACCAGCAGTCTTGACCAGAGGTTCATGTTATTAGCACTGTCCTATACTGCCCCGCATGTTGACACTGTGTCCACCAAGTCACCCACCCTGGCCACACGTTCCATAAAGTCGACTCTTTATGTCTTATATTAAAAAGTCAGCACAGGGTACTAGGGACCTATTTGAACCCAGAATCCCAGTGCCCATACTATTTAGACTCTTTGTAAGACTTACACATAGGTCTGGGTCTTTGTCCAATACCAGCTGGACCTATTTGAAACCAGAATCCCAGTGCCCATACTATGTAGACTCTTTGTAGGACTTACACATAGGTCTGGGTCTTTGTCCAATACCAGCTGGACCTATTTGAAACCAGAATCCCAGTGCCCATACTATGTAGACTCTTTGTAGGACTTACACATAGGTCTGGGTCTTTGTCCAATACCAGCTGGTTGCTGCAGACCCTGAGACTGCTCCTCATTGGTGAGGACATTTATCACAGCTCGTACGACGGCCTGCAACACAGAATCTGGGGGTAACTCGAGTCACTTGGGACGTCATTGCCAGATTGATACAGTGTCTAACTGTAGCAATACACCAAGAGTGAACAACATCAACATGGTTAACTACCTGTGTCACCTGTATTCATCAAAATATTTTGCATTTTGTCAACAAGAAAACAGAATTATTACTATCACCCGCCAAGCTGATTTTCTAAAAGCATGAACTGCACACATGATGCACAAAATCTAAATCATGTAGCAAGGGATGTAACTCTTGATAAAAATAATTTATGGCACCAATTTTCACATTCGTGACCAACTCGTGTGATTCCGGGACAAGCTGAATAGCGGCTTGTGCCCCTCTCATTGCCACTGGGTTCCGTCTAAGCACAAACAGGCATAGCTAAAAGAATTGTCAACTCTTACATACTATACAGCATGATAGAACACATTTAACTGTATCTTGGATATATTTTTTTATGCAAGACAAAAACATATCCCTGAGAGATTCTTGAAGTCATATGTGCAGTCGTATTTTCGCACATGATATAGATCGATAGGGGGACGAGTTTTCTTGTAGGTTACAGAAAGGGGAGAAGTAGTGACGATTGCAATTTTCAAATTCAGTCTTGACAAGCATCTCTTAGATAAGCATGCAAACTTTTATTCATGTAATTTCAGTAGTTTCCGAAAAACAAAACATTTCACGCAGTATGTGCTACCCATGGAGCATGGGCCTTAACATTAAAAATCAATTTAAGACACCATTCTCTTTCAGATTAAATCCTCCTTGGGGCACTTATTGCATTTTCCTGGCTCAAGAAAATCTACATGACATAGTTGTAACCATTTTCCTTAATAAAAATTGTTACCACACAAAAAACTTTGTTTTTGTATGATATACGTCCACCCTTATGGTGCCTCACCCTCCACGGCGCGTCACGCCAAGGGAAGCAACTCTCACCCAAATCACTTTCCTTATGTCATCTGACAAAGACAGACGTGCTGTTTTTTTCAAGACAAAATAAAGACAAGATAATAACGTTCGTACAAGAACCATGGCAGACCAAAATGTATGTATGGTACATTTCTTTCATGCAAAGGCGTAATACCTCGCATTGTAAAGTTATAAAGTTGTAATTATGTGACACGTGTACGATACCTTTGAAATGAAGGCCATCGTAGCGTCCATTTTGTAGTGCCACGTATGATATATGTAACACCAGGGCCATCAAAAACGGCTTCGGTTTTTTAATCTATATCATCGGGCTTTAGCCTACAATCTTTTCCTTTAAATAAACCCAAGGTGGTGTGTTAATTATTTTAAATTACACTTACCTTTTTTACGGGTTTTCTACACCTTCGCGCGTAACACGCCCACTTTGGTGTTATATTTATACTACGACATTGGCTATTAGTATCGCGTTACCAATCGCATTCTAAATTACGCCTTTGCTTCTAGTTACACAATTTATGCACGTATCTTTCCGATCTTTCAATCGCACTGATACACTTTATTACCCTTCCCGCCAAACTAAAAAATTACGGTCTTTTTTACAGACCTTCAAACTGTGTACGGGGTGCTCGGCTTCGATTCCCCCCCAAGACAGGCATGATACTTGCATAAAGTGTTTGGCAGAAGACGGGCATGACGATGGGTCATGCCCGATCTGTGTTGCATTCACACCACGGGCGCAGAAAAAGAGAAATGTGGACCTCTTACACTTTAAGGGTCTATTGAAGGCGGGGGTGGACATTAGATCGGCAAAGACCGCCCCGCCCCCCTCAAAAAAAGTAAGAAAGGGTAAAAAGGCAGCTGAGACTGTCTCCTCCGCTCCCTCCCCGGGGGCCGGGGGAGAAGGCTCTAGGGTCCCCGTCACAATCACTGCACCCTCTCCTGCACCGTCTTTGGCAGACATCTCTGCCTTGTTGAGGTCGCAGATGGCGTCGATGATGGAGGAGGTAAAGTCTCAGCTCCGAGAGGAGTTGCGGACCGAGCCTTCCCCGTTGTCGGCGCCGGACGCGGCTTCGAGACCTTGTGATATGCCCGGCGTCGGCCGAGGCAGGCCACTTGGTCTCGGGGACGAACTCAGACCGGGCTTCGGCGCCGGCTCGAGGTCGCTCCCCAGCGGTGGGCTGGCGGGCACTGGCCCGTTCACTACCGACGCACAGTTCTCCCTAGCGGAGCCAGACGCCTCTTCCGAGGCCGAGGCTTCCTCTAGCGGATTTCTAGCCCAGAGCCAGGTGGGTTCCCTTGAACCCCCGGCACCTCGGGACCGGGACTCGGCTTCGGGCCGGGTGCAGCCCGGGGATGCGAAGGCCCAGGCCTTCGGGCGTCCCCTTCCGACTTCGTCTGCCTCTTCTCTCGGGGAAGAGTCGATTAATTTCGGCTCGGAATCGAGAGAGGAGGAGTGGATGGAGGAGGGGGGAGACGACTCGGAGACCTCGGGAATATTTTCCTTCGTTTCCTCGTTGAGGCATGTACGGGACAAGATTGTCCAGGTACTGCCTCAGGTGGCTGCGCCCATGCCCCAGTCGGATCCGACTGAGTTCTGCCTTCCGGGGGACGCTTTTGCTCCGAGCAAGGCGCCCCAGGTGCGGCTCCGTATTCTGTCTTCATTGGTGCATGAAGTCATCAACCCTCTGTTGTCGGGTGCCCGCAGGAAGTTCGACCTGCCCGAACTTATTAAGCGGTACCCGTTAGCAGAGGATGGTGATTTTGAGGTACCGGTGGTGGACGAATGCGTCTGGACCTCCGTTACCCTGGGGGGGTCTTCGACCCCCAACTTGGCTAAGGTCAAGCAGGGCCGGCGGTTGCCACCCTTTCCCGCGTGCGGTACGGAGCTGAAGGCTGCTTACGTTTGCTTCGAGGAGCAATATCGTAACGCATGTCAGAAGCTCTGGGTGTCCGTACACTCCGCTTATCGTCGGCCGTACAGAGGGAGTTAGCGGGAGAGGGGCCGGCCGACTCTTCGGAGTTGGCCGCGCAACTTACGGAGGTACATAGTCATCTTGCGAGGGACGCTATTCGTAGCTGTGCCTCGCAGATGATGTGCGCAGTCATGGGCATGCGCAGGCTGTGGATGTCGGTATCCAAATACTCGGCTTCCACACGCCAGGATCTACTTGCTTTGCCTTATAAGATGGGTGCCACCCTCTTCCCTGGGGCTCAGCAGGTGGTCCGAGAGGCCGCACAGTTGTATGCCTCCATCAAGGATTCTAAGGCCTTGTTGGAGGTACCATGCGTTAAACCGCGTAAGCGGACCTCTCCACTTGCTTCCTCCTACGCTGACGCGCCGGGTCAGAAGTCTGCACCTGCTTGGAAGCAGCCGCTTCCTTCAGGTAAGGGCGCCGGGAGGAGCAAGAGAGGCAGGGGCCGGGGCAGGGCAGCTGGTCGAGGCCAGCAGCCTTTTCGCGGGGCCGGGAACCCATCGGGTTCCCATTAGCGCCCGAAGCGCCCCGGGCGGACCCACGGTCGCATGTTTTCGAACTGCCGACAGCCAGGGTCCGCTGCCTCAAGCCGGATGTCCCCGTAGGCGGCCGACTGGCTCTATTCCTGCAGGAATGGGAGACAGTCACATCCAATCCCTGGACCCTGTCCACTCTAAGGGATGGCCATTTGCCTCGGTGGAAACATCATCCGCCCCCCTTCTCCAGGATAAAGCACACTCCGGTGCCTGCTACCCTGGAGAGGGCGGAATTCCTCCGTGCCGAGGTCGACGCACTTCTTATGAAGGCTGCGATCGAACCGGTTCCCGTGGGACAGGAAAGCGAGGGCTTCTACTCGACATATTTCCTAGTCACCAAAAAAGACGGAGGGTTCAGGCCTATTCTCAATCTGAGAAGGCTGAACAAACTTATAGAGGTACCGTCCTTCAGGATGGAGACACTGCGCTCGGTGATCTCAGCTGTCGAGACCGGAGAATGGCTAACGTCAATAGACCTAAAAGATGCCTATCTCCACGTACCCATACACCCCGAGTTCAAGAAATACCTCAGGTTTTCTTTCGACGGGAGGTGTTATCAGTTCAGGGTTCTACCATTCGGGATCGCTACGGCCCCAAGGGTGTTCACCAAGCTGATGTTGATTCCCGCCCAAGTGGCCAGGTCACAAGGTCGGTTCTGCCATCCGTACCTCGACGACTGGTTACTAAGAGCTCTATCGCAATCCCTGAGTCAGATAGCTACACAACAAGTGATAGATATTCTGATCACTCTAGGGTGGATAGTCAATCTCAAGAAGTCAGATCTGAGCCCTACTCAGAATCTAGTCTTCCTAGGGGCGAATTTCAACACGGTGAGCGGACTTGTATCTCTGTCACAAGATCGCATTACCAAGGTCAGAAGTGTTACTTCCCAGTTCCTTCTGTCCGCCAGTCACACTGCTCGTACATGGCTCCAGTTACTGGGCAACATGGCGGCGACAGTGGATGTGGTTTGGCGGGCGCGCTTGAGAATGAGACCCATTCAACAAGCGCTCCGTCGACTTTGGTTGAACTCGGAAGATCTCGAGACTGTTCTCGAGACTCCGCAGTGGCTCAATGCACACCTTCAGTGGTGGACCGAGGTCGGGAATCTGTCCCGGGGGCTCCCCCTCGACACTCCCGTGCCGTCTCTCACAGTTCAAACAGACGCGTCACTCTCCGGCTGGGGAGGCGTTCTGAACGATCACACTGCCTCGGGACTATGGTCCCAGCAGGAGATCAAACTGCATATCAATGTGCTAGAACTGAGAGCGGTCAGGTTGGTGTTCCAACGCTTCCTGGATCTGCTTCATGGCCAAGTGGTGCGTCTAGAGATGGACAACCAAACGGCGATGACTTACATCCGGAAGCAGGGGGGAACGGTGTCTCCGTCGCTTCTCCAAGAGACGTGGCAGTTCCTCCTATGGTGCGACTCACACGTTATCAGGGTGCTACCTGTTTATCTCCCGGGGGTCCACTCTAAGGGATGGCCATTTGCCTCGGTGGAAACATCATCCGCCCCCCTTCTCCGGGATAAAGCACACTCCGGTGCCTGCTACCCTGGAGAGGGCGGAATTCCTCCGTGCCGAGGTCGACGCACTTCTTATGAAGGCTGCGATCGAACCGGTTCCCGTGGGACAGGAAAGCGAGGGCTTCTACTCGACATATTTCCTAGTCACCAAAAAAGACGGAGGGTTCAGGCCTATTCTCAATCTGAGAAGGCTGAACAAACTTATAGAGGTACCGTCCTTCAGGATGGAGACACTGCGCTCGGTGATCTCAGCTGTCGAGACCGGAGAATGGCTAACGTCAATAGACCTAAAAGATGCCTATCTCCACGTACCCATACACCCCGAGTTCAAGAAATACCTCAGGTTTTCTTTCGACGGGAGGTGTTATCAGTTCAGGGTTCTACCATTCGGGATCGCTACAGCCCCAAGGGTGTTCACCAAGCTGATGTTGATTCCCGCCCAAGTGGCCAGGTCACAAGGTCGGTTCTGCCATCCGTACCTCGACGACTGGTTACTAAGAGCTCTATCGCAATCCCTGAGTCAGATAGCTACACAACAAGTGATAGATATTCTGATCACTCTAGGGTGGATAGTCAATCTCAAGAAGTCAGATCTGAGCCCTACTCAGAATCTAGTCTTCCTAGGGGCGAATTTCAACACGGTGAGCGGACTTGTATCTCTGTCACAAGATCGCATTACCAAGGTCAGAAGTGTTACTTCCCAGTTCCTTCTGTCCGCCAGTCACACTGCTCGTACATGGCTCCAGTTACTGGGCAACATGGCGGCGACAGTGGATGTGGTTTGGCGGGCGCGCTTGAGAATGAGACCCATTCAACAAGCGCTCCGTCGACTTTGGTTGAACTCGGAAGATCTCGAGACTGTTCTCGAGACTCCGCAGTGGCTCAATGCACACCTTCAGTGGTGGACCGAGGTCGGGAATCTGTCCCGGGGGCTCCCCCTCGACACTCCCGTGCCGTCTCTCACAGTTCAAACAGACGCGTCACTCTCCGGCTGGGGAGGCGTTCTGAACGATCACACTGCCTCGGGACTATGGTCCCAGCAGGAGATCAAACTGCATATCAATGTGCTAGAACTGAGAGCGGTCAGGTTGGTGTTCCAACGCTTCCTGGATCTGCTTCATGGCCAAGTGGTGCGTCTAGAGATGGACAACCAAACAGCGATGACTTACATCCGGAAGCAGGGGGGAACGGTGTCTCCGTCGCTTCTCCAAGAGACGTGGCAGTTCCTCCTATGGTGCGACTCACACGTTATCAGGGTGCTACCTGTTTATCTCCCGGGGGTAGACAACGTCCGTGCGGACGCTCTGTCTCGCCGGATCCTCGCTCCTCACGAGTGGAGGCTCGACCCGGGGATATTCGGGATTATCTCCCAGTTATACGGGTCGTTCCAGGTGGATCTGTTTGCGTCTGGGGTGAATCACCAGACACCAACGTTCTGCTCCCGAGTCCCCGACCCGAGGTCGGTGGCACCGGACGCCTTCCAGCTAGATTGGACGGACAGAATACTGTGGGCATTCCCCCCAGTACCTCTGATTTCCAAGGTCCTGTCTCAGCTAGCCACTCAGCCTGCGCGACTACTTGTGCTCCTGGCACCCCTTTGGTCGGCGCAGAGTTGGTTTCCAGTCATACTCAGGTTTCTGGCTCAGCCTCCTGTTCTATTACCTTTACGACCGGACCTCCTATCCCAGAACGAGGCCCTCCACCCGAATCCCAGGATTCAGTGGGTGGCTTGGCCACTGTCCGGAATCGCCTCCAGGAGAGCGGTATTCCTGCACGAGTTGCAGACACAATACTGGCTTCGCGGAGGGATTCGACAAACGTTCAGTACGAGGATAGATGGGCCTGCTATGCGCGCTGGTGTGTTGATAGAAGGATTGCAGATCCCTTTTCTGCAGATCTCGTAGCCGTACTTGAGTTCCTCCAGTCGTGACTAGATGTCGGCCTGGCCGCATCGACAGTCCGGGGGTACTCTACAGCTATCGCTGCCTTTCACGTCCCCGTCGACGGGGCACTTTTGGGTGCGCACCCATTAGTGCAGCGTTTTTTAGCAGGTGTGGACAGGATCCGACCGCCTGTCCGGCGGATCAGTCCCCCTTGGGAATTGTCAATCGTTCTTGATTGGCTGTCCGGTCCTTCTTTTCGGGATCTGTCGTCTCTCTCTCTTCAGCTGTTGAGCTGGAAGACGGCGTTCCTTGTGGCGGTAACGTCCGGCAGACGGGTAGGCGACATTCACGCAATGTCAGCCGATCCCGTACTAACTGTCTTTCACCGGGACAGGGTCAGTATTCGCCTGCCGGACTCTTACCGTCCTTAGGTCGCACACGCCTTCCACGTGACGGCTCCTATTGAGCTACCTGCTCTTTCACAGCCTTCCTCGTCGGGGACCACTACAAGACATGCTCATGTCTTGGATGTCCGCAGGACCCTTAAGTCCTATATCAGCAGAACTAAGGGTATCCGTAAGGATAATCAACTATTTTGCTGTTATGGCGGTAGGAAGGCTGGCTCACCTGCGAGCAAACAAACTATCTCGCGGTGGATAGTCTCTACTATATGTACGGCGTACACGCTTCAAGGCAGGGACCCCCCTACCAAGTTGAAGGCTCATTCGGTTAGAGCAGTGGCTACGACACAAGCGTATGCTGCGGCTCTGCCCATTGAGGAGATCTGCTCCGCGGCTATTTGGAGCCAGCCGAGCACGTTCATCAAACATTACCAACTCGACAAACACTCAAGCGAGCGTGCTCGGTTTGGTCAGTCAGTTCTCCGAACTGGGCAAAGTTCTACATCTCTAGCCGATTGAGCCTTCGAGATTTTAGACCGCCCGGACCGGTTATAACACTGCTCAGTAACGGTCCGGATTTTATCTTCTACGGTCGATACAATACAAGCCATTACTAGTCGATAATCATCGTAATTGCACATGCACTCCTTCGATTACGGGGACCCTCTGGCCTAGCTCTGTGCGGGTTTATAGTCTCTCGTGATCTGTGCCCCCAATATCACTTGTTCAAAAAAGTGGGTGGGGTGGGGGTTGTGTGTGTCTCGAGTTCTCGATATGATAAGCCACAAAGAATGTCTCTTTTCATTGTGTATGGTCGATAACGCCCTGTCTCCAGCCCCCGCCTTTCGACGGTGGTGCCTCACGATAAGGTTGGTTCCATTTATTGAACTCTTGTTTATTCATTGAAATAATCAAAATACGATGTATTTTATGCACGCTTGTTGCTGACGGATGCCACTTCCTAGATTATCTTTAGGAGTCTATCTTGATGCAATAAGTGCCCCAAGGAGGATTTAATCTGAAAGAGAATTTTACAAACCTGTAGAGGTTATGAATTCTCTGATGAAATCCTCCTTGGGGCACGGCCACCCGCCTCCCCACATTCCGTCAGCATTAGACATATGGAAAGTGATTTGGGTGAGAGTTGCTTCCCTTGGCGTGACGCGCCGTGGAGGGTGAGGCACCATAAGGGTGGACGTATATCATACAAAAACAAAGTTTTTTGTGTGGTAACAATTTTTATTAAGGAAAATGGTTACAACTATGTCATGTAGATTTTCTTGAGCCAGGAAAATGCAATAAGTGCCCCAAGGAGGATTTCATCAGAGAATTCATAACCTCTACAGGTTTGTAAAAAAATTTTAAGTCATTTGAGCACATCATGATCATGATCAGTAGCATTACAGAGTAAAATTTCTTTTCTCTAACTTTAATAGTTTTTGAGAAAATTTGTCCCTATTGATGAAACGGATGGAAGGACGGATGAATTGCATTCCGAACATCGTGGCAGAGAATAATTACAGGAAAGTCTATGTAAAGACATAAAGTTTATTGTGCAATCTTAAATACTGTCTATATGGTTCCATTAGAAATCACAATATATTTCAATGATGTATTGAAAATTTCCAATAAATGAGTCCTACTTCATAATTGATATTCTCTCAAAGATTTCAATTTCTTGTTACCCGAATGTTTATATTTTTTTTAATTTACCTCATCCATTTGCGACCATGGTTTGGACGGAGCTTTCATCCTCCTCTGGAATAGACTGTGCCACTTCTGTCTCAGCTGCAGCACCAAGTTGGCCGACTGTGGAACAAAGTTTGTCAGTACTTGTTAGTAGGCACTCCAGTCAGACAGAGTCCATGTTTATAAGTACCTGCCTTGTCAGCATGATGTCCCACTTTGAAATGCTACATGCTTATTCTTCACAGACCGGTCGACAGGCGAGTGTATCCTGCCCCCAACTCCAGTAGATGGACACACTGGCAGTACAACTGACCCCTTCCCCCCCAGCCAGGCGAGTGTATCCTGCCCCCAACTCCAGTAGATGGACACACTGGCAGTACAACTGACCCCTTCCCCCCCCCAGCCAGGCGAGTGTATTCTGCCCCACACTCCAGTAGATGGACACACTGGCAGTACAACTACAACTGACCCCCCCAGCCAGGTGTGCTCTCTCTTCCCCCCCCCCCCCCCTCAGCCAGGCGAGTGTATCCTGCCCCACACTCCAGTAGATGGACACACTGGCAGTACAACTGACCCCCCCACCCCCCCCAGCCAGGCGAGTGTATCCTGGCCCCCACTCCAGTAGATGGACACACTGGCAGTACAACTGACCTCCCCAGCCAGGTGTGCTCACCTCCTTGTCCAGCCGGAAACACAGCCAGTCGTCCAACTGCAGGGTGGATTTCTTCAGGTCCTCCTTGTCCTCCCCCTCACTGTCGCTGCTGTTGTCAGCGTACATGCCGTCACCCGCCTCACCTGGAGTGCAAATGGGATTACAAAGGTAGGTATTTAATGCCATAATCTTGATGACCTTTGTTCAGGTGAGCTAAGACAAGATACCATAGTATGGACCTGATGAGTCCCTTATTTATCCATCATTTGACTCCTGAACTTCTAGAAACTAAACTGGATGGCCCAGGTCACTATATACAATGTTATTGTTACTAGGAAACTGCAATATGACTAACCTGATGGCAGATAAGACATGTTTTGCTCCCTTGACAATAGCAAGGTAAGGTGAAATTGGGCTTAACGTCACATCCAAGATCATTGCACTTATATAGCGACGTGCTAATTCCCTACTCAGACACAGTATACTGACTCCGAGCCGACCAGTCCTTGTTTTAGCCCCTTAATGCCAAGCACCAGACAGGGTAACAACAAGTACCATCTTTTAATGTCTTTTGGTATGACGCGGCCAGGGATCGAACCACCAGGAGACCATGGAGGCGGTCTTGACAATAGTGAGTGAGTGAGCTGGATTAAACGCCACTGTACAGTATTCCAGTAGTATTTTGACATGTCAGCTTAATGTGGGTGTCCCTTGATGATAGCCCACTGTAATTTGAGAAGTGGTAATCTGTTCATAATGTGAACATGTACAGTAGAATGTAATTTATACTTTCCACCTACGGTCATGGATGCCCTCTGCCTCCCTAATGGCTTCCGGCGGCAGCTTGGATGGACCAGCAAAGATGGCCACAGCGACAGCTGACAGGACTGTGCAGCACTTGGCACTGGCCATCTTGTTGAAGCGGGTCATTTCCTCATAGATCAACCAATCCCCTTGGAGCATGCGGACAGACTTGGCATGGGTGGAGGCCACATTCACCCACTCAGTTGTGGGGGCAGGGCTTAGAACAGAGCTGCTGTGGAAACGCACCTTGGACTCTTTCCTAGAACAGTAACACACTTGCTTGAAAGCAATTCCCTAAACAAGAAAGTAAAATACAGTGTTAGAGAAAGTGTAGTGAGTGAGTATGGGTTTACGCCGCTTTTAGGAATATTCCAGCAATATCACAGCAGGGGACACCAGAAATGGGCTTCACACATTGTACCCATGTCGGGAATCGAACCCAGGTCTTCGACGTGACGAGTCAACGCTTTAACCACTAGGCTACCCCACGGTCCCTAGAGTAAGTGTAAGGGGAGTAACTGATACATCATAGTGGTCACTGTGATATCCAGGCAAAGTCGTACTCCGCAGCAATTGTAACCAAAGTTGCCTTTTGCGGGTGAACTGAGGTGTAATGTCACGATAAATGCCTCTGTCATGATAAATGCCTCTGAAAACAAGCTTTGGTACTGGAGACATATGGATCTCCATACAGTGGTACGATGAAGCCTTTCAGCTATAAAATAATAAACATTTCCTTACTTGTGCTGCTCTCAACAAATTGTTTGAAACACACGGAAGTCAAACATGAAATGTATCACCATCAAATATATGTTTGTAGAAAGAGAGCAAATTCCTATTGCCTCCTAATGTGATATCCTTGCTTACTGAGTGACGACAACGTTCCTGTTCCGGTCCACACATGCAATGTTGGGGTACATGCCAGCACACAGGGCAGCCTTCACCACAGCCCAGTTCTCCGAGTTGGTGTTCAAGTCCCGGATGTCACCGCCGCCCCGAGCTCGTACAAACCCTGAGGCTCTCAGCTGACCCAACAACTGAGTTCTGTAACATGAATATCAGGAATAAGAACACCCATCATTCAGCAAGGTATAATAATTCTAACTTCAATATCAACTCAGTTTGACTTAATATTACTCCGAACACTGATGCACATTGTCTTCATCTTACTCCTTAAAGTATTTTGGTGATAAGGTTTCAAGCCAAGGTGACATCATTTGCTTGTCACAATTGTCAAAACAGACACAGAGATTTGTACAGAAAATCATAGTCAAGGTGAACTAAAAATATTAACACATATGGGTGCACCCTTTTATCTAAACAATTCAGATAGGTACAGCTGTCATCTGACAATCCATAGTGTTGTGTAACACTGCTTTCCCTAACAATGGTTGAGTAGTATAACAAGTGAGCAGATTACCTCATGCCAGCCACAGCACTGTGTAACACTGCTATCCCTAACAATAGTTGAGTAATATAACAAGTGAGCAGATTACCTCATGCCAGCCACAGCACTGTGTAACACTGCTACCCCTAACAATAGTTGAGTAGTATTACAAGTGAGCAGATTACCTCATGCCAGCCACAGCATTGTGTAACACTGCTATCCCTAACAATAGTTGAGTAGTATAACAAGTGAGCAGATTACCTCACCCAGCCTCAGCACTGTGTAACACTGCTATCCCTAACAATGGTTGAGTAGTATTACAAGTGAGCAGTTTACCTCACCCAGCCACAGCACTGTGTAACACTGCTATCCCTAACAATGATTCAGTAGCATAACAAGTGGTTTACCTCATGCCAACTATCATCTCCATGCTGGCCGAGGAGAGGAAGTTCCTGTCACAAAAGGATCTCTCCCAACCCTCTGTCCGAGCCTTCTGCCATGCCTGGAGACAGACAATATCTGCATGTTAGCTACATACACACCATACATAACACAAGTACCTACAATACGTGCATATACTTCAGCCTTATGAGTTTCAGACAAATAAGAAATTGATTTGCACTGAGAATATAGAACCACATGTGACTCAGAGTATCATATGTCAAGAGTATTTTGGATCCCTGCAGTAAAGATATAATCTCCGCCAAAATACAAAATTTAAGTATCTAATGTCCAAGTCTAAGATACAACTGCTCCAAAACAACAGGCTGTGACAGTATGACCTCAGTTACTGAACGTCCCCAGAGCCAAGTTTCTCACTAGACATCTCCAACTACAATACCTGGAAAGCTCGGAGGAGAGCCATGTGGTCACTGAATGTTCCTGAAGCGAACTTTCTCCGTGCCATAGCTGCAGACCTCTTCTGGTGAGGCTGTGAGGGGAGGGTGACTGCAACAAAGTGACACAGCATGAAATCTGTGTAGAGTATATGGACGAAAGATCTTGAGCATATACAGCGCCATATTTTGTTTTAAGGCTGTTGTCGGTGATTCCGTAATTCGAATGGACAACCCTCCCATATAATGGGCTCAACCCATGCTGCTTCACTCAATATAAGAAATACATATATATACAACTTACACCTGATTTTTTCATATGACAATAGGTCCCGTAGGATCCGGGGTAGAATAGGTCTTCAGCAACCCATGCTTGCCGTAAAAAGGCGACTATGCTTGTCGTAAGAGGTGACTAACGGGATCGGTTTACAGTGTGTTGTTAGAACAGTATGTGAATTAATAGAAAAACAAATGATGTTTGAACATCTCAAATCAAACTTAATAGGACTGTAAATTGGCCCAAGTCCTAAATGGATTGGGTGGGCAGCTGATTGATGCATGTCATCATAACCTGATGTCGGGGAGCCTTGCTCAATATATCAATCAACAGACAGTCTGGTCCAGACTCGATTATTTATAGGCGGCCATCATAAAGCTGAGTGCAGCGTTAAACAACAAACAAACAAACAAACCAAAAAGGTGGTGCTGAGAAACCACTGATCAAAATTGGAGAGAATCTGAGATTTGAAACCCTACTTGGACAACTGGGACACTACTGCCCCCTGTTTAACTATTGACTAAGCTGAGTACCCACATGGGTCCTTGTAAGCCAGAGCGCAGACAATGGTGAGGATAGGGTCAAGACACTTGAGCACCACCGAGTACAGAACCATCTTGCCCAGACGGGGCTCCACAGGGAGGTCAGTCAGATGGTGGCCTAGCTCCGTCAGATCCTCCCACGTGTCCAGTGCATCCATTTGCTGAAACAGCAGGTGAAGAAACTACAGTGATGTATAGGAACTAGGTAGGCCAGGAAACTCTGTTTCTGATGGGATATTCATGAGTCAACAATCTGTTATTAAGTCAACAAAGTTTCAGAATGTAATAAAGTATTTCAGAAAGAAGAAGAATTTAAGACTGAAGTAATGTGTAATGAAATGTCCCTTTTGACATATAGCAAAACTAATGCAATCTCAAGTCTAGCACGTCCACGGATAAAGAAAGGGATTTATGACAGCTAAGGTCCCTTTTTGGAGCAGCGATAGAAACTAACTGTCTTAGTCCACCCTTAACAATAATTTCTACTAGTCCTCATGTTACCCATCTTCCCGAGGCAAGGGAGTTAACTGACTATAAAAGTCCAGTTTCAACATTTGCCGAACTAGGCTGGAATTATGGAGTTATATTTTGGTTGAACTAGCGAGTCTATGCATAGTCCAATCAAGAACGAAATCGACATGCAGGTCGTAAACATGGCAACTGCCGTGCAGATTTTTGCCGATTGCGGGATTTGCAGAGCTTGTGTACCATCAACTGGGTGTTGACAGATATTTCCAATTATTTTCATGTTTTTACTCAAGGTGCCAAAAGTGATATGATGCACTTCGCAGGGTAAAACCCGTTTTATGGCAATAAATATCTTGAATATTGATCAGATTGTCTTGACTGGGTGCAAACATTTTGCTTGTAGCAAATGCAAGTAACATATTAGGTGAGGAATCTGATTGGTCAACAGGAAAGACATAGAAGGGACACTGGTGGCACTTTGATCGAGCCACGAAGTTCCAGCCTAGTTCAGCAAGGATCCTGGAAACTGGACTTTTACAGCCAAATAACTCCCTTGCCTCATGCAGATGTATGATACCTTAACTATTGGGCCGTTTGGCAAGGACTACAGGACCAGTGTGTGCCAATTTCTAACACTGTGTTACCAAGTCCCAAACCCAATTCTAAAATGTGAACTTGATTTGATGTATTTGATGTAATGATGTCACAATGCCATTAGCCTTAACATCATCTAAGCGACAGGCCTGACAGTTAATGCATATACAATCCAGGGGTGGCTTGAGGCAGGCTTACCTTTAGGAGTTGGACTGCGTTCCTCGTGATGAGAAAAGATGGAGGTTCGGGACACTTGGCGAGGAAGTCAGCGATGCTCATGTTGACAGGGGCCAACAGCTTGGTGAAGAGGCACAACTCCTGGAAGTCAATGAACACATCAGCATGACAGACATACAGCAAGCCAGGGTTATGTATTGTTTGTTTGCTGTTTAACCCCACACTCAACAATATTCCAGCTATATGATGGCGGTCTGTAAATAATCAAATCTGGACCAGACAATCCAGTGATTGACATCATGAGCATCGATCCACGCACATTGAAATACAATAACATGCTTCAACCAAGTCAGCGAGCCTGACCACCCAATCCCGCGAGTCGCCTCTCATGACAAGCATAGTCGCCTTTTTACGACAAGTATGGGTTGCTGAAGACCTCTTCTACATGTTCTATGCCGGATGTTCACAGGGAAATGTAAACTTGTGACAATCACAACAGAGTGTGATAAATGAAGAAAATCACTTTGAGACATTCACAGCATCAGCATAAAAATTGTGTTAATTAATAAAAGCCCAAACAAGAATTCACCTCTGTAAAGATCCAGTGGGATGTTCATATTGTATGGGCAACTTTACCAGTAATTGTCAAACATATTCTGTAAGTGGGTAAAAAAAGTTCCTTGTAGGATTGTACTTAATCAGTATGTTAATCACTCTCACACCCTGTCTCAAAACAATATTGATCATCCTGCTAGAATGAACTATAAAAACATTCATCAGTGAACTAAACTCACGGTGAAACTACTTCTAAAACAGTGACATTGAACTTCAAAAACAACCAATCAAATGCCAGATAATATTCAATGTGCATGATGACAGAAATTGAAAATTGTATGAATTGTCAGAAAAATCTTGAAAATGGAATAATCATATTTCATAGTCAACAAATTAGAGTTAGTTTTGAGTTCAAGTGCCTTTAACAAAGACTACCTGGAGTGGATATCTGAGGATTTCTGGTTGCTGGTACTCTTGCATACTGCTGTAGCGAATACGGCTGAACATGTGATAGCAGACCCCCGGCCGACACCGACCAGCTCTGAAATAAAATGCACAAGAATGATGCATGTCTCATTCCAAATCTTTCAAAAAGGCTGTTTGAAAGAACTGTTTCAACATCTGACAGAATGCTATTATCTCTTATTAGATATCATAATTCATGTCTTATCAAAAGATCTACATAATAGTATTTATCTAGCATTTCTAAGTCACATTAACCATGTGGAGGATTCAGGAGAAGAAAGGGTCCCTAGTTCCCCATGCTAGTCTTATAACAGCTGACTTGGAGGTCAGACTCTAGGACATGACTGATTTTTTGTCATCGGCCACCGATGACATGGATACTTGTTCATGCTCCCTACCACTGTTTTGTAAGGTCCAGATTCTCATTCATTTATGGATCATCAGGATGTTTCTGGAACATTGCTGACTGTGGGGATGAACAACATTCACTCACTCACTCAAGCCGACTGATATCAACAGAACAACTTATCTTACCTCCCTTTCCTCTGCAAACCACTGGCCTTAGAGATCCAGTTGCTCTTCAGCATAGAGCATGAAGACAAAGCATCAAATGATTTCTGAAGATGAACAAAGCTAAGTATTATGACAACCATTATTGTATCATCACTGTGTGTTACATATCGTCAACTTATTAACTCAGCTCTCAACATGCTCAAAACAAAACATTTGTTATAAAATAAAATGTACAAAACCCGACCACTTTTTTCCACAGCGGAATACAGCGGGGACTCATAGATCAGCAAACACGTGCCATCAATGACAAAATGGTTTACCTCTTTCACTTTTCCTGAATCGATGACAAAGACTACGTCATTAATTGTGACACTTGTCTCAGCAATGTTGGTGGAAAGTATCTGGGGATAGATTTTTCCATATTAATAGGCTCATTGCACAATTGATTAATACGCTAATTGCACAATTGATATAAAACAATGTAAAGAGAAACAGATTGTCAAGCACAATAAAATTCAGACATTTTCAGACCAATGTCAGGAAACTCCGTCTATTTGATATGTCAGTTACGATGATGTTACTTTATACAACAGAATGTCTATCACTAAGGTGTTCAACTGTCAGCACTCCACTTGTCTTAGGCCATGAGGAGATCCATGTCATGGATTTTGCAAGGTCAGATATAACTGTGAAATAAATAATAGTTGTAGCTACGTACAGATTCAAGCACCACTCACAATTTTGCGGACTCCTTGCGGTGCCATCTTAAAGACCTTCCTCTGATCGTTGGACTGCATGGAGGAGTGGAGTGTATACAACACGTACCTGGTGATACAAGACAACAACTCAGTATCGGCCACTGCCATATCTAGATATATATGTCACAGTTACAGGTGGCATGCCATATCTAGATATATATATGTCACAGTTACAGGTGGCATGCCATATCTAGATATATATATGTCACAGTTACAGGTGGCATGCCATATCTAGATATATATGTCACAGTTACAGGTGGCATGCCATATCTAGATATATATGTCACAGTTACAGGTGGCATGCCATATCTAGATATATATATGTCACAGTTACAGGTGGCATGCCATATCTAGATATATATATGTCACAGTTACAAGTGGTAGGATATATCTAGATATATATGTCACAGTTACAGGTGGCATGCCATATCTAGATATATATATGTCACAGTTACAGGTGGCATGCCATATCTAAAAATATATGTCACAGTTACAGGTGGCATGCCATATCTATATATATATATGTCACAGTTACTGGTGGCATGCCATATCTAGATATATATGTCACAGTTACAGGTGGCATGCCATATCTAGATATATATGTCACAGTTACAGGTGGCATGCCATATCTAGATATATATGTCACAGTGACAGGTGGCATGCCATATCTAGATATATATGTCACGGTTACAGGTGGCATGCCATATCTAGATATATATGTCAAAGTTACAGGTGGCATGCCATATCTAGATATATATATGTCACAGTTACAGGTGGCATGCCATATCTAGATATATATGTCACAGTTACAGGTGGCATGCCATATCTAGATATATATATGTCACAGTTACAGGTGGCATGCCATATCTAGATATATATGTCACGGTTACAGGTGGCATGCCATATCTAGATATATATGTCACAGTTACAGGTGGCATGCCATATCTAGATATATATGTCAAAGTTACAGGTGGCATGCCATATCTAGATATATATGTCACGGTTACAGGTGGCATGCCATATCTAGATATATATGTCACAGTTACAGGTGGCATGCCATATCTAGATATATATGTCACGGTTACAGGTGGCATGCCATATCTAGATATATATGTCACAGTTACAGGTGGCATGCCATATCTAGATATATATGTCACAGTTACAAGTGGTAGGATATATCTAGATAAATATGTCACAGTGACAGGTGGCATGCCATATCTAGATATATATGTCACAGTTACAGGTGGCATGCCATATCTAGATATATATGTCAAAGTTACAGGTGGCATGCCATATCTAGATATATATGTCACAGTTACAGGTGGCATGCCATATCTAGATATATATGTCACAGTTACAGGTGGCATGCCATATCTAGATATATATGTCACAGTTACAAGTGGTAGGATATATCTAGATAAATATGTCACAGTTACAAGTAGCATGCCATATCTAGATATATATGTCAGTTACAGGTGGTATGATATATCTGGATATATATGTCACAGTTACAGGTGGCATGCCATATCTAGATATATATGTCACAGTTACAGGTGGCATTCCATATCTAGATATATATGTCACAGTTACAAGTAGCATGCTATATCTAGATATATATGTCAAAGTTACAGGTGGCATGCCATATCTAGATATATATGTCACAGTTACAGGTGGCATGCCATATCTAGATACATATGTCACAGTTACAGGTGGCATGCCATATCTAGATATATATGTCACAGTTACAGGTGGTAGGATATATCTAGATATATATGTCACAGTTACAGGTGGCATTCCATATCTAGATATATATGTCACAGTTACAAGTGGTAGGATATATCTAGATATATATGTCACAGTTACAGGTGGCATGCCATATCTAGATATATATGTCACAGTTACAAGTAGCATGCTATATCTAGATATATATGTCAAAGTTACAGGTGGCATGCCATATCTAGATATATATGTCACAGTTACAGGTGGCATGCCATATCTAGATATATATGTCACAGTTACAGGTGGCATGCCATATCTAGATATATATATGTCACAGTTACAGGTGGCATGCCATATCTAGATATATATATGTCACAGTTACAGGTGGCATGCCATATCTAGATATATATGTCAAAGTTACAGGTGGCATGCCATATCTAGATATATATGTCACAGTTACAGGTGGCATGCCATATCTAGATATATATGTCACAGTTACAGGTGGCATGCCATATCTAGATATATATGTCACAGTTACAGGCACCTCTTGTGTCCAATAACAAACTTTGTGACATTACAACAGTTTTGTTATAGGAATTACATTAACCTTGAAATTACAAAGTTCAAAGTCTAAAACATATTACACATCACATACCATGATACTATATATACACATTTTTTAATTTAATACTATTCGGCTGAACTTTGTAAGTTACCTAAAACTTTCATATTTCTTGTCATCAGCAATGCCATCCCTGAGGCTGACAATATCATCATATCCAGGTAGGAAAACTAGTATAGCACCTAGAAATGATAAAACACAGGTGAGAAAAAAATCAAACATGAACAAAAATAATGATTGAACCTCAAACATACACACAATATTTCCACCAAAAGACCCACAGTACTATCTAGTTTTAAGTTATTTGTCTTGTGGTTTCTCAGAAGAGTTTAAACTTACTTAATTTGATTTCTGTATTATTTAAAAAAAAAAGAAGCCTAATATAGTCCCTTTTGTTGCAACGTGGACGGGAACTTCTAGAAAGGTTTCAGCTGAATCTATTACTTGGTTTGTGATGAAGTGATGAGCATGCAACTCTGACAAACTACAGGCCACAGACAACTGAAATATCCCATTAACTGAGCATCCTCATCCGTGTCCTTTAGCTAGTCATAAACAGATGAGTTGACACTCAAATCTCTAATCCCTGTAATGTATTTCCAACATAGTTCAGACTAAATTATTTACTTGTTTTATAGAAACTGTGATCCAATTCTTTCCAAATTGTGGAAAAAAAACCACAACTTGCATCATACAATTGTACCTGATGTATTTGTATTTCATGTAAGGGAGGCTAGACTAAATTCAATTCATCGCCATGATCAACATGAAAGCCTTACAGCCATTGTCTAATTCCCTACCAACAGACAATTAGATCACTTGTTTCTTGAGCCCACCGCCAAAACACTCATAATGGCAGTACCCACAGTGGAGTAAAGAAAGAAAATCAAGTTGTTTTCGCACATTTTTATACTTCTTTTAGCATCTTGTCAAGCCAGTGAAATGTAATAATTGTGAACGGTTCTTCAACTTAATCAAGGAGCATAGCTGTCATGACTCTGTGGGCAACCTGTCGATATGTTCTCTTGACAAATTAAATATTGTTAATGTTCAGATGGAAACAGTTTTTGCTTTGGGATAAAAACACAGCCGATAAAACTTAAACATGTGAGGGACATCAGTTCTATGCACAACCGCATTTTTGAAATTACAGACTGTTCCCCTTATGCAAATTCTTTCATCTATTTCCCCGATTGCATCGAGTAATTTCAAAAAATATTTTGACCAATTACTTTGGTCTGGCCTTATTTCACATAGTTATTGAACACATGTACGCACTTTTAATTTATCATTCACTGAAAGTTTCACTTAAACGAATGATTTAGGATTAATTGCTACCTGAACAAAAGAGGAATAATCAGTTGATCATGTTAATAATTCCAAGATCATAGATTTCCTCAAAAACACCCCCTTTTCCTAACTCTTTCTTGTAGAGCTACTCGTCTATCTGAACTGCGTTATTTCCAACACCACTACTGATATGCTTGCCTTCCTTCTTTGATGACATGATTGTGTATATGAGTGCAGAGATGAGGTCTGTGTCCACTTTCTCGTCGTCGAAGCTGTGGTGGTAGATGTTGAGGAGTTCACGGTCTTCAGCCGAGACAACTGCATCTTCCGTCCCATCCTCGCTGGCACACTCAACGGAAGCACTTTAACAAGATAAGGAGGGCAACTGACACACCATATTGGCATCAAACATGGTAGGAGGGCAACTGAGAAACCATATTGGCATCAAACATGGTAGGAGGGTAACTGACACACCATATTGGCATCAAACATGGTAGGAGGGCAACTGACACACCATATTGGCATCAAAAATGGTAGGAGGGCAACTGACACACCATATTGGCATCAAACATGGTAGGAGGGCAACTGACACACCATATTGGCATCAAACATGGTAGGAGGGCAACTGACACACCATATTGGCATCAAAAATGGTAGGAGGGCAACTGACACACCATATTGGCATCAAACATGATAGGAGGGCAACTGACACACCATATTGGCATCAAACATGGTAGGAGGGCAACTGACACACCATATTGGCATCAAACATGGTAGGAGGGCAACTGACACACCATTTTGGCATCAAACATGGTAGGAGGGCAACTGACACACCATATTGGCATCAAACATGGTAGGAGGGCAACTGACACACCATATTGGCATCAAACATGGTAGGAGGGCAACTGACACACCATATTGGCATCAAACATGATAGGAGGGCAACTGAGAAACCATATTGGCATCAAACATGGTAGGAGGGCAACTGACACACCATATTGGCATCAAACATGGTAGGAGGGCAACTGACACACCATATTGGCATCAAACATGGTAGGAGGGCAACTTACAAACCATATTGGCATCAAACATGGCAGGAGGGCAACTGACACACCATATTGGCATCAAACATGGTAGGAGGGCAACTGACACACCATATTGGCATCAAACATGGTAGGAGGGCAACTGACACACCATATTGGCATCAAACATGGTAGGAGGGCAACTGACACACCATATTGGCATCAAACATGGTAGGAGGGCAACTGACACACCATATTGGCATCAAACATGATAGGAGGGCAACTGACACACCATATTGGCATCAAACATGGTAGGAGGGCAACTGACACACCATATTGGCATCAAACATGATAGGAGGGCAACTGACACACCATATTGGCATCAAACATGGCAGGAGGGCAACTGACACACCATATTGGCATCAAACATGATAGGAGGGCAACTGACACACCATATTGGCATCAAACATGGTAGGAGGGTAACTGACACACCATATTGGCATCAAACATGGTAGGAGGGCAACTGACACACCATATTGGCATCAAACATGATAGGAGGGCAACTGACACACCATATTGGCATCAAACATGGTAGGAGGGCAACTGACACACCATATTGGCATCAAACATGATAGGAGGGCAACTGACACACCATATTGGCTTCAAACATGGTAGGAGGGCAACTGACACACCATATTGGCATCAAACATGATAGGAGGGCAACTGACACACCATATTGGCATCAAACATGGCAGGAGGGCAACTGACACACCATATTGGCATCAAACATGGTAGGAGGGCAACTGACACACCATATTGGCATCAAACATGGTAGGAGGGTAACTGACACACCATATTGGCATCAAACATGGTAGGAGGGCAACTGACACACCATATTGGCATCAAACATGATAGGAGGGCAACTGACACACCATATTGGCATCAAACATGGTAGGAGGGCAACTGACACACCATATTGGCATCAAACATGATAGGAGGGCAACTGACACACCATATTGGCATCAAACATGGCAGGAGGGCAACTGACACACCATATTGGCATCAAACATGGTAGGAGGGCAACTGACACACCATATTGGCATCAAACATGGTAAGAGGGCAACTGACACACTATATTGGCATCAAACATGGTGGCATCTATCAGACCAATTGCCTGTTATTCCATGGCTTCATATCTCAGACAAACTGGTTTTCTTATCTTGCTTTGCCTGTCAGGCAAAACAGTTCCAACTTATTTCAGATAATTTCCAACTGATTTCAGATAATTATTGATCGACTTTGTGACAAAGCTGTAATGGTTTATGAACTGAGATAATATTTTAATCCTTTTAACTGAAACTTACGTATATGACTCTAGCATTTCAACAATGTCATTTCTTTTGAATTTTTTGGCCCAGTCAAGAGCTGTCCATTCATTTGACGCTCTGACGTTGATGTTGGCACCCAGACTGAGGAGTTGCTCCACCGTCACAGATAAGCCCCGCCCACCTGCTATCATCAGGGGAGTGGCACTTGTCTCACTGTGCTTGTAGTCCACTACAAGGGAGGAATAACCATGTATCAACATCGAATGTATCAATATTTCACAACCATCCAGAATAAATAATTATCAAAGAAAAAGAGACTGTTGCAGTGACAAAACAACCAAGATCTAACTATCCCCATGATCACAGTGTATCTGTTTTGTTTGTTTGTTTGTTTAACGCCGCACTCAGCAATATTTCAGATATATGAGGGCAGTCTGTAAATAATCAAGTCTGGACAAGACTATCAAGTGTTTAACATCATGAGCATCGATCCACGTAATTGGGATCGATGACATGCATCAACTAAGTCAGCGAGCCTGACCACCCAATCCCGTTAGTCGCCTTTTACGACAAGCATAGTCGCCTTTTACTGCAAGCATGGGTTTCTGAAGACCTATTCTACCCTGAATCTTCACGAGCCCACATTGTATCTGACAGTGTATATTAATGTGGTGAGGTGAAATAGGGTTTAACGTCGTGTCCAAGATTATTGCACTTATACAGCGATGTGCATGCACGTGTGTGTGTGTGGCTGCTTGTACTAGTCCGGATTTATAGTGCTAGCCCACTGAGATACCATGCCGGAGTTTAACATGAATACCCCACTCAGAGACAGTATAATGACTCCGAGCCGACCAGTCCTTGTTTTAGCCCCTTAATGACGCGTGCCAGACAGGGTAACAACAAGTACCATCTTTTAACATCTTTTGGTATCAAGCGGCCGGGGATCAGTATATTAATGTTAGTCACTTGCACCAAACAATTCTTCAAGTGGTCAAGGTGTCCATCAGAGGAAATGTCACTTGCTATTCTTTATATTTCGGCCTAATATTATCATTTTTCCTGGAATAGGATTTTTATATCTTATATAGGTAAAGACGTGACTGACTCACCACTGACATTCTCAGCCATGATCAGATGGAAGATTTGAGAGAAGACCTCTTCCTCCCCCGAGAGCCACACCTCACTCAGCAGCTTGTCCATCTCCTTCACCACCCATGGCTCCAGGTCCTCCCGCTCCTCCCCCAGCTGGCAACAGTAGGATACACTCTATAGCAACCACCCGCTCCTCCCCCAGCTGGCAACAGTAGGATACACTCTATAGCAACCACCCTCTCCTCCCCCAGCTGGCAATGGTAGGATACACTCTACAGCAACCACCCTCTCCTACCCCAGCTGGCAACAGTAGGATACACTCTATAGCAACCACCCTCTCCTCCCCAAGCTGGCAATGGTAGGATACACTCTATAGCAACCACCCTCTCCTCCCCCAGCTGGCAACAGTAGAGTACACTCTATAGCAACCGCCCTCTCCTCCCCCAGCTGGCAACAGTAGAATACACTCTATATCAACCACCCTCTCCTCCCCCAGCTGGCAACAGTAGGATACACTCTATAGCAACCTCCCGCTCCTCCCCCAGCTGGCAACAGTAGGATACACTCTTTAGCAACCACCCTCTCCTCCCCAAGCTGGGAACAGTAGGATACACTCTATAGCAACCACCCTCTCCTCCCCAAGCTGGCAACAGTAGGATACACTCTATAGCAACCTCCCGCTCCTCCCCCAGGTGGCAACAGTAGGATACTCTATGGCAACCACCCTCTCCTCCCCCAGCTGGCAACAGTAGGATACACTCTATATCAACCACCCTCTCCTCCCCCAGCTGGCAACAGTAGGATACACTCTATAGCAACCACCCTCTCCTCCCCCAGCTGGCAACAATAGGATACACTCTATAGCAACCACCCTCTCCTCCCCCAGCTGGCAACAATAGGATACACTCTATAGCAACCACCCTCTCCTCCCCCAGCTGGCAACAATAGGATACACTCTATAGCAACCACCCTCTCCTCCCCCAGCTGGCAACAATAGGATACACTCTATAGCAACCACCCTCTCCTCCCCCAGCTGGCAACAATAGGATACACTCTATAGCAACCTCCCGCTCCTCCCCCAGCTGGCAACAGTAGGATACACTCTATAGCAACCACCCTCTCCTCCCCCAGCTGGCAACAGTAGGATACACTCTATAGCAACCACCCTCTCCTCCCCCAGCTGGCAATGGTAGGATACACTCTATAGCAACCACCCTCTCCTCCCCCAGCTGGCAACAGTAGGATACACTCTATAGCAACCACCCTCTCCTCCCCCAGCTGGCAATGGTAGGATACACTCTATAGCAACCACCCTCTCCTCCCCCAGCTGGCAACAGTAGGATACACTCTATAGCAACCACCCTCTCCTCCCCCAGCTGGGAACAGTAGGATACACTCTATAGCAACCACCCTCTCCTCCCCCAGCTGGCAACAGTAGGATACACTCTTTAGCAACCACCCTCTCCTCCCCAAGCTGGGAACAGTAGGATACACTCTATAGCAACCACCCTCTCCTCCCCAAGCTGGCAACAGTAGGATACACTCTGTAGCAACCTCCCGCTCCTCCCCCAGGTGGCAACAGTAGGATACTCTATGGCAACCACCCTCTCCTCCCCCAGCTGGCAACAGTAGGATACACTCTATAGCAACCACCCTCTCCTCCCCCAGCTGGCAACAGTAGGATACACTCTATAGCAACCACCCTCTCCTCCCCCAGCTGGCAACAATAGGATACACTCTATAGCAACCACCCTCTCCTCCCCTAGCTGGCAACAATAGGATACACTCTATAGCAACCACCCGCTCCTCCCCCAGCTGGCAACAGTAGGATACACTCTATAGCAACCACCCTCTCCTCCCCCAGCTGGCAACAGTAGGATACACTCTATAGCAACCACCCTCTCCTCCCCCAGCTGGCAACAATAGGATACACTCTATAGCAACCACCCGCTCCTCCCCCAGCTGGCAATGGTAGGATACACTCTATAGCAACCACCCTCTCCTCCCCCAGCTGGCAACAGTAGGATACACTCTATAGCAACCACCCTCTCCTCCCCCAGCTGGCAACAGTAGGATACATTCTATAGCAACCACCCTCTCCTCCCCCAGCTGGCAACAGTAGGATACACTCTATAGCAACCACCCTCTCCTCCCCCAGCTGGCAACAGTAGAATACACTCTATAGCAACCACCCTCTCCTCCCCCAGCTGGCAACAGTAGGATACACTCTATAGCAACCACCCTCTCCTCCCCCAGCTGGCAACAGTAATATACACTCTATAGCAACCACCCTCTCCTCCCCCAGCTGGCAACAGTAGGATACATTCTATAGCAACCACCCACTCCTCCCCCAGCTGGCAATGGTAGGATACACTCTATAGCAACCACCCTCTCCTCCCCCAGCTGGCAATGGTAGGATACATTCTATAGCAACCACCCTCTCCTCCCCCATCTGGCAACAGTAAGATACACTCTATAGCAACCACCCTCTCCTCCCCCAGCTGGCAATGGTAGGATACATTCTATAGCAACCACCCTCTCCTCCCCCAGCTGGCAATAGTAGGATACACTCTATAGCAACCACCCTCTCCTCCCCAGTTGGCAACAGTAGGATACACTCTATAGCAACCACCCACTCCTCCCCAGTTGGCAACAGTAGGATACTCTATAGCAACTTCTCTCTCCTCCCCCAGCTGTCATTGTGTATTGTGTAAAAAGTAGAATTCTAAGTGAGTGTGTATGGTTTCATGCCTATTAAGCAATATTCCAATAAAATCACACATAGCAAACAAAACAAATGAGCTTCACATAGTTTACACATGTAAAATTAGGTTTTCAGCGTAACTAACAAACACATTAACTGCTTTTAACCACACTGTTTATTCACCTCTTTGCCCTCAGCCTGCCTGTTGTCGAGGATCCTGTCGGAGGTGTAGTCCTCTTCCATGCTGGCCCGGTGCCCCTCAGTGGACACCCCCTGTGTGCACCACTCATCCAGGTGCTCCTGCTGACTCTTCACTGTGTGCACAGAGCATATAGGTGAGGTGAGGTGAAAGTGGGTTGAACGTCGCGTCCAAGATTATTGCGTTTATATATAGCGACGTGCATGCACATGTGTGTGTGGCTGCTTGTACTAGTCCGGACTAATGCCGATTTATAGTGCTAGCTCACTGAGATACCATGCCGCAGTTTAACATGAATACCCCACTCAGACACAGTATACTGACTCCGAGCTGACTTGTCCTTGTTTTAGCCACTTAATGCCAAGCGCCAGACAGGGTAACAACAAGTACCATCTTTTAACGTCTTTTGGTATGACACGGCCGGGGATTGAACCCTGAACCTTTCGCTCTCCGGGCGGACGCTCTACCACTAGCCCACTGAGGCGGTTGCACAGAGCATGTAATGATATATATATAACTGTTCAACATTCTGTCAGACAACCTCTTTTTTCAACACATACTTCAATGCTGCGAGACATACTGCCTATCAAGGAAGTTAGAAAATCATGAGTCATACTGTCCCAATATCTTACCATCTCTGCATATATTTTTGAGATTTATTTCATTGATAGTGTACTTCATAACTCCCCAAATATTTTCAATTGGGTTCAGGTCCGGACAGAAGCTAGGCCATTTTAGGAGTGAGTGAGTGAGTGAGTATAGTTTTACGCCGCTTTTAGCAATATTCCAGCAATATCATGGCGGGGGACACCAGAAATGGGCTTCACACATTGTACCCATGTCGGGAATCAAACCCGGCGTGACGAGCGAAGGCTTTAACCACTAGGCTACCCGACCGCCCCCATTTCAGGAGAGTAGCATATTTCTCGTTGAACCATTCCTGAGAACGCTTAGCTCCATGTTTTGGATCACTGTCTTTCTGGAATACCCAGCCGTAGAATATCAGTGTCATGGTACCTTGAAATACACATAATGGTGTGGCACTCAACACAGACACCCCACTCCACACATGAAATTTAGAACTGTACTTTTGACGCTGGTATATTGGATTCTACACATAATAATACAGACAGAGAGACAAAGTGGCAAACAATCTTTGACCACCTTCGTATGCATGAGGGACATCATGTTTCTATTTGTAGGACCTCACCTTTACTCAGCTCCTTCCTGTATTTTTCCATCTTCTTGTTTGTGTAGCTAGTCCTGAAAGCAGCAATGTCACAGTGCTGTTTAGCTATGAAGATAATAACATCCATCCAACACTACAACAAAAAACTGATAGTACTTTGTACCTGCCTACTCATTAGAGACAAATTGACCTACGTTAAACATGTCAAAAGGTAAAATTACTCGTTTACACCTTTTTGATTCAATACCATCATTTTGGACATTTAAAACATTTAATGTGTTTTCAGATTTGTTGGTTTTATTGAGTTTTCGATGACTGGAAATTTCATTTGGATCTGACAACATAATAATAATGTTTAATGACATTGTAAACTACAAACGACATCAGTTATTTCCCGAAGCTCTCTCTCTTTGTGAACTCCCACAGTGGAAAGACATCCATATCACCAAGCTGAATAACACATGTTTTAAACTTGAGATTGAGAAAAAAGAAGATACTTATCAAGAAAAGTATTGATAATAAATCAAGTTTTTCAACCAATCAGATTGCCACACACACTCCCATTAGTTTTACAATATTCAGGGAGTGCTGGCAAACCATCATCTGTTTTCCTTGTGATCCCATTATGCATGGCAACATTACTGCATTTGTATACAGGCCTTACCATTTGAGAATATCTTCTAAAAAGTGTTCTTCTACAGGAAACAGAGTGCCTGGGACTGGAAAGAAAAACTGAAATGAGTAAAGACATAAACAGCAATGTTCACACATTCTGTTTCAAAGAGACTATAAAACATGCACTGCTCCAAATAACCTGTAAAATGAAGAATTTTCTTTTCATCTCTAATAAATTCTCACAAATGTATCAGCCTTGATGGCCATAAATATCTATGAACCTGAGAAGGTTCATCCCCAAATCCCAAGGAAAAATTGACAACATAACCATCTCCTACGTCAAAAAATCAGATTGGAATGAACTTAACTATCATGTCAATGAGTGAGTGAGTGCGTTTTTTTTATGCTGCTTTGAGCAATATTCCAGCAGTATCAGGGTGGGGGACACCAGAAATGGGCTTCACACATTGTACCCATTTCTGGAATCAGAACCAGTTCTTCGGTGTGACAAGTGAATGCTTTAACCAGTAGGCTATCTGACCGCCCTCATGTCAATGAGGCATAATAACCTCTGTCATGCTATTTCAGGTGAAAGCACTGACCAAAAGCTACAGGGCAGCTGCTGAAGTACTTGATGAACAGTTCGGTGTTGAGGGCAGCACTCATGAGAATGAGGCGTAGGTTCTTGTACTTGTGAAGCAGGTCCTTCACGACTGCCAGCAGGAAGTCGCTGATCCGATCCCGCTCATGTACCTCATCCTGCAGTACAAATTATCAGCGAATCGTCATTCCTTGATATTTGGTATCTTTAATGGAATACTCGACAGAGACGGAATCTCTACACATACAGGCTACTGTCAGATCTAAGTCTAGGGCAGGACAATGGACTTGTGAACTGATGTGAAAGTAAAACATTATCTGTGCATGATTAGGGTATCATAACAATTACAGTTAGATTAATCTAAACAATACAATTTGAGTGAGATTTGAAAACTTTATAGTAAATGGTATATTAATATACTTATCCTATCTCACACTATGCATTTCATGTGATAACGCAAGCAGTAGATGCATCAAGCAGTTATGTAGGAGAAGCGAAAAATTATACGTTTGCAATCCTTGCAAGTAGGGTGTAACAGCTCCATAACTCTTGTCTCTGCAGTTGTAATTTATCGAGACAGACAATACATTAACCTAACCTATATTAAAATATAATTATAATTGTCCGCTGTTCAAGTTTGTCCTCCCACAAGGCGATTAGAAATAGGATGAGGGTGCATAAGATGTCAGGTGATCAGGTTGCACGAGAGTTCAGCGGTGCGTGACCTATGGTTTATGGTGGTGACCCTTGTGACGAGTGGGATGTGTTGGGGTGAGGTATTATTTAAAACTGGAAACTTTGTTCTCGAACTGTTTCCACACCAGGATCAAAGAATAAGGAAGAAATGCATAGCGTGAGCATATATTTAAAGACAGTTATTTCAGTTTTGTCTGAACAGAACAGATATTGTAAATACATGTATTTCATTATTTCTACCTTCTGAAATGTGGTATGAGTGAGTGAGTGAGTGAGTATGGTTTTACAACGCTTTTAGCAATATTCCAGGGGACACTAGAAATGGGCTTCACACATTGTACCCATGTCGGGAATCGAACCTGGGTCTTCGGCATGACGAGCAAACGCTTTAACCACTTGGCTACCTGACCGCTCCGAAATGTGGTATGAAGACAGGACAGCATGGTACAATGTCGCCCTAGGACGATACACAAATCTGGGGAATTTTTTAACTTCTTGATACAAGTATCAATCATAGTCGTACACTAAGTAAAAAATATTGATTCTTACCTTAATGTTTCCTTTAATAACTTTTACACCAAACACTAATTACTAGTGAAAATTAGAGGTGAAAATGTAAATATTTTCATTCATTGCGCCATAATTGTGTGCCAGGTATTTGGCCGTCTTGTCTATGAAAAAGATGTCCTACGCACCACAGATAACAGCACATGCAAGTATTGTGATACGTATCGGATCATGGACAAGGTGTCGTGATACGAATCAGATCGCACAGTTGGTGTATCGTACAGGTTCTATACCTCAGAAATACTTATCTCCCTGTTATCGTAAGATTTGAGGGTAACCCATCTGTCCCATGTCATAAAATCTGGTGTAAACAGTGCAGTGTGGAAGACAGAGTCAAGCCTTTCTCTTTCAGCGTATGATGGATGCAGACTTACAACAATGATATGTGTGAGAGTGCCCAGGGCATTATCACCTCCCATCAGCGTCCTCAGCAACACTCCATTGGTGCAGAATGTCAGCAAAGTCTTCGGAGACACTCTGACAAAGTAAAATTTGTAACATGACATCAAATACGTCCAACTTCAGAAGCTGGGCAACCTAGAGACTACATAGCCACACAGTTGAAAATATTACACACGCTGTTATGACTTGACTGTTCAAACGAGTGAGTATGGTTTTACACCGCGTTTAGCAATATTCCAGCAATATCACGGCGGGGGACACCAGAAATGGGCTTCACACATTGTACCCATGTCGGGAATTGAACCCGGGTCTTCGGCGTGACAAGTGAACGATTTAACCACTAGGCTACCCGACCCTCCTCTGTTCAAACGACTGTATCCATAATTACTGTAATTATGTGACTAAGGTCTTTGAAAGTCATTATATTATCAAGGCTCTATGCACCACTCACTTGCTCTCCAATCGTATCTGGTAGCCCACTGTCTGACCAATCCTCTCTCCTCTCTCCTGTGCGACACGTTCAGCGATACTGAGAGCTGCAATCCTACGCGGCTGAGTGCAGAATATTCTGCATGGTTTGTTGTTCTTGCAACAATCATCTAAAATCATCTGAGGCACCTGTCAAAAGAATTGTATTTCTCAGTTTAAATTATATTGTTTGGAAGCAGTGTACAAATAAATCAATGTGTAAGTTTTGATAATAAAAGCATAATGCAATTAGTGAATAATGAAAGGAAATTGATCCGTCCTCATACAGACAGCTTTAAGATTAGCTGTTGATCTTGGAAACATCCATCACCAAAAGCAAAGACCTGAATCAATGATATTCAGGAAGTTTCAGTATATCATCATGACGATAGTGATGTTGTGATAATCAATTATAATGGATTATTAATTAGTTATATTATCGTATGCTGATGAAATTTTCAATCATAACTGTCCAAAATTGAATTGAATGAGGAAAATTATCTTAATAACAAAATAACATGCTATAAACAGATATTACATACCAAAGAACCTGGTATTTATCATGATTGATAATTTTTAAAATGTTATTCATAAATCACTTGTCTCATTGGTTGCTTGTCACTGAACATTGCTGAAGAGTGCGTATGTGTATCTATGTTTAAATTTAATGAATGGTTGAACATTTGAAATGTATAATATATGACAATTGATCATTTGGTAATCATTAACAACCAAATCCCCCACTAGTACCTGGAGGATGCCATTGTTCAATCGTCCAGTTGTCATCTTATTGAATTCCCTAATCATTAGCAACCGAATCCCCCATTAGTACATGTATATAGTAGAGAATGCAAAATACAAGTAAATCCGCTGGCGTACCTGAGTAGTTTTGCCCGACCCGGTCTCTCCTGCCACCAGCATGACTTGGTTGTGATTTGTGGCGTAAATGATATCTTCTCTAAGCTGTTGAATCGGTAAGCCTTCCCTGAACGGGTCAAGGTCGGTTTCATTTCGGGAGGGGGGAACCTGGGGGATGCCATTGTTCAACCGTCCAGTTGTCATCTTATTGAATTCCCTGGTAACTGTCATGACAGAATATTTCGGACGTACAAAGAGGTTTGTATCTTCAATTCATGTTGCCATTTTGTCAATGGTTTCCTGTTACCCTATTCGACGTAATAAGCACCCAGGGCGCTCTCAAAAATAGAAATAGGGGACTCTTATTAGAATATTATTTTGGTGAAAAAAAACAGAGTTGAAAGATCGTAAATTTCATGGTTTATGCTGACAGCCTGAAATGTTTATATACGACAGATATATTTTTCCAGATTTTAATTGCCCATAATTAAGGGTGCATATAATACATGAGTATTATACATGAATAAATAAGTCTTGTGTACATTGATCAATCGGAATGGGTGCTAATTGGGATTGTTCACTAGCCAATATATTAGCAAATATCACCATGGGCGCTTATAAGAGCATATTACATCAAATACGGTATTATGAGTAACCATGTGATGATTAACAATTGAATCTGTTACAGTGTGTCCCCAAAACCATTAAGAATACAAGCCTAAACATGGCTCTTAGCATAAGTTTTAGAAGAATTTAGTTTTATCATCTGGATTATTATTGGCTGAGCTAACCGGACTGAACAGAATGTTACCGGAATCGGACTTCGGACAAGTGGCTAAAGTTGCAGACTGCCATTTCAATTCAAACATTTCAGAAAGTTAATGGTTGTGGGCTCCTTGTAATACCACTGTCTGATAAATCAGCAAGTCTTCCCAAGACAGACAATCATTTTGACTGACTGCCTACCGGTTGGTTGCAAACTCCTTGTGGTGTCTATGTTAGGAGCTTTGTACTTCCTTGGGCTGTTACCATGTCTGTGTGAGACTTGATACCTATTGGAGTTTGACACACTGGTAATATAAAGAGACAAACGATACACTTGGGTTAAGATTGGAATACCTTCCCCGAGAGGTGACTTTTGTGTCTTTGGCTGAAGGTCCTGGCGCTCCTTGTTAGAGAGGGGGAACCTCTGTAACAGACTGACTGCTTGTTGTCTGGAGTTGCGGGACAGTTGGAAGCCAGACGCATAGCTCACTGCTTGATTAGAATCCTTCTTGTATATTGTGAGGAAGCGATTGGCGGCTTTCCTAGAAAGACACATGTTAGAATCTTCAGACTCACTAATGAGCCACTCTCTTAAATAATCACTGAGTATGTTACAAATGTTATATTTGGGATAACACTTTCTTAGTAAAGTACAGATTCTTATACTTTTTGAGGTTGAGTCCTAGACCACTTTCTAAATGGTATTGTGTGTTCACTGAATCAGAATGTTATCAGAATGAGCTTGACAACATAAAATCAAAATTACATTTATCATGCTATTTAACATGTGAATCAGATCTAAAGTTACTTTTCATTATTACGAACATTACTACCCGATTGTGGTCTGTGTCAAAACAATCTGGGCCCCGTTCCACAAAGCCATCTTACCGTTAAGGTGATCGTAACTCTCATACTTTAACACTGGCTTACGATAATGGTAGCATTTAGATCGCTTCGTGGAACAGTGCCCTGATGTACTCGTGCTTCTAAATCGTTTTCAGTAGCTTGTATTCCTCACACAGAGGCTGCCTTGTGCGAGGCTCAGGCCAGTTTTACACTGTATTCATGGGGCACATTGAACCAGAATCTTGAGAAGTAAAAGCAAATGCACACCTGCAACACCCCAACAATGATGGAAGCACTGAACAGTAAGCTTACCCTCGACTCTTGGATTTCATGCCCAGATCATCACACAGTCGGTGGATGTATGCCCTCTCTGTTGCACTCAGGGATGAGGGGAACTCCAGCTCTAACACAAATGAAGACATAGCTACATGATACACTACCATGACATATTCTGACTGGTCCGTCAGAGGTATCAAATCTATGCCCGTCAGAGGCATCAAATCTATGTTAGACCATGATCTTGCTGAGGACAATATTACCATGAAAATATTTCTATCAGAAGCACGTATTTCACACATTTGGCAATTCCAAATAGTAATCTTACTTCTTTAATGTTGTTAAATAAGGTGTTGCAGTTCACACACTGTTTACAGCAAGTGTGCCAATAGATTACCAGGCTTTTGCGTTCAGTTGCGAGGAAAATTTATAGGTATCAAATTCATGGTCAAAACCTCTAAAATGAAAACTAGGTTATCGCCTAATTCAACATGTTGTAAAGGCATTAATGTGCTAACATTATTAGTAACATTACATTATCTAGGATATATATAATGTTCATTGATATGTTCTTGTCTACAGATGCATAGACAGGATAGAAGCAGTTGTGATGTACACAGTATATTCAAATTACAGTGACATATTAATGTAGAGACCAATATTAGTGGGAAAATTCATGATTGAATGACAGATTGAAATTGAATTCTTTTCAACCTTTTTGATTTTCACTGAGCTTAAATCTTTCAACTGTCAAGTGTATGCCAATTCTGACTTCCTCGCCAATACATATTGGCTGGTTTGGACGAGGTCCCCGGGGTGACAGGCCCTGCACACTCTGCACACTACCAACGCTGCTGGGCCGGGGTGAAGCTGTGTCCAGTCTCTGAAATGACCCCCTGGAAATAATAACAAGAGTCATCAGAAGATGACAAATCCCCCCAGCCCCCACAAATTTGAAAGAACAAATCAACCGACTGTTACTTTAAGTCCAAATTGATGGGAGAATTACTATCTTATCTGTCTGTCCGTATACAAGAGTAGTTATTGAGCTATCAATACCATGGAGTTGGGATTCGGAACTTTCCATTTTTATGTCAGGTACACACCAGTATGAACAGAGTCAAAATCAAACTTGTTGCCATGAAAACAGAAAAAATGTAAACTCTAAAATCCCTGAATAGCAAAAGGTATTAAACCTATTAGTTTAAGAGATATGGTATGGACAAACACAACATTATGAACAGCGTCAAAGTCAAACTTGTTGCCATGGAAACGGAAAAATATCAATTCAAATGTAAACTCTAAAATCCCTGAATAGCAAAAGGCACCATTTGACAAACTGGTCTTTGTGTATGCAAAGTATCATGAAAGAATATCAATTAGTTTTAGAGATATGGTCAGGGAAAACACACCACTAAGAACAGAGTCAAAGTCAAACTGGAAGAGGAAACAAAAATTTTTTCAAAGATTTCTAATAGCAAAGGCACCACTTAAGCCCTGGATTAATAAATGTACCAATTTGGATGAAAAATGTTGAATAGTTTTTTAGTTCTGCTCCGGAAACATAATCTACCTCCGTTTCAGTTAAGTCTAACTTGTTTCCATAGAAACATGGAAAAATCAAATGTTGAAATATTCCTAAATAACAAAAGGCACCACTTCAGGATCTGTTTGATATATTTACCAAGGTTTGTTGAAAGATATTAAACGGTTTTTGAGTTGTGCTCTGGAAACGAAATCCAGTCCCCCTTAAGAGACTAAGTCCATATTGTTTAATTGGAAATAGAAAAAAATAAAAATGCCAAAATATGCAAATAGCCAAAGGCACCACTTCACGATCTGTTTGATATATCTACCAGGTTTTTAAAAAAAGTATTTAACGGTTTTTGAGTTACGATTCAGAAACATGAAGGAAAGACAGACAGACGAAACGTCAACTATATCCAACCGCATTATTTGCAATAAAAACGGGATAAAACATCAATTCCTGAGAGAGAAAAAAATCATAACATTCGTTGAAAGTATTTAAAAGTCGAAGTGAAAGTGACGGAATCACATGCTCCTTAATCATGTTAATCAGATTCCAAAACAAAACTATTGGGGGCATGGCCTGAAACTACAGGCATGATGGTGCAGCAGTGCATGACCAATCTTTTCATTGACTAATATCCGGAGCATCTAACGACTCAGGAGATGGTCAATCAAGAGCAAACCTTGAAGTGTCACTATTTCTGTTAATCCTACAAAAGTAACATGTATATATTGTTGAGACTGTGTGATATAAACTTTGAGCTTGACATTGTGAATAATATACAGGGTACATCTAACTATAGGGTTCACTCCAGGAATTTTCTGACTGGGCCCTTTACATGAAAATTTCAAATATTCCAGAGGTACACCCACACTTGCCCATACAGCACAATGTTAAAATGCCCCATTGTATTTGAAAATGTGGGCCTTATTTCAAATGTAGGGGCTAAAAGCACAAGACCCCACCCTAGAATTATCCCTGGTATTATAAACCATCTGCTGCCCTCTGCCCTATTTGACAAGGATTATTTTCCTGAGTGGGAAGCCAAAGGCACCTTGAATGTTATTCCTAATAAGGCACAAATTTGTAGAAATAGTAATCAAATGCATGAGCAGACAGAAAAAGCCCTGTATTGCTATTAAAAAATCCAAGCCAGAAGCGGGCCGAGAGGGATCTGACCTGATCATTGAAATTGAGCAGTGTGTCAAACATAAAGAACCAACTTTATCCCAGTGGCAGAATTTTTTATTTGGCAGATGCCTGTCATTTTTTTCGTCTGTTTTACGCTAATTTCATTTGTAAATTGAATTTTGGTCAAGCTTTAGTTATTAAGTAAACCCTAAAGTAAAAAAATCTGTAAAGTTGCCATGTTGAGTTTACTTTCCCTTTCATAAACTGATCATATGAACAATGGTGAATGCATGATTTGACAGTTAGTTTAAATGGCATGATTATACAGTTACAAGTTTAGATATATTAGTAGGTGAAAGTAACTGTGTAACCAAAGTAAAAGGTCAGAAATCATTCTCTGATTTTCAAAAGTGGTATGAAAATGAGACTTGAGAGTTAATTATAAAAGTGGGGTGAAAATGATATGTGGAACCCCCCAAAAATGAATGCTGTCATATTTGTCGACATACATATGATGACATCACATAATTGATGATAATCATAATTAATATTTGTGTTTTTGTTGCATAACAGCCGTGATTTGTGTCTCACTACAATCAAACGACGTTTTTTTAATATATTGTTTTCTCAATGAATATGAAGATATTGTTCCACTTGCAGATGACTGCAAACAGTTCCCAAACATATACATATTCTGATGAATTCGTTGTAAATTATCTCATTATACGATTATTCTTTTTGCTCGTGGATCTTTTGAAAACGTCCACAAAAGGACAAACATCATGAACTTTTGACAACAATCAGTCAGCGTGACACAACTGACACTTGATTTGTCAAACAAAAACTTCAGCAGAATCGATCACCTATCCAACACAAGATCATATACTAACATGTCAATTGCACCTAACCTGTCATAATGTTCAAATCGAACTGTACCTATTATATGCAGCATTGTATGAACCAGGCGCCTCCTGGTAGTGCCTGGAATTTCCATTTTGAGGACGACCCAGTCTGTCTCGCGCCGCCATATTTTTATTTCGTAGGTAGCTTTGTATGTAGAATATTAGCAAACGATCGATATATTACAGAACATCGCAATCGGAAGTACACATACTCGTGCAAATACATATTTAGTCATAACATTGAAATGTTTTGTGAGAAAAGACAAAACATATCAAAGATACATCTTCAAATCATCATTATTCGAAACTACACTCGTAAATAAATGCTAAACGAAACTGACTGGTACTCAGCCTTATATTCGACTGCGCTTTTCATGTTTTATTTCCATAAGATCGGAAGACTGTGACAAGTTGTGTTGATTTGAGGTCTGCTTCGAACTCCGCTTGATTGCTGCAGTGTTCTGTTTACAAATATTCAGCGGTCAATTAGCATCGGACTTCGAGGAGTACGTAAAGTGGCTATCGTTGTTTAGAATTTAGTTTGCTGGTTCCAGGTTGCAGGTTGCAGTGCTAGGTGTTGGTACTGATAATTATTGTTCAAAAGATCAAGATATATGGAAGACACCAGCCAGTTATGACTCATAGAATAAGCTATTACAGTGCTTGTAAATTATCACTTGCAGACATTTTTTGGCTGCTAGGCCCTATTAATATCATTAAACACACTGTGCGTTTCGTAACAACAAATGGCACCTTACCAATATAGCACTGAATATCAGCATCACTGCATTTTCCTCGCAATAGCAGATTTCAACTTGTGTATGAATCGTTTAGGGCCTAGGTTTTCAAACATATGGCAATATGATCACACTACTCAAAGTGCATAAACAACACAAATGCAGTGTAATTATAAAACTTCAACAGATTTCATAAAATTCCAAAACATAAGCTGGTTAGATTGATGCACAACAATAATAATAACTATGACAACTGAGCAACATGTAGATCTAGATCTACAATGTTAACATGATTGTCTACATTGAGAAATATACAACATGTTCATTTTGACGTTGCTTGCGTTTGTATTTATATGTTTATAAATATGTTTAACTCATTGCATATTTATTTACATCTTTCAGGTACATCAGTCATGGTTTAAGCAATTGTTGATGTCATCTTTTGTACAAAAAGAAATCTGTTTGCTGTTTATACTTTGGACAGCTGTTTAATCCAGAATGGAGGAGAAAAAAGATAGTCAGGTCAGTATGGATCGGACATGTCATCAAAGATTTGCACCAAATTAAGTTGTTGCAAAGTTTGTGGCATACATTTTGTTATGTTCCTTGCTAAGGTGGTTGGCCTTCACAGACACATTTATCTAGATTTACTGCACTTTCAAAGTCTCCACTCAAACATCTGTGTTTATGTTGCCATTGTTCTAGAGCATGCACTGATTCAGAGTGAGAGTCCCTTTAGAAGGCTAATGTAAGTTTTTGTGATGGTGCACTGTCATGACATTCCTTAGGCAGGGCGTTAAATGGGTCATTTCAAGTGTCCTCCATTCTATACATGCTAAAAGTTATTTCTACCCAGAGCTATAGATAAGCTTTTGGTTATTTGGGTATTTTACCCAGGGGTTTAATTTTGATTGGGTATCCACAAGTGTTAGAGGGTATTCAACAGGGGTAGAAACTAACATGTTTAACCCACTAGTTCTTATAATGATAACATATAGCAAAACCCTTAAAAATGGCAAATTTCTACTAGTCCTTATGATACCTTCACTAGTGGCCAGTTTGGCAAGGACTATAGGACTGGTGCCAATTTCTAACCCTGTATTCACATTATTTTACCCACTTGTTTCTTGACATTTGGGTATTTCACTTAAAACCTGTTCCGTAACAATCCCTGTAAATAATTTTAAAATATGTGAATAGTAGCATACACATTAGCTTGCGGCTCCCTCTCCGGGAAGCCATTTTCGTTTACAAAACCTAGCATTGTAAGAAAGGCGCTATTGTTTTAATTACCAATCAGCAACTAATTAAGAATACAACATGTACATTGACTACGCACGATGTGTTTTTCAATTGCCATCTATCAGTATGTTTGTCGCAGAAGCTTTTCCGAATGTAACTGTTAGTAAGTGAATTTGGCAATCGGCTGATACACAATCATTTTATCTATTGTAATATATGCAATCATGACGCAATAATTTTATTTCGATAGCATATTTAGAGTTTTTGTTGTGTAATGTATATGCCAGGATTGGATTTGTCTGCATATTTCAGTTTGTTTAATGCATATTTTACGCAAATATGCAGCTTATCTCAAGCTCTGCTACCGACACGTCTCTCTATGTATTAGCCAAAAATGTTTAATAGTTAACACAGCGAAACTATAGGTGTATGGCTTATACACATAAAAAATATTTGTAAAACTATTATGTGTAGTCCTCACTCCTAAATGTCAGTAGTAATTTTGTATGCATGGTTTTGTTTCAGAAACACACTCTAGCTGAGCTTCTCCCCCCACCTGAAACATCTGCTCCTACTACCACCACCATTAGTAAGGCAGATGTTATCGCACAAAACCCCTTTGAAGACCAGCTCCCAGTCTCAGCAAGACAGTCACCTAGCATGTCAAATATGACCAACAATATGCCTAATAACATGCAGGGCAATATGCCTAATAACATGCCAGGTAATATGCCTAATAACATGCAAGGTAATATGCCTAATAACATGCAGGGTAATATGCCCAATAACATGCAGGGAAATATGCCCAATAACATGCCAGGTAATATGCCCAATAACATGCAGGGAAACATGCCAGGTAATATGCAGGGTAATATGCCTAATAACATGCAGGGCAACATGCCTAATAACATGCAGGGTAATATGCCCAATAACATGCAGGGTAATATGCCTAATAACATGCAGGGCGGTATGCCTAATAACATGCAGGGTGGTATGCCCAATAACATGCAGGGCAACATGGGTAATATGAACAATATGAATAAACAAGGACATGGAACAGGAATGCCTCCACAAGGACCAGGCTCAGGCAAGATGTATCCACCCAATCAACCAATGGTATTCAATCCCTCCAATCCCAACGCACCACCGATTTACCCATGTGGTATATGTCACAAGGAGGTTCATGACAATGACCAGGCAATACTGTGTGAGAGTGGATGTAACTTTTGGTTTCACAGGATCTGCACCGGACTCACTGATCCAGCATTTACCATGTTGAAGGCTGAAGTGTATGCAGAATGGGTCTGTGACAAATGCTTGTCTACAAAGAATATACCTCTTGTTAAGTTAAAACCATAAAGATCTGAAAACTGTTTTCATTTACTCGACTGTTTAAGGTGGGCTCATCTCTATGGCATAGTGATAAGTGGTTTGTGTGAATTCGGAAGCTGTCTGTGAAGATGATGTTATCCAGCTGGTCCATGGAGTAAACTTGATTACCAGTTAATGTCACAATCCTAGGACACAATACATCAATGTTGTATCAGTATACCATATATACATCAATGAGATTTTCATCCCCCTCGTTTAAAATTCAATCAACCAGTTTGAACTTGGAAACCATGTTCAACCATTTATCACCATGCTTATCAATCTGTATGGTAGTGATGGTGCATTCTGGGGTGACATGGTCTGTTTCAAGTAAAATGAGAACCCATCATCTTTGGGATGACTGTTTATTGTTAGGATATCAAATATCCTTGTCACAGTGTTACATTTCTTGCTGTTCCTAACTTAAAGAGGTGAGTCCACCACAATTCATGCTCCATACCAGTCATTTTCATGTCATACAGATGCATTTCAATGAATTTATCATCCACTAAATCATCCTTTACACCAATATATGTTCAAAATGAAGAGATTCACAGAGATTGAGATATGTAAAAACAGCTCCAGATTAGTGAATGTCTGTTTTGGCTTGTTGTTTCAGCCTTTCTTCAGTGTTAATGACAAATCTTTGAATAGGCATGAACATGTTTGATACATAATGATGCTGCTTTATGGCTGTTGCGACCGTTCGTTGTGCGTAGGTGTGAAACTTTTCAGAGGATGTTCATCAGCTGATGAAGGATTACGCACATACTTGAAACTTGATTCCTAATTTCAAATCATTTTCTCTCCTGTGAGCAGTACATTCTTTGTTTTGAACACCTAGGTATTATCATGAACTCCTGAGGCTGTTCATGATGTAGAGGGGCGGTCAGGTAGCCTAGCGGTTAAAGCGTTCACTCGTCATGCCGAAGACCCGGGTCCGATTCCCGACCTAGGTACAATGTGTGAAGCCCATTTCTGGTGTACCCCGCCATGATATTGCTGGAATATTGCTAAAAGCGGTGTAAAACCTTACTCACTCACTCACTCACTCACCCATGATGTAGACTGTTGATCATACTCAATCCCCTTAAATTAAATGGCAAGTGACTTACATATGTCTTTTTCATCTGATTTGTGTTTAGTAATTTGGTAGAAGTGTAGTTTGTTCATGTTTGTTGTGTTTAGTTTGTGAACCAGACATGAGAATTTCTGTTTATATTCAAAAACATGTGTCTAGATTTGGTACTTGACTAACACAGCACACTTTATTCATAAGTTGTCTTGTCTTCAATTGCTTCTCTCATGGTTGTGTTAACATTCTAACATACAGAATATTGTATTACAGACTTGTCTGATACTCTACATGTATTTGTAAAAGAATATAAAGGCATTAATTCTGAAATAGTTGAATGTTTTCATTTCCTCAACAGAACCCCCTGGATCTGTTTCAGAATGACATAAATTATCACCAGCGATGAACCTTCAGTGCGTTTTTATTGGGTGTCAAGCCCAGTTCATTCCTCAGAATGTTCTCAATTCTCTCTGTGAGAGACGCTATCTGACGAGTGGTAAGTTGTTGGTCATCAATGTTCCGGGGGCGGTCGGGTAGCCTAGTGGTTAAAGTGTTCGCTTGTCATGCTGAAGACCCGGGTTCAATTCCTGACATGGATACAATGTGTGAAGCCAATTTCTGGTGTCCCCCGCCGTGATATTGCTGGAATATTGCTAAAAGCAGATGGGAGAGCACAGTAGCCCAGGTTGTCGATTTTTAACAGAGAATACCTCATCACATTGCTGCTTGCAGAACTATGCTGCCTGGTTATGCATTTGGTTCAAATGTAAGCATGGAAAGTCTTGTATTGTATGTATGTACAAAGTTGTTTTTTGTTGTTTTTTTATTCAGTCATATACACAGGATACAGATGCAGTCGAAAAACAGTACAGATTCATGTATAAAGGTAATTCGTTAAAGGATGTGGTACGGAGGAGGCGTAAGGCATAATCCACAGAATGGTACAGATGAAGGCATATTTATTTATACAATTAAGAAGGTGTGGTATTTATGGTACATCAAATTATGTTGCAAGCATCAAGTGAATAAGTTATTTTGCAGTTTGAGTAAACAAAGCCCATTTTCTATTAAAGGCAGAGAAGTAGTTATTTCTACGTGCAATATGATATTCAACGTCATAGATACTTCTTATTGTGTTCTTAAAAGCAACAAAGTCAACATTTTCATTCTTAATACACTGGACAAAGATAAAAAAAATTAGCAGCTACAATCAAATGGTTAATTAATACATCCGAGTCACCAAAGAGGAGCTCGTTGTCAGTTATATGAATTTTTCTATGCAAAATATGAGTCAAGTAATGTATGTACAAAGTTGTTGTGTTCTGTACAGAGCCTTTCAGCCATCCCACAAGCATAAACACACTGACTTCTAAAACGGCTGATGACTATGCACCATTGTGAGATGAACTGCTCCCTCCAAACTCAGCACATTACAAAACAGTGCCAGAATGAGTTATGGATGAAACATAAATATGATATTAAGAAAGGTAGAGGACATCCAAGTATGACAACAGATTTTACAAGCTTATATGTCTTTAAAGTTGGTAACTTGTGTACCAAAACAAGGATGGATTTAACAAATAATCCATTTCATAATTTCATGTCCTATAGGGAAAATATAAACGGTGGTTCATCAAAGGCACCAAGGGTGCATTCGGGAAAATGCACATTACACATGCGTCTACATTTAATAGATAAACATCCCACAATTCAACAAGCATTCATTGCTCTTTTGGTGGCATGTTACTGATCACCCGTCCAATGGTCAATGGGGCATCCTCTCATATTCTATGTGGAATACAAGGCCAAGTTTATCTAGCGTTGATGAGGCCGTTGGCGGCGGCGTGGACGTCTTCGAACGCTGTGACACACGTACTCAGTTTGCACAGCTCGTGGCTCGCTGCTGGCCATGTTATGCAAGTTCGCAGTGACAGTCCGACAACGGTTTTCATGTGTGTCGTCATCCTCGAAGACAAATCGTCGACCAGAGTCGGGTGCAAAGAGTAGCAAGATAGACGGAAGTATGTTGTCATGGTAGTACTGTACGTCCTGTGACCCTCCCATGGACGATGTGTAATGGCGTAATGATATAACTCATGTGATAACCACATACTGTGTTGGAGAGAGTGGGTACTGCATGAAGCACAGTTTTAATTTCTGGTTAAAATTTAAAATACCTAACAAGTTTAGAAAGAGAAATGGCCAAAGCGTCATAAAATCCCCATATTCATCGGACACCTCTCGTCTCCACCAATGCATTTCGTCTGCATTGTGTTATTCCATATTTCTGTATTTGTTCTTCAGATTGAACACTTTTTATTAGACTTCTAAATTAGCGAAACATAGTCCCAGGTGAGCTTGATCAGAAACTACCAGTTGTGTATTATCGACAAGCTCAAACGAGATATTTTGGGTAGAAAGTCAACAATATAGTTTTACTGAATAAAGAGTGCAATACGAAACTGTCTCGAAAAAAGACATTTTAGCGTAAAGTGACCCAACACAGTCATGAGTTCGAATCCCAGGTTCATCCCGACTAATGGTCTATCATCGAGGTTACTACTCGGGCTATATACAGATACGTGCAGATTTTCTGATTTGTATGGAATTCGTAACATCACCGTTAATTTCCTACGCTCCCTTATTCATTAATACAATCTACATATCAATCGTGACTGCAACGCTCGCCAGACATCCATTTGCTCTTGTGACATTTTCACAAGAACATACCTCTTCTTGAGAATTGTTTGGCGTGTGTAGTACCGAATACTATCAGTTAAATTCTACGAGTAACCATAACATCCAATATCAAAATACAATTTCATCATTTAAAACAGATTTGTCAATGAAATGTTACTTTATGGTATACGTCATATGGTTCATGATATACAAAATTTAAATTAAATTAAATATAAATTTAAAGTGCCACGGAGTCATTCCCAGAAGATTGTTTTTGCTTGTGTCTATACCGTTACACGTTACTCACAGTGGATGTTTGTGGTTCAAATATAGATGTCAATACTTTCATTGTATAGCCTACTCGTGGGGAAATAATGCTGATGCTTTATATATACAACTCTTTCCAAGTGTGTAGGTGAAATTGTACTGATTTCACAGATAGTATTTTATTAATTTGAACTGAGACCATATACCGTCGGTTTATAGTCTCTGATTTGAAGCTGTATAGAACTAAACTGAATAGATGCAAAGGTTATATAAACAAAACACCTGTTAATAGACGTAAATACAATTAGTCAAGCTTTCAATTTTGTTTTGAAATAATAATCAAAACTTGTATTTAAATATTTATCTATCCATCCATTCATTCTGCGGGACTGTTAAGATGTCTGCTACTACGGAGGAAACCAACGAGCGACCTAAGGTCGGGGTAGGCGTGTTTGTGACAAGTCAGGACCATCCTGGATGTGTTTTGCTCGGCATCAGGCAAGGTTCCTCCGGGGAGGGAATGTATGCCCTTCCAGGAGGACACTTAGAATTTGGGTGAGTTCGATCAGGGTGTGATTTTGTTCAACAGTCAGCGCGAGATTGGTACTATGTCATAGTTGTAGTCTTTGCTTGCGCAACTAGATCATCGTACCAGTCTCTAGTTAGCGCGGGAACTGTTCCCCTTCCAGGAGGACACTTGGAATTTAGATGAGTGGTGAATCCGAGCAGGGGGGGAAGTAGAGGGTGGTTTCCGGGTTATGCGCCAGATATCGGGGTCGAAGGGAGATAACTCCGATTGACGCATCAAAGTTGGTAGACAATGTCAACCCACAGTAGTCCGTATCTAAAAATAGACGCCATCATGCATATTCATGACCATCTCCACGGGTTTGGTTTGGTTTGGTTTGTTGTTTAACGCCGCACTCAGCAATATTCCAGCTATATGACGGCGGTCTGCAATTAATCGAGTATGGACCAGACAATCCAGTGATTAATATCATGAGCATCGATCCACGACATTGGGATCGATGACATCCATCAACCAAGTCAGCGAGCCTGACCACCGGATCCCGTTAGTCGCCTCTTACGACAAGCATAGTCATCTTTTACGGCAAGCATGGGTTGCTGAAGACCTATTCTAACCCGGAATCTTCACGGGTCCTACGTAATTGGAATACGATGACATGCATCAACCAATTAGTCACCGAGCCTGACCACTCGATCCCGTTGGTCGCTTATTACGGCAAGCATAACGCCTTTGAGGATAGTTTATGTTCTCAAATATGTGACTGTAATCAACATGTGGACAATGGCTTTGATAGCGGCTGCCGAACGCTTCCAAGGGCAAACTAATTCGTCCCAGAACATACGATGTGTTACTCAACTATGGCAGATGCATGTATAGGTAGATTGCCATTTTAATGTGCGAATAATCCAACCAGTAAGTACAGAGGGGCGATTTGAGAAGGGGGCTTGTTGAAAAAAATCCTCACCCCCAGGAGGCATGAATATTCCTATTTTAAGAAAATGGTTAATATTTACCAGAACGATTTCGATTTCACAGCATCCTGCTACTCCGTTTTCATGGAAGAGCATATACTACGTCATTCACTCTATCATGACTTCATATTACTCTAGAGTGATCTTATGGCTGTGTAGCAGGCGTTTGAGCACAAGAAGAAAGACCATTCTATAGAAAGGACCGATAACCCATTCTATAAAGTACAAATAATAATCACGTGTTTTCATATGTGCCGGTGTTTTAGTATTCCATGCAAGGACAGTCCAATATTTGTAACTTCCGGCTGCGCCGTCATAGTGCAGACAAACCTTCCGGGCTTTGAATATAGTCAATATAGCCCCAGACCTTAATATTTATTTATTGCGAATAACTCCCGCATCTGTTTATTGTCAGCGAGTCGTGGGAGGAGTGCGGTGCGAGGGAGGTGCTGGAGGAGACGGGGCTGACACTGAAGGGGGTGCGGTACTGCACTGTACTCAACGGGGTGAAGAGAGAGGAGAATTACCACTACGTGGAGTTGTTCGTCAGGGGAGAGGTGGACCTTTGTCTCAAAGCAGAACCACAAAACATGGAGCCTCATAAATGTCTGGGTGAGTCAGGTCGTAATTTTGTTTAAAACAAAACAAAAAACAGCCCGAGGTATATTTATTTATCGTCGCTGGTGTGTCCCTAATGCATTATACTATTTATTTTGCAGAAATATGAAATTCCATGTCAAAATAGTGCTCCTAACTATATGAAACCTCGATGTATTGTTTCTTAGTACTTGTCAAAGTCTATCCCCCAGTGAAATATTTTGTGAAATCAACCATCGTTTAGCCTCAGAATATGTTTTACAATATTTAATAACTTATTTTAATCCATCTGCATCTTGTCTTTTGGAATACCGGTCCGCCCCGATTATGTTTCTAGGTTTGCCAGCATCATATCCGTGCTCGTGGGTTTCACCAAAGTGGTGAACTCCTTAGATATAACCAGCTTGGTTCCCTGGGTATGCTGCGCTGGCGCCAGCGCAACATACCCAGGGAACCAGGCTGTTTTCAAAGCGGCGTTAACCCAAACTCACTCACTCTTCGAATACTATTGAATTTTTCAGGTTGGGAATGGGTGAAATGGGACGAGTTTCCTCCCTTAGATAAACTCTTCTTTCCCCTGAGATTGATTCGAGAACAAGACTACAATCTGTTCCAAGAGTGCTGATATTCAGACACACTGCTCCAACAGACACACAGACACTCAGAAGGAAACTTGGCTGAGTACTGGAGAGACCATGGATTGTCACCAAACCAAATAAATATAGAACACCAGAGAAAAACCACCAATAACAATCAGCGATGACACCAAGAGTTATCCCCCTTAAATGATGACCGACGGGTTTCTTGAATCCTTTGTTTTTAAACGAACAGATTTCATTATGAAATTATATGTTCCATGGGCATCTGCAGGATTTTAAGTCGGAACTATAAGTCGAGAATTCCCCAAACAGAAGCTGATAGTATTGTTGTTCATCAAGATTCGTCAAAGGTAGCGAGGACAGTAATTTCAGGTTTTAGCTTGATGCATAAGTTTGCTTCTACCTTCAGCGTGGAACATGGTATTCTGTGTTTCATTTCTTTGAGAAATAGAAATAGACTAACTCTTAGGGCAGTTGGACAACCCGAGATCGCGCGAAACTCGTAGAAAAATGTGTGTTGTCAATTCAAGGTTGACTGTATCAAGCTACACCCTCACATCATTGCCCCATTCGTCACCACTCGCCCCTTTCCGTAACCTGCAAGAAGACTCGTCCCCCTATCGATGAATGTTATGTGTGAAAATACGACAAACCAATCAGAATGCGCGTATGGTTTCAAGTACTATGTCAAAGAATCCCTCAGAAATAATTTTTGATTTTACATATAACTTGCATCTAAAAATATACCCAAGACACAGTTAAATGTGTTCAATCATACTGTATAATTCCGCCCCTCCCGGTGTGCTTTAAATTGCATCTGAAATATAAATAATATATTGGGAAATGTATGTGAACCATTACGCAACGAATTGACAATTGTTTTAGGTATGCCCGTTTGCGCTAAGACGGAACCCGGTCGCAAAAATGGCAGCGGGAGGGGCACGAGTCGCTATTCGGCTTGTCTCGGAATAACACGAGTTGGTCACGAATGATCATTGCCCACTTTGGGTTTCAAAGTTCCAAAGGAGCTCAGCAGAGAGCGCAGCAAAAGTATAGTAAACTGTATGGTGGATGAACTCATTGTTGAAGGCATGGAGCATTAGAAGTGTGTGACATAATCATTGCAAAGTTATATATTACTTTTCATCGCCATCATCATCTTCCCCAAGCTGTGCCAAGCGCGTGACACCTTCGTTACACTCTCGGTAACATCGCTGCCGCCAGTGTGAAAGCGGTTCTTACAAGAGTCATGAAATTTGCCCTCTAACCCCAGTCAAGTTTATATTTCTGTTTATGTCTTAGGTAATGCCTTCATTGTGAATTCTGAAAAGGTTTACAACTGACCAGATTTGCCAGATGAAATAACCTTTTTTGTTTGTTTGATCAGATTGGTTCGAGATTGCAGACTAACTGAAAATCACGCAAATCCCCGAATAAATTCTTACTATACCAATTACATGATTAGTTGAATCGAAATAGAAATTCTAACTGACAAACAAAGAACATAATTTAGCAGGGGTAAGAGTATTCGGGTCACGGCAGTCATCACTTGTTTGTAAACATAACGGTCAGTCGGTTGCGAGTTCCACTCCAAGCATGGTGGTGGCCACCTATATCACAGTGGGGAGCTTTGACTATCGATGCCACCAGTCGTAACTATTCTAGCCAAGCCATTTACTTTCATGCAACTTTAAGCAAGAGTTTAGATTTGAACTAGCCGAAATCAGTGAGTCAGAATATATAGGCCTTTGAACAGCAACCCATTCTTGCTGTAAAAGGCGACTATATGCTTGTCGTAAGAGGCGACCAACGGGATCGGGTGGTCGGGCTCGCTGACTTGGTTGACGCATGTCGTATCCAAATTGCGTGGATCTATGCTCATGAGGACAATCACTGGATTGTCTGGTCCAGACTCGATTATTTACAGACCACCGGAATATTCCTGAGTGGCGTCAAACAGAAAAACAAACAAATCCTTACACATCACCACGTTGTGTAGCTCAATTACTCGTGTTTGGCCGCATCCTTACACATCACCACGTTGTGTAGCTCAATTACTCGTGTTTGGTCGCATCCTTACACATCACCACGTTGTGTAGCTCAATTACTGGTGTTTGGCCGTATCCTTACACATCACCACGTTGTGTAGCTCAATTACTGGTGTTTGGTCGTATCCTTACACATCACCACGTTGTGTAGCTCAATTACTCGTGTTTGGCCGTATCCTTACACATCACCACGTTGTGTAACTCAATTACTTGTGTTTGGCCGTATCCTTACACATCACCACGTTGTGTAGCTCAATTACTCGTGTTTGGTCGTATCCTTACACATCACCACGTTGTGTAGCTCAATTACTCGTGTTTGGTCGTATCCTTACACATCACCACGTTGTGTAGCTCAATTACTCGTGTTTGGTCGTATCCTTACACATCACCGCGTTGTGTAGCTCAATTACTCGTGTTTGGCCGTATCCTTACACATCACCACGTTGTGTAGCTCAATTACTCGTGTTTGGCCGCATCCATACACATCAACACGTTGTGTAGCTCAATTACTGGTGTTTGGTCGTATCCTTACACATCACCACGTTGTGTAGCTCAATTACTGGTGTTTGGTCGTATCCTTACACATCACCACGTTGTGTAGCTCAATTACTCGTGTTTGGTCGTATCCTTACACATCACCACGTTGTGTAGCTCAATTACTCGTGTTTGGTCGTATCCTTACACATCACCACGTTGTGTAGCTCAATTACTCGTGTTTGGTCGTATCCTTACACATCACCACGTTGTGTAGCTCAATTACTCGTGTTTGGTCGTATCCTTACACATCACCACGTTGTGTAGCTCAATTACTCGTGTTTGGTCGTATCCTTACACATCACCACGTTGTGTAGCTCAATTACTCGTGTTTGGTCGTATCCTTACACATCACCACGTTGTGTAGCTCAATTACTGGTGTTTGGCCGCATCCTTACACATCACCACGTTGTGTAGCTCAATTACTGGTGTTTGGTCGTATCCTTACACATCACCACGTTGTGTAGCTCAACTACTCGTGTTTGGTCGTATCCTTACACATCACCACGTTGTGTAGCTCAATTACTGGTGTTTGGTCGTATCCTTACACATCACCACGTTGTGTAGCTCAATTACTGGTGTTTGGTCGTATCCTTACACATCACCACGTTGTGTAGCTCAATTACTGGTGTTTGGTCGTATCCTTACACATCACCACGTTGTGTAGCTCAATTATTCGTGTTTGGCCGTATCCTTACACATTACCACGTTGTGTAGCTCAATTACTCGTGTTTGGTCGTATCCTTACACATCACCACGTTGTGTAGCTCAATTACTCGTGTTTGGTCGTATCCTTAAGTATGGGCACCATGTGTAGCTCAATTACTGGTGGCTGTCCCCATAAGTGGCATGTTTATCCGGTTTGAGTCGGGAGGTGTTGAGATAAAATTTAGTTGTAATGGTAATTCCTGATTTCCCGCGTAGACGTACATGGCACCAGATAGTGTTAGATGTGTATGTCGTAATTGTTGCGACAACTTGTTTCCTTGAACCAATTATGTATAGTGTTTTATTAACATTCAGAGTGTTCTATAAACAAAGACAAGCTGTATAGTAAACTAGATTTACTTAATGTTTATGGACGTTATAAACGTCTGTTGCTAGGTGTATTTATATAGTACGCATGCGCTGTTGCTACGGCACGGCCACGGCAAAACAAGGTCAGTCTGGTCGGATGGCCAATCTATTTGTTGGCATTCTAGGAATGTCAGCTCGGCGCACCTTGTGTCCTGTGAGTTTTTGTTGTTATTAGGGATACATTATATTAAGATACATGTAATGTACCCATATACTATAGAATTCAGAAAATATATTATTTTATTGAACCTAAAATGACAAAGTAAGTAGGTAATTAGGTATTCTACAAATTCAACTTAGCGTTCTTAACTCTGCTGGTAAAAAGAAGCTCTACACCGAAAACATAGTACGTTCATCTCCCAACAGTGAATTTATAGTTAAATTATCTCATAACAGTGAATTTATAGTTAAATTGTCTTCGTGTCGTGATTAGACACCCGAGCTGACGTCAGTATATATCACAATTCAATCGATCTTTATAGCCTATATAGATTTTTCAGTGAATACTTAAATAAACAGTGATTTACTATATTCGTCGTTGTTCTTTTGCCTTTTGATAAATAAATAATTTGACTCGAGTGGTAAGCGGTGAAGATTGTGTGAAACAGTTTAACAGAGTGAACTTTGCATGGTGCTGCCCATCTTCCCGAGGCAAGAGAGTTAACAGACTTTAAAAGTCCAGTTTCCACCCTTGCCGAACTAGGCTGGAATTCCTGGGCTCGATCGTAGCGCCACCAGTGGCTATTACGAGTTATGTCCTTTCTATGCCTCTCCTATTGACCAATCAGATTCAACCTCTCGTATCACTTTGCTTCAAACAAAACGGTGGCGCCCAGTCAAGACGATCTGATTGATAATCAAGATCTATATTGTGATAAAACGAGTCTTACATCGCGAAGTGCATCAAATCACATGAGCACCTTGATTAAAAGCATGAAAAGATTTAGACAATATCTGTTGACAACGATCGAGTTAGCGGTGCACATGCTTTGCAAATCCTGCAGTCGACCGAAATCTGCATGACACATTACGAACCGGATTTCGATTTTGGTGCGCGATTTTGATTGGACTATGACTAGACTCGTTAGTCCAGCCAAAATGTAACTCCATAATACCAGCCTAGGTCGGCAAGGGTGGAAACTGGACTTTTATAGTCAGTTAACTCACTTGCCCCGGGAAGATGGGTGCTGCCATAATACGACTGTTATGGTATCAATCTCATTAATATCAGATCTTAGTTCTCGCTACCGCAAAATTGTTTATAATGGGATTGGTTATGGAACGTTTTTAAACTCGAATAAAAAATACGCACATTTCTCGCGGGGCATCTTCCCCACACACTTGTTTATAACGGATTAAAAACATTATAAATAAGAATCCTGAGTTCTAATTGGTCCGCCAGGGGTATCAAATCAACGTTATGCCTTGATTTTGATTATGACCGAAAGAAATTATGTATTTGAAAGTAATTCTTTCAAAAGCACTACCGGCGAGCACGTTCAAGACTTGTTTTTACTTAATAAACGTTGCGAAATAGTCATCTTTTTTGGTATTACCAAAGGGCTCGCATTTCCAAGATTCTGACATAGCCATGCATCTTGAATGGAGATAAACTTTCATGTTTCAAATTTCCGATTTGAAACATGCAGATGCGGAAATGCGCATCCTGTTATTACACTCACTGGGAGCTCACGCGGATGTTCACAGATCAACCCTTTCCCTATGACCTAAATCACACTGAAATCATATACACAGACAGACATTTCAGATAGATCTATACATCACTTTTGCCCAAATACTGGATATTAACCTAATCGATGTAAAAGCTAATTGAATTATATTCAAATACTAAAATACAATTAATTTATTCATGTTTTTATTCATTCTGCGGGACTGTTAAGATGTCTGCTACTACGGAGGAAACCCACGAGCGACCTAAGGTCGGGGTAGGCGTTTTTGTGACAAGTCAGGACCACCCTGGATGTGTTTTGCTCGGCATCAGGCAAGGTTCCTCCGGGGAGGGAACGTATGCCCTTCCAGGAGGACACTTAGAATTTGGGTGAGTCCGATAGGGTGTGATCTTGTTTAACAGTCAGCGCGAGACTAGTAGTCTAGCTTGCGCATCTAGGTCACGACACCAGTCTCTAGTTAGCGCGGGAACTAAAGCTCCCCACAGGGCTAGCCAATTTGCGGATTTTTGACTGGCGAAGGAGCTTGTGCGGGAACTCAAGCCCCTCACAGCGATAGTCCGTTCGCGGAGCTCTCTAATACTAAGAGTGTAACGAAGGTGTCACGCGCTGGGAAGGAGCTTGGCGGGAACTGCTCCAAGGGAGATAACTCTGGTTAATGTAGTCCCTCAATAAGAAGTATCAGAAACTATTCTTTTTGGACAAAATAACGATAATAACTGCAATACATGTATGTCATGTCGTCCATATCTCTCCTACTGTATATATATATGTCCCCAAATTACTCACTTTTGCTACCACAACATATATACCGCCACGAGGGGCGGTCGGGTAGCCTGGTGGTTAAAGCGTTTGCTCGAAAACCCGGGTTCGAATCCCGACATGGGTACAATGTGTGAAGCCCATTTCTGGTGTCCCCCGCCTTGATATTGCTGGAATAGTGCTAGAAGCGGCGTAAACCATACTCAATCACTACTACCAAGAAAAAACTAATATATGCCTTTAATGGCAGAAATTGATATTGTAGTGACGATAGTGTAGAACGGATTTGATAGCAGCTAATGAATATTATTAATGTCATTCACCACCACCCCAATCCATCCCACTACGTCCCCTACCAAAAAGAAAAAATATATATCTATAAAAGGGAAAGACAGGAAATCACTCAACTTGTGGATCATTGCATGCAGTACACTTATGTCGATAACTGTTATGGGAATCATAAAACCCATTAGTACCAGTTTGTTTGGGTGTTCGAAGCTGGAAAACCTGCTGAAAAAGGGCTTTTGCTGACTACGTGTGACGTGTGAAATACAATCCCTCCCTTTTATAAATGCTGGATCCTCCCTTGGCTTGGGTCATACCGTGAACATAATATACACTTCTATCCTGTCAGTGAATCGTGGGAGGAGTGCGGTGCGAGGGAGGCGATGGAGGAGACGGGGCTGACACTGAAGGGGGTGCGGTACTGCACTGTAGTCAACGGAGTGAAGAGAGAGGAGAATTACCACTATGTTACGCTGTTCGTCAGGGGAGAGGTGGACCTCAGCTTCAAGGCAGAACCACAGAACATGGAGCCACATAAATGTCTGGGTGAGTCAGGTGGTAGACTTGAAGTAGGTTTTGTTTACAAAATAAATAATGAAATAACTTTCTTAATCGAAATATTTTTCTTCCGTTATTTGTGTGTTACGAATGCATGTAGATATTTTTGTATAAAATAAAATAATTCAAGGTAGCTGTATTTTTTTTTAACAACTTCAAGTCTCTTTGCATGTAAATATAATATTTATTTGAAATCATTTGAATCTTTCAGGTTGGGAATGGGTGAAATGGGACGAGTTTCCTCCCTTAGATAAACTCTTCTGTCCCCTGCGATTGATTCGAGAACAAGACTACAATCTGTTTCAAGAATGCTGATATTCAGACACACTGCTCCAACAGACACACAGACACTCAGAAGGAAACTTGGCACGGTACTGAAGAGACCATGGATTGTCAGATGTCGTTCATGTTCTTGAATTAAATGACCTGCTTAATTCAAATAATGTACGCTTTGGGTGTCAGCATAATGCGTACCACAGACTCACTGATCCATAAGACACAGACAGGAAGCCGCTGAACGTGTCTTAATTCGAAGCAGACCTGATGCGTTCATGACTTCTTGAATAAAAACATCTGCTCAAATTATTATCGATAAATTGTTTGTGGATAGATCTATCACGGGTTATTTAGGTCCGTGGAACTACCAACGTATGTGTCGCGTGAAGATCCGGGGTAGAATAGGTCTTCAGCAAACCATGCTTGCCGTAAAAGGTGACTATGCTTGTCGTAAAAGGCGACTAACGGGATTGGGTGGTCAGGCTCGCTGACTTGGTTGATGCATGTCATCGTATCCCAATTGCGTGGATCGATGCTCATGTTTTCAATGACTGGATTGTCTGGTCCAGATTTGATTATTTACAGATCGAAGTCATATAGCTGGAATATTGCTGAGTGCAGCGTTAAACAACAAACAAACAATACCAACATATGTGGAAAATATATAACTCGCTGAAAGTTAGCCAGTACATTCCTGACGGAAAACGACAAATTTATACGTTGGACGCGGCCATCTTGGACCCTGCAATGCAACCCGCCCGCAGGCGTCTCCAGGTATCGCCATCTATCGCAACACATCCAACGTTTCCTTGGCTCCTTGGATTGTGTAATCTGGGCAGAGCATTAAATGGTATATCGCATTTTCTCTAACTCCAAAATCATTCTTCCAACTTTTTTAGTTTGTAAACAGTAGTAAGCAGTGTCTTGAAAGTAATAAGTGCAGCTTACCAGCTACAGTGGCAGAGAGATTATAGTAGTGCCATTTGATGTTCTGAAAAGCATTGTGATGCAATTTCATTGCTGTGATCTCACCCAGGCGATATCTCCCGTGGAAGTCAGTTTTGGATGATAAATATCAGTGCATGTGATTTCAATGTAACGGGGGGCGGAGGGGTAGCAAAGGGGTATCTTGCTTCAGTATTAATAGTGAATAGAGATACTCAAGCCGGCAGCTTTCACAAACTAAGCCACCTGTCTCAGTTTGTATCTGCTATGGCTAGACGGAGTACTTTTCAGTAATACTGCCTTTGGCCAAGCTATCAAAACGAGAGATGTAGTCGTGGTTCTGGGGTGTGTTTCCTCGAGACCACCCAGCGTCTATTTGAAACACAAGCCCGTGACAAGGGTTTTCTAGCATGGTCACCTCGCAGAAAGTGCTGGCTGAATTTAGCATACAGTCGATGGAGGTGAGTAAGACACAACGTCGACCATAGCCTTATATTATTCACGCCTGTATCGTTAGGGTTATATGCTCTACGATACAGAATTCACGTGAAGACCCTCCGAGACTGGAATGCGTACTGTCCTGGTGGCTTTTGGGGACTCCAACTTATTTGCTGGTGCGTTCAATCAGACCGCAGCAAACAAAGAAACTTCCCTGCGCTTTGTCCTCAGTAACAGAAGACTCCATCATCTAGGTAGCTCACTGGCATCCCAACATATCTTTCCCTCACTTCGGGATTGTGCCTGCATGCTGCCTAACCTGAAAGCTTTGTCGCGATTCCTTGCACGAACAGACCGCCACCGTGGTCTAGTGGTAGAGTGTCCGCCCGGAGAGCGGAAGGTCCGGGGTTCGATCTCCGGTCGCGTCATACCAAAAGACGTTAAAAGATGGTACTTGTTGTTACCCTGTCTGGAGCTCGCATTTAGGGGCTTAAACAAGGACTGGTCGACTCGGAGTCACTATACTGTGTCTGAGTGGGGTATCCATGTAAAATAGCGGCATGGTATCTCAGTGTGCTAGCACTATAAATCGGCACCAGTCCGGACTAGTACAAGCACGCACACACACACACACACACACACACACACACACGTGCATGTACGTCGCTATATAAGTGCAATAATCTTGGACGCGACGTTAAACCCCCATTTCACCCCACGCCGTTGCACGACCAACAGTAGGTTGCTCTGGGGCTAGGCAACCCTGTCGACGGTTCGCTTTTAAATAGGAGTAGTTCTATTGGGTGGTATTCGTGCACACGTGCGTGTATGTCACGGGGGTGTCGGAAAAGACCAATCGGTAAATGGAGCTTCCAGGAGCAGTGGTCTCATTCGTACGATAAGTATTCATCGTTGCTATTGTAATTCTATTTATGGCATGACAAGCAAACGGTTTAACCACTAGGCTACCGCACACATTGAAATCACATGCACCAATCGACAGTATAGTAGGAAACATCGCTCATGCGTGTCACCTAAGAGATATCGCTACAATAGAATTGCATCATAATGCTTTGCAGAACATTGTGACGTCAACAGTTACCAATGACGTCATAATAATGTGACATCACTAGTCTCTATGTTAAAAGATTATGAGTCTGATAGGTTGTTGACTTAACCGCACTAGGTTTGCTGTAAATTGTCAAAGAGTCTCTGCTTGTACAAATGTATACACATATCTTTGTAGTCTACATCCAAATTTTTAAAAAAACCATATTATTTAATATGGGTGGCCCAAGTGGTCCTGCGAGTGTCGTCCAACGCAGTTAACATCTTGTAGAACTGTCTATCTGGGCTGAGATGTAAAAGCTTCAACCAGTATTTTACATCTTCCCGAGCCAAGAGAGTAAACTGACTTTAAAAGTCCAGTTTCCACCCTTGCCGAACTAGGCTGGAATTCCTGGACTCGATCGTACCACCACCAGTGGCTATTATGAGTTATGTAACTTCTATGCCTCTCATATGGACCAATCAGATTCCACCTCTCGTATCACTTGCATTTGCTTCAAACAAAATGGTGGCTCCCCGTGCACCAAATCACATGAGCACCTTGGTGAAAAACATGAAAAGATTTGGAAAATATCTGTTGACAACGAGTTGGCGGTGGACATGCTTTGCAAATCCTGCAATCGATGGAAATCTGCGTGACAGTTTACGAACCGGATTTTGATTTCGTTGCGCGATTGTGATTGGACTATGCATAGACTCGTTAGTCCAGCCAAAAGCTAACTCCATAATATCAGCCTAGGTCGGCAAGGGTGGAAACTGGACTTTTATAGTCAGTTAACTCATTGTCCCAATTCTGACCAGTCTGAGGCAAAAACCGCTTTTGGGGATAAAATCTCAACGACGTTCAGGGGTATCGTTATGGTGCATGGCTAGTTGTACCGTTGCTTCACGCTGCCTCACCAACGATGTTGACGATGAAGTATCACTTGCCTCCCGTCCACCCACTGTACATATAACGGACCATTAGCTTGGTGACTGTCATTCGGCTAAAGCCAAAACCCCCTGCTACGTGGCAATGCGTTGCTTCTTGATGTATCATACAAATTACGTATTCTTTTAGCACCATTAATCTCAGCATGATATTTGTCTCTGTCCAACGGTTTGGGTGTGAATGAACAGTACATCGTTCCTTTTATATCCCTATCTCTGTAGGCTGGCAAGCTGCAAGTGCAGCAAATGTTTCACTTCAAACTTAAGTTCCACTGATCTGGGTAATGTAGCACGTGCAATGATGTGGTTGTGTTCGGGCGTATGATTGAAATTTGTAACATTTTTTCCACAGGATGAAATGTGCTGCAAAAAAAATCTCAGCCCCTAAAAATGAAGAAAAAACCCAATGACTCTACACACACACACCCTCCTCCTCCCCTCCCCCCCCCCCCCCCCCCCCCCCCCGACACACATCCCAGAATATCAAATGACCTGCAACTTATTTTGTATCCATTTGCATTTGTCTGTGAAAACATCTTTTTGACACTGAAAACTAAGTGGTTAATTACAACAGAATCACATGTAGAGTACACCAAACTTTATTTTCTTCAACAAGAACAAACTGTACAAGGACAATATACATAGTAACTACCACATGTTACCATCTTAAGAAACATGAGTAGTTGCTGATCACAGAGATGCAGGAGAGACTGGATGTCAGGACGTTAACAACAGATATTGTCAATATCTCAAGATGCAGGAGAGACTGGATGTCAGGACGTCAACAACAGATATTGTCAACAACTCAAGATGCAGGAGAGACTGGATGTCAGGACGTCAACAACAGATATTGTCAACAACTCAAGATGCAGGAGAGACTGGATGTCAGGACGTCAACAACAGATATTGTCAACAACTCAAGATGCAGGAGAGACTGGATGTCAGGACGTCAACAACAGATATTGTCAACAACTCAAGATTACAAGATTCTGGACTTTACAACTATTACCAATAAGAGGACTTTCATTGTCATGGACATATTCTACACACCCATGTTTTTGATAGGCAAGGATTTGATGATGCAGCCAAAGCAATCCAGTCTACTTGGTGCATGGTGGAGCTACACCTTCATCATGAGTAAACATAGGAAAACATATTTTCAGAATAACAAAGTACAATATATATCCATACACTCATGTGTCTTTTTTATATCAAACATAATTGTTTTAATTCATTTTCTAAAATAAACATATTCTCATAACTTGTAACAATGTAACATAGAACCAATATCTGAAGTTAAACATGCTCAAAATGTGATTATGGCAAAACAAAATCAAAGTATAGTTATCAACTTGGAATGTTTCTCCATTTAAACCGAAAGTCACAATGAAACTGATGTAAATGATAAGAAGGATGGAAGTAGAATCACACACTAAACTGATGTACTCTCCTTATTGTCTTACCTAGTATACCTGGGCCCATTTGCACATAGCTATCTTAGTGTTAGGACTATCATAAGCTTATGTTAAAGTATGGGTGTTACGATCATCTTAGCACTAAGATCGTTTTGTGCAAGTGGGCCCTGGTAGAAAACCACAGTGACTATCTATATTGCTAGAACCCATCGGAACAATGCCTTGTCTACATTCAATCCTTTCAACTTTTGAATTATTTTTTTTCCATATATGATTACAACATTGCTATGTGTATCTATAGTCACTGGCTGTCCAAACAAACTGAAATGTGAGGAATCTAATCAAGAGAATGTTCACTAACCATACACAACTTTAACAAATACATTGGTCTGCCTCACAGTAAACAGGAAATGCCATGTACGCAAACCCGCAACAGTTTTTATCTCCATAATCCATTCTTGTATGAAAGTTGGTGGGTTGGTTTGTTGTTTAACGCCGCACTCAGCAATATTCCAGCTATATGACAGTGGTCTGTAAATAATCAAGTCTGGACCAGACAATCCAGTGATTAATATCATGAGCATCTATCAACGCAATTGGGATCGATGACATGCATCAATCAAGTCAGCGAGCCTGACCCCCCGATCCCGTTAGACGCCTCTTACGACAAGCATGAGGTATGAAAACAAAAATTTAACAAATATGGCTAAAATCTTTTTTGCAAGTAGTTGTCAGTCATGTTTCCATGCAAAATTATGATCAATAACCATAATTATTTGTAAATAGGTTGTGTCACACCAACAACCAGGTGCTATGGCAACAACAGGCTTGGAATATTGTCAACATGGGTCAGATCTTAACAAATAGATTCACACTGCATGCAGTAAAGCTCCGCAATACTTTCTTCAGTGAAACTCTGTTAGTGTACAAACCTACCTTCCTGACATACACGGGCAAACTGATCTAATGAACTACATACATAGTTGGAGTCAAGTGTCAAAATGTCGTCGCATGCAGAATACCTCCCTGAATATCAATACAAAATAAACATATAATCTTCCTAATAAAATAATGTGATCATAATAAACTACACATTTCATAATCTTAGTTTCATGAGGCACATGGTAAGCAGTGTATGCTTGGGGGATGGCACTATGAACGTTATTATAGAAACGTCTCTCTGTTTGGCCATCACATTCTTGAAAATAAATTACTTTGGCAACAACTGCTTTAGACCATAAACATATTTTGGCTATCGCTGCTTGATACGAAAAGTCGAGTTGTTCATTTCAAAATTGGAATTAATAAGACTTAGAACCTAAAAATATTTCGGCCATCACTTCTTTTAAACATGAAATATTTTCGCTGCATAAGTACATTACAATTTTCCTCCACTACTCTTCATCAGGGCTATTTCGTTGGGACACTAACATGTAACTTGTTCAATTTTACAGTTTTTGCACATTTTGTGTTTAATATATTTAAGTTTAAAACATCAAAATAGTCAAACAAGTCAAATATCACAGCTGTTTCATAACCAGCAAAAGACTTAGCGAATGTCTATAATAAAGTCCAACAATTCTCTCCTGATTTATCAAGTCATGTTACAGAAATCCAATTACTTCTTCCGACATTCACAACAAATAGCAAAATGATAAGATAAGTTCAGTCACCCAGATTTCAATACATTTCCACCTCAAGTTGTATTGCGAAAGTTTATCACAGTTTCAAACCAATCCTAAAGACCACAACGTGGTAGTATAACAAAACACTGAATTTCTGCACCAGCCACTGATGGCATCGGCACTGATACACATGCCCATTATATAACAAAACAAACACGATGGTCCAGTACACACACAACTATTTCATACAATAAAAAATCATCTCCAATAGAAAAAATATTTGGAAAATGAATATCCCAATGCTGATTATTTTCAATGAATACTGTACTCCTTTGTTGACCAAAACATCATTGTTTTGTCAAAATGACCAAATTGGGACCAGAATGCTTCTGTTTAAAATGGAAGGAGAAATATGTACTAAAATATATGATAAATTAGAAAAGTCCCTCGGCTTGTGTAACAAGTTTTAAAATATGATTGAACAAACTTTAATATTGTAAGAATGAGACCGTTTGATACTTCCTACTAAATATATTTCCCCAACTCTCGCTTCATAGTATTTGTACAAATGCCATACCTATAGTTGTCTCAAATATAATAAGTCATGGTAATAATATCTTCATATTTGGAATATCAACAAAAGCATGGAGCAGAACCATGTCTGTTTGTTATAATTTACAGGCAACTTTGTGGTTATCAAAGCAAACAAACTCACTCAAACTAACTTTAAGCATATACATAGAAACACTGAAAAAAGAAATATAATATGAACAATCTGCAGGTAAAAAGACCCTGGTACAATATATCACTGTGAAGACACTAATTCTTCAAGGAACTGAGTTTTATATGTAATCATGTAAAAATCAGTGTAATTGTAGATAATACTGAGACACTGTCGATACTCCAACATCCTCTATTGTGAAAATGCAGATCCGAGGCTCCTTTCTCCATTAAAACTGGGTTGTTGGTGCCCTACAATAGGGTCAAGAGTTCTTTAGCATCATTAAGACTCCGCAACAACTGCTCATGTACAGTTCCCACCCTGTACATGCCAAGGATTCAGTATCAGCTGTAGACAAAGGCGTGGTTTTCTCTCATTTCCAACTGCCGTAGTCTCATCGTATTGGACGCGCCACGTATCCGTTGCGACTTGGTTGAGCGGTGACTGGCAGGATTCTCTGTCATAGAATGGTTTGAACTGATTCTACTGAGGCCACTTCCTGGCGAAGATGCTGACACAACCATTTCTGGTCGAACAAGTTCTGGACGTTGGATGACTGGTGCCGGTGCCGACACCACGGAGAGACCATGTGATGGAGGGGCAGGGCCAAACCGAGGGAGGGGGAGATCTGAAACAACACACCATTACTTACTGACAGAGACTGGTATTACAACCTACATGGTCACCAAGTGATTTGGGATTTATGACTTTACATATATAATGGCAGAACAGTTTTACCTTTGTATCTTATTCTTTAAATATTACATGAAGTTTGATTTTACAAAGTAGTTATTATCCATGTGAACTCAAATTGTCTTAGGGTAAGCATGAAAGAGAGACATTGTCCGACAAGTAAAGTGTGCATTAATTAATCTACATGCTGTGAAGTTTATTTCAAAGGCCACTAGAATATGACTTAGTACAAAAGCAAAGTAAGAAGAATGAATGCTATGTTTAAACTACTAAGACACAAGAAGCAAATGCTTCAATTGTTTGTATTGAAACTGAAAGCAGACTAAAGGAGACAGAGTTATTGTTTTAAATCATACATAATTACGTGTTATTAAGTTTAATACCTTTACTGAAAAAACAATTCCATAACAGGCATACATGATGTCAGTACACAAAACATCAGGCAAGACCAGTGACAAAACTGTAGATATAGATATAGTCGAACTATCTCGAAGAGTAAATAGTCATGTTAAAATATATACGGCGGATACACACGAACTAGATGTAATGATACTGCATACACAATATTATATTTGAGAATATTTCCAACATGCACACATCTAGTTTAAAGTTAGAACAATACAGCAGCTTATAAGGTTAGGTAAAGCACAGCATGTACATGTTTTACTGGTTGTGTCATGTACTGCTGCAGTGGCTGCCAGATCGTATAGAGCAGTATCATTAGAAGGGATGAAGAGAGACAGGCCCACAGATACATGATCGACACCCCAGGGTAGCGGCCTCTTTTATTGTCATTCAAACAAACATGAAAACAAAACAATTAAACTGCAGACTTATAAATATCATTTATATTTCCTTGCTCACTTGTCATGAAAATTTTGAACATTTGATGCCTTTCAATTACAGTCCTTGGAATTTGTTAAGAACTGATAATAGAATAGGTCCATTTTCATGCAACAATTAGCACTAGACACAAACATATTAGAAAAATAGGGAAGTGTCATCATCATCAAGAGATCTGCTCACAGTGAACTAAACAATTACTTTTGTTGTTTTGTTTGACGTGTGCAGTGAATATCCCTGTCGTATACTGTTAGTGTTGTGTGACAGACTGCAGCAGCCATACTGACAGCAACCCCAGTCGACACTGATGAAGGTATATACATGTGTGCACTGCAGGAAGCTTACGCTCAGTTAGACACTGAGCAAATTCACTGGCCTACCTATCAGATACTCCCAGCCTTTCTGCCCTAGAGTAATGGTAATGGGTTTGATGTATTCAACAAGTAACAGTAATAGTCTAGTAGGCAGATCATTCTCTACACTAATAGTCTAGTAGGCAGATCATTATCTACAGTAATGATAGTCTTGTAGGCAGATCATTCTCTACAGTAATAGTCTAGTAGGAAGATGATTCGCTACAGAAATAGTCCAGTAGGTAGATCATTCTCTACAGTAATAGTCCAGTAGGCACATCATTATCTACAGTAATGATAGTCTTGTAGGCAGATCAGCGTTAGAAACAAACAGTTGTCGTCCACTAGTCCTTATAATGATAACATATAGCAAAACCCTTAAAAAGGGCACATTTCTACTAGTCCTTATGATATTGGGGAGTTTGGCAAGGACTATAGGACGAGTGCCAATTTCTACTGCTGCAGATCATTCTCTCCTGTAATAGTGAAGAAGGCAGATCATTCTCTACAGTAATAGTCAAGAAGGCAGATCATTCTCTACAGTAATAGTCAAGAAGGCAGATCATTCTCTCCGTAATAGTCAAGAAGAGAGATCATTCTCTACATTAATGGCGACAGCGAAACTTCATCAAGATGATGTCATGCATCATTGTACCAATCCATACAGTAAAAAGCGAAATTGATGACTTTATCTTGAAGTTTCTCAATAAAAGCATGAACTGATGGTACTATGCATAGCCTATGGGATTTGTGAACTTCCTACCCAGTGTCTTTAGTATGTCTTTTCAGTGGCCACATTGGTTTTACGCTTTGGTGAAAACCTCTTAACTTAAAAGGAACAAAGGTTGCAAATGTGAAAAATGGAAAATAAAATGGAAACAGGAGACTTTATAAAGTTGATATTCCAATGTCTATTTCAGAATCAGGGTCTGATTTTTTTTGGGGGGGGGACTTTAATAATGCAATGTGATCTGTACAGTCGAGTATCAGAACAATCCTCAAGCACTGGCAGCAGCTTTAGGTTTAATACACTTGATTCTCAGGTACAACACATATTAGAAAAACCTCCCTTTAAATCCTTTCCATTTCTACATGAAGACAAAAAAAGAACATTTCTGACAATCAGGGTAGGACACTTTTCACACAAATAAAGACACCACCAATCCACATCCATTTTCCAAAGTAATTGTTTGAGAAAGTTATTGTATTTTTCAACCTTGAATATTGATACAAGGCTTTAGCTTAAAATCCCATCATCATCAGACCCTTTCAAACCTTCTAATCAACCTAGATCAAAACCTAAATGTCAAAACCTCTAAGATCAATAAACACCCCAAGCAGACATAACATCATCAGACAATATGTTCCTAAAAGTCAAGCTTGAAATGTCTATCTAACACAGTTGCCTTAGACCATGGATTAATATCCTTCTCAATCACAAGCCCTCAATATACTCAACACCATATTACACCCTGATGTATATATCTACCACCACATCACACCCTGAGGTATATATCCACCACCACATAACACCCTGAGGTATATATCTACCACCACATAACACCCTGAGGTATATATCCACCACCACATAACACCCTGAGGTATATATCCACCACCATATTACACCCTGAGGTATATATCCACCACCATATTACACCCTGAGGTATATATCCACCACCACATAACACCCTGAGGTATATATCCACCACCATATTACACCCTGAGGTATATATCCACCACCATATTACACCCTGAGGTTAATATCCACCACCACATAACACCCTCAGGTATATATCCACCACCACATAACACCCTGGGGTGTATATCCACCACCATATTTCCAAGTCCCTCTATACAATGTATCAGCTTAAAGCCCTGAAATAACTGCATGCATGTCATCACCCAAGGAAAACACTGCACTCTGCAAGCCACCATACCTGGGTCTCTTCTCCCATGTGCACTGAGTATTCGAGCCTTCTGTGTGGGCGTAGTTGTGTCTGACCGCCAATCTGTCTGACCACTACTCCGAGCTAGCAGCCGATTCCTCTCTGCCTCCGTCTCGACCATGCTACTCCGGTAGTCCGTCTCTGGCACAATGGTGGCTGGTCCACTCCTGTTGGCTGCAATAGGTTTCCGTGACAGCTGTCGTCTCTGGAACAAACAAGGACACTTTTCCAACATTTGTACATGACAACCTTCATCTACCATAAAACATATTAAACACTGAATAATCATACTACAAAGTTTACATTTACACACCAGAATAAAATTAAGAAAAATAATTCACAATTGGATGACTTTTCTTTGAAAAATATTATCTTATCAAGACACTTAAAAGAAACCTTTTCACTATTTCACTGAGAATGACATCCATCACACAAATGTGTAACCATGAAATAAGTGCTGCTCATATGCAAGGAAGCAATCCTTACTCTGACACTGAGCGCATAAACACAGCTGAGAGTGAGCATGTCAGTGAATGAATACAAATGCTAATAATCTACAAGATAAAATGACTGAAAGAAAACATTTCATGATGATTACAGTGAGTGAGCTAAGCTTGACTGACAAGTGCAGTGAGAGGAGTTAATCACACAAATGAATTGATGAGTGGGTGTTGAGATGACATGCTCACACGACCTTGAAGCCAGTCAGGGAGCACTAGAACCCTGACGTCTAGACACCTGGTGTCATGACAAGCACATGTTGTGGGCCTCCTAGAAGCCAGTCAGGGAGCACTAGAACCCTGACGTCTAGACACCTGGTGTCATGACAAGCACATGTTGTGGGCCTCCTAGAAGCCAGTCAGGGAGCACTAGAACCCTGACGTCTAGACACCTGGTGTCATGACAAGCACATGTTGTGTGCCTCCTAGAAGCCAGTCAGGAAGCACTAGAACACTGACGTCTAGAGACCAGGTGTCATGACAAGCACATGTTGTGTGCCTCCTAGAAGCCAGTCAGGGAGCACTAGAACCCTGACGTCTAGACACCTGGTGTCATGACAAGCACATGTTGTGTGCCTCCTAGAAGCCAGTCAGGAAGCACTAGAACCCTGACGTCTAGAGACCAGGTGTCATGACAAGCACATGTTGTGTGCCTCCTAGAAGCCAGTCAGGGAGCACTAGAACCCTGACGTCTAGAGACCAGGTGTCATGACAAGCACATGTTGTGTGCCTCCTAGAAGCCAGTCAGGGAGCACTAGAACCCTGATGTCTAGACACCTGGTGTCATGACAAGCACATGTTGTGTGCCTCCTAGAAGCCAGTCAGGGAGCACTAAAACACTGACGTCTAGAGACCAGGTGTCATGACAAGCACATGTTGTGGGCCTCCTAGAAGCCAGTCAGGAAGCACTAGAACCCTGACGTCTAGACACCTGGTGTCATGACAAGCACATGTTGTGGGCCTCCTAGAAGCCAGTCAGGGAGCACTAGAACCCTGACGTCTAGACACCTGGTGTCATGACAAGCACATGTTGTGGGCCTCCTAGAAGCCAGTCAGGGAGCACTAGAACCCTGACGTCTAGACACCTGGTGTCATGACAAGCACATGTTGTGTGCCTCCTAGAAGCCAGTCAGGAAGCACTAGAACACTGACGTCTAGAGACCAGGTGTCATGACAAGCACATGTTGTGTGCCTCCTAGAAGCCAGTCAGGGAGCACTAGAACCCTGACGTCTAGACACCTGGTGTCATGACAAGCACATGTTGTGTGCCTCCTAGAAGCATGTCAGGAAGCACTAGAACCCTGACGTCTAGAGACCAGGTGTCATGACAAGCACATGTTGTGTGCCTCCTAGAAGCCAGTCAGGGAGCACTAGAACCCTGACGTCTAGAGACCAGGTGTCATGACAAGCACATGTTGTGTGCCTCCTAGAAGCCAGTCAGGGAGCACTAGAACCCTGATGTCTAGACACCTGGTGTCATGACAAGCACATGTTGTGTGCCTCCTAGAAGCCAGTCAGGGAGCACTAAAACACTGACGTCTAGAGACCAGGTGTCATGACAAGCACATGTTGTGGGCCTCCTAGAAGCCAGTCAGGAAGCACTAGAACCCTGACGTCTAGACACCTGGTGTCATGACAAGCACATGTTGTGTGCCTCCTAGAAGCCAGTCAGGAAGCACTAGAACACTGACGTCTAGACACCTGGTGTCATGACAAGCACATGTTGTGTGCCTCCTAGAAGCCAGTCATGGGGGCACTAGAACCCTGACGTCTAGACACCTGGTGTCATGACAAGCACATGTTGTGTGCCTCCTAGAAGCCAGTCAGGGAGCACTAGAACCCTGATGTCTAGACACCTGGTGTCATGACAAGCACATGTTGTGTGCCTCCTAGCAGAGTAAGACAGTTCCAAGAAAACAGGGATAGCTAGTGTCAGAAGGATAGAAAGACAAAACATTTGAAGAAATATTCTACAGACCTTCCAATCAATGATCAGTAAATCAACATGATATCATAAAACTATGATTCCAGGTATCAACACGGCGGCAACACATTATGTCTTTATTAAAATGGCAAATAAAATTAAATTTACAATAAAATAATTTTCTCAAAATGTTTAATCAACATAAGCGACTTTACAATAATATCAACAATATTGCTTCAGATTCATTCCATTTCACATCTTACACAATGTTTTGACTACTATGTGATTACCTCCCTTACATACTGAATTTGAGAAACACAAATGAGCGCAGTAGTCTATTCAGGCAACATCATGTACATGGTTGCCGGTTAATTCTTGTGATGAACCGGCACGCAGGCATTGTCTTCATCCCATTATTGTGGTGGAATAAATAAACAATCACTAGAATTATATTTTGAATTGTGGCTCAAAATATTGAGCAGGCAAACCAGAGGTTGATAGTGTGAGCTTCAGTAATTGGTATAAGAGTATAATGACAAATTATATCATCATTGTAATACAGGAGAATTAGTTACTCATGCAATTGCTTCTTACAAGCAAGGGCTCAGACTAGGGATCTGGGGGGCATGGGTGGCCCAGTCGTTTAAGGCGCCGCGATTCGCTGTGTAGAGTTGCGTCCCTTGGGCACGCCGGAAACCTATGACTGGGATCGAATCCCAGTTAGCCTGATTATGTTTCTAGGTTTGTCGGCACTATACCCGTGCTCGTGAGTTTCACCGAAGTGGTAAACGTCTGAGACCTGCATCACTTCGGGCTTTCCTCCCACACGCCGTGATATAACTGGAATAATATTAAAAGCGGCGTTAAACCCAACTCACTCACTCACTCAATCAGACTAGGGATCTAATCTGCCCTGAAATTGTCACCAGGGCACCAGCTGACTAGGGGGCTACAAGAATTAGGATGAAGTGCTATGATGGTTCATTCTGAAATCTACAGCAACATAACCATGTGTGTTACTTGTATGATACAATGCGTGCAAGTGTATAGTTAAGTGAATGACATGCATCCATGCTGGACAGGTCTACCCTGTATCCAACAGTGAAGCTAGCTACAAGCCATCTTCTAGAAGCCCCACCACATCTAGCTTGTGACACAAATCACTTACCTGAAAAGCTGGGACCGTTCTCTCATTCACGTTGGCTAAACTGGCGTTTTTGCCCTGCCATCGTGTTCCATTATTAGGCTGAGTGGATAAATGAGTATAGGGTAAGGTATACGGCCCTATAGGTCTGGTCAAGTAGGCTGGGGGTGGGATGATTGGGTGGGGGGTGGAGGCCATGGCCAGGAGGGGGAAGGAGGTCGCTAGGAAGCTTGTGGGACTTGATGCAAAGATGGACTGAGACGTCACAACAGGTTGAGAAGGCACGAGGTTAGAAGTGAGAGCGGCGTGAAGTTTGGGAGAGTATGAGTGAAAGTGGTGACTTTTGTCATGCAAGTTAACTTTGGTGTTGTTGTGTGTTAGAGATTCGCCGTTCCCTCCACTTGTCTGAAAGTTAGAACAGAGTCAAACCCTTCAACACTAATCACACACGCAAGCCACAACATACAACGTCAGTAGCACCTTAAACTCCACACACTGGTACACAGGTATCTCATCACCATGACTACAAAGGGTCTAGCACTGGCACATCACTGGTTTCGCACAGTTCTGAGACTTTAATATTCCAAAGAGAACATTCATTAAACTTCAGCATCACTTTTTCATTGAAAGGAGTTGAATGAAGATACTTGTTATCTTCAGATACGTCAGGTTGTTGTTATTTGCACTCTTTCTCATAGAGAACTCAGATGTCGAGTTTTGTAGCCTTGTTTACTTTTTGTTACAGTATAATCCAAGTTTGTTTCCCAGGTACCGGTACATCAGTTAGATTCAGTTATCGCTGGTTATATGAACACCACAGCCAGTTATGGCAGAAATGTATTAGACGAAGCATACAACCACAGTACACCAATATCACAGAACAGGATATGGTAACAGTTCTTATCAATATCTACCAACTCGACAACATTACAAACACACCCCAAGCCAATGATAAGGATAAGTTTTGCACATACATATAATCATTGACAGGTGTTAGTGAATATTTTCTCCTGCTAACATCTATTGCTATTTATACCTATCTACCAACATGCATATGAATTATGATGACCAAACGATTTGCAATGCCTGAAGCAAGGGAGCAACCATTTCCATTAAAGCTATATAGAATTATAACATACTTGTTAAATACACAAACTCATCAAGACATTAGTTTGGAAGGCATTTTTGGCATGAGGAAAATAAATTAAGGAAAAGGTCAGAGCAAATTAGGTAGATTGAGATTTCAATACAATACTGCAACCAAATATGTACTGGGTCAAGGAGTTAAAATCTAAACTTTAAGTAGTTACTTTGCTTAAGCAATAGGATATAAACATATTGAATTAAGAAGTAAAAAAATGAACATTTCCATTTTGTTACACAGTTAAACTAAAATTAATTACATAATTAAGATTTTGTTTCTGATAGTAATAGAGAACCACTATAACCAATCAACTAATATTCACTTTTCCATGATGTTAAAACTACTGCATGAATCATGGCTATCTAAGTCTAACAAAGTCACACAACAGAAACTACAAAAACATGTATGTAAGTACTTCTCTATTAATTATGTATTAGTCCAGAAAGTATAAATATAGTCAAAACCTATATCAGTCATACTTCCCACAGTTCTATTAACCTTGTTATTCCACACCTTGTTTGGTAACACTAATGCTATCACACATAACGTAGCATCAATTGTCTCAGCAACTCTAGGAAACCAAGCGTCCCCACCACCTGGGTCAGCGGCAGGCACAACACCGGTCAGGGAGGCTGTCACTCCACAACAACACTGCAGAAACCATTGGGGGAAGTGCAACAAGAATACCATTCTTCAATCTGTAGTTTGGAATGACATCAGTCTTGGTACAGTAATACGTACTGGTCAATTTCTTAATGAAAATCTTATACTTTGTGTGTGTATTTCACCACTGAATGAAAATCCTTCTCATTCCGCTAAGTCATCCGTCTTTCCCCTTGTTAGAATGAAAGGCCACTTTTGTCAACAATTTAGCTACCCTATCGTCATGAGTCAATTTGTCCAACACTAAGCATCTCAAGGTCACATGACTGTCAGAGTTCACTTTTACTCATATTTGCTTTCTATTTGACACTGTTGTGCAAAAAAGTTCTCACTCCGATGAAGAGCCAAATAATTTGTCAGAGTCCATAATATCCTCAAAATGATGAATTGTAATTTTCAATTTCACCAGCCCATATAATATACAATAATTTGACTTCAGAAGACCATGTCAAAGAGCCTACATAATATACACTAATTTGACTTCGAAAGACCATGTCAAATATATTTGAAATACTTGTCGCTTCTCTTTCATGGTGTCTAACACTATTCATGAAGAAAATTTTCATTCAGCTTTGTATCATCAATCGTTCTGAAGTTACTTGCATTCACAGATAGCAACGCTAGCTCTAAATAATGAAGCGTGAAACTTTGAACAAACCCAAATGATAAAAATATTCTGGTTTCTGCAGTCACTGCAAGGCTTATGGAAGGTGAGTGGCACACAAACAACATGGCTTCTGGTTAAGGAAGCGGTTAAAATTAAGTCTACGCAGGCAGGAAGCCTTCTCCTCAAACTGCACTGTCAGTAGCGGCAGACTCACTGCACATATACACCAGTCTACACCACAAACCACCACTGTCTACCAACCTCGCTGTCAACAATATCAGCTTCAGGTGCCTCCTGCTCAGTATCATTGTCGTGTGTGAGGAGAAGCTTATTCTCCGTGGTACTGTATGACAGTCGCACGTGCGGGAACTGGCGTGTGATGTCTTTAGGATTGCGGGTGTAAACCAGCCCTGACACCCCAGGGTTACAGTGTGGATAGTTGGTGGCTCTGTGGCTGGCTCTATCATACTTTAGACTGATGCTATCGTTAGAGAGTACGTGGTTGGCACCAAAGTACCTATCCAGCAGTTTTTTATAATACTGCCTGTCTTTGGCTCGGATTGGTGGCGGGCGGCCACTGATGTAGGGGTCCATGTGTCGGCCAGGGAGTGGCCATCGGTGACTGTCCTAGTGATCACACAGTGCAAGAGAAAGCAGATTAGACACAGCTAGTCCAACAGCACAGCCATCAAACATGGCTCTCCAGTATAGGATACAAGTAGGGGACTCATGCCAGCAAACTAGTTCATGAAAAAGATATACAGGTTGTGTATCCATATTCAAACCCTTGAAAGGTTTTAAATGTTTGTTTACAGTAGATCGATTTGAGAGAGGACAAAGGTCCCTCGGAAAATGAAAATCAAATTAAATGATTGAACATCTCCACAACCTACATTTGGCTCTCATCAGTCAATAACATCCATTTGGAGTTTATCAATTATCAACTGTGGTCAACTGTGCTTTAAATTCATATATTTTTCAAAGATGCTAATTTCGTACTTCCAACCAGAAATTTCATGAACTAGTTATATGAGCATTAGCTGTAATATTTTAAACATGTTTGATGGCTGTGCATGTCAGTGGGAATTTAGTGGAATTAAAATGCAAAATCAAAACTTCATCTAAAACACATATCTACAGACAAAAGCTCTAATGAACTAGAAAATATAAGATTTAGACAACTATTCACATCTACAAAATATCATCGAAGATTCTACACTGACAAGTAAAACAAAACATTAGAATGGTTTGTGCATGCAGGTGCATATAAAGCAGAGAGATGTGCAAGGCTGTGATGGTGCAAAAAGCTTGGTCAGCATGCAACTTAAAACAAGGGACGGAGGATGGGGGGACTGAAAGCATACATAATCACATAGGAAGGATTCCATCACATCTATTCCACAATCTCATTAAAATCAGATCTTAGTTCTCGCTACCGCCAAACAAACATCTGAAGACATCCCATTAGGGGTCGCGTCAGAACGACCTTTCATCCGACCAATCAGAGCGTCGCGAACCAGATCATGAAAGTGACATTCGGAATGTGAATTCTGATAATGCAAACTCGAAAACGTTAACACGGGATATTCTGAACGATAGTTACGGGTTTAACGACTGAATCCATACAATGTAGACCATCTATTAGCCATTCCAGAATGTTCTTTTGTGCAGGTTTCAAATCTGTAATCGAGAATTTGACAAAATATGTTTTGAAGCGTAGTCGCCAATTTGAAATTAGTGCCGTAAAGCAGGAGAAAGCTGCCTTCTGATTGGCTAATGTCAACTTTTTGTCAGTCCTTCTATCGGTTGGTCAAAGTTCACGCAAGGTCGATCTGACGTGACCCGTAATGGGATGTCCTCAGATCTTTGTGTATAGCGGTAGCGAGAACTAAGATCTGATTTTAATGAGATTGATCTATTCCACTAACATCACATTGAAGTGTTTATCTTGTGGATCTTTGCTTCAACCATACTACTCAAATGATTTTAAAGAACAGCCCATTCATTCATATTACTATAGTTAATCTATCATGACATGACAAATTAATCATAGTCCCAAAAATGAATCGGGAGTTCTTGAGTAGTATATTTACTGGCAGTTGATTTCTTGTTACTACCAGAGCACCACTTAATCATGCTTAAGTTTTATCATTCCATAAATTTACTACAAGTAGATTTTCAATGTCTTCACTATCACTAGGTCTTCAGCAACCCATGCTAGCTGCAAAAGGCGACTATGCTTGTCATAAGAAGCGACTAACGGGACTGGGTGGTCAGGCTTGCTGACTTGGTTGATGCATGTCATCGTATCCCAATTGCATAGATTGATGCTCATAATGTCAATGACTGGATTGTCTGGTCCAGACTTGATTATTTACAGACCGCCATCATAGAGCTGGAATATTGCTGAGTGCAGCCCTAAACAACAACAAACAACAAACAAATCACTATCATGCAGCCTGTTGCATGAATTAGTGTTTTACAGAGTGAAAAAAACCACCAAAATAGATTAGCAAGGCTATAAATAACAGGCTCTCAACTGTCATTGCTCCCTATTCATAAAACTTTCATTTAATTTGTAATGATAATATTCATAATGTTTAAAATAGATAATCAGCCTCAGTTTGAACAGTTCCAGTAATATTCAACAATTTCCCCAAGTAAAGCACACATGGTATAAGCTAACCAATCAATGCTCTCTCAAATATAGTAGGCCTCACTTGCCAAAAGGAAATAAGTGTACACTATATATGAGACAGATGACCTGGTTGGTGTGACTGCAAGATAATTAGGTGTGAGGTCAACAGTCTTGCCAGCTAATTTACACTCTGGCAAACAGCCAACAAAGAACTCTTGATTGACACCCATGTCTGATAAAAGCAATCACACATGCAATTTACAATCATAGCCAGTCAATTATATTCTAAATCTGGTCGAGGGTTTATGGAACAGTGTAATTATTTTCAAATATCTTTTGATCATGCTGCCTAATCAGGTTCTGCATACAAGAGCAACTGGCAAATCCCCCATGTATATCACTAAGTAGATAATGCAGGCTTTACTTATGTCACTCTCATATACAATCAAACGACAATTATACCTTACTGTTGACAAAACCCCTTGTTAAGCAAATGTTTTGGTTGTATAGACCAATTAAAATGGTTAGTATGCAAAAGTAATGAGAAAGTTACCTACACAGAAATCTTAAAGTAAGGTTCGAGTTATGTGCATACATGAATCCCGGACCCGCTTGCACAAAATCATCTTAGCGCTAAGATTATCTTAAGCCTATGTTAAAGTATGGGAGTTACGATCATTTTAGTGCTTAGATCGCTTTGTGCAAGTGGGCCCTGGGGCCCATCCCATAAAGCCATCGTAGTGCTAAGGTGATCATAACTCCCATACTTTAACACTGGCTTACGATAGTCGTAGCGCTAAGATCGCTTTCTGGAACGGTGCCCTGGTCTGTTAATGTCATGCAGCTGTTAGGTTAAACACACGGCTCATACTGACCACAGGTGGGGGCAGAGGTCTTGGGTCGGCCTTCATCACCCCCATGGTACCAGGGGTACAGTGTAGGAGGCGGTACACATGCTCCACGATGCCGAGGCCGCGGACGAGGTTGTCCCGCTGCAGCAGCCCACTGATCCTCTCCAGCTCCTCCTCCTCCCTGATCTCCATCGGCTTGGACGTGTCGATCATCTCCTCCTGCTGCAGCCTGCTGTCACTGCCCTGAGCACAACATATACATGTTTAAAGCCATACCTATGTATGTAATAGGGCTGGGACTGGTAACTCGGGTGCTCAGGTCGGGTGGGTACTGAGAAGGACCCAGGAACCCACTGGACTACCCGGACTCATTGGTAGTCATGTGATAAATTGTTTAATGATAAAAATGATCTAGAACTATATGCTTACACTTCAAGTCACTATTGTTCACATTTCAATCTGACTATGCACCCATTCCTTCTGACTTTTATATGTTTGAATAAAGATGAAACTTAAGTCATCTTCATTGTATCTATGACCAGATCGTCTTATACTTGTATCTAATTCCATTTTGTCCAGGGCTACGGTCAAACTATTCCTAATCCGACATTTTGTACCTATCTCTTGAGACCGACAGCAGTTACCTGGGCAGGGTCGGGTAGTAGCAGGGTGGGTGCCTGGGTATTTCATTTTCCCAGCCCTAGTATGTAAATTGTTGGTGAGTCAACAGACGTTTTCAAAAATTCTCTTTTTATTCCTGTCAACACACTTTACAATGTAACAATTCATCCATAACACACTTTACAATGTAACAATTCATCCATAACACACTTTACAATGTAACAATTCATCCATACAAATGAGGCAATCTGGAAGTATAAAATCATAGAGGTTTTTAATGCACGCTGTGCTACATAATCTACATATAGCATGTATAGTTCACTTTTGTGTGTGCCCAGTTTGTAGCAATGACACGAGGAGGACAACCGTTTCACACCAATTGGTAGGGAACCTAAAACAACCATAATGGCAACTTATCAATCTCATTAAAATCATATCTTAGTTCTCGCTACCGCTAAATAAAGATCTGAGGACATCCCATTACAGGTCACGTCAGACCGACCTTGCGCAAACTTTGATCGACCATTGGAAAGACCAATCAGAAGGCAGCTCTCTCATGCTTTATGGCACAAATTTCAAATTGGCGACTACACTTCGAAACATATTTTGTCGAATTCTCGATTACAAATTTGAAACCTGAACAAAAAAACATTCTGGAATGGCTAATAGATGGTCTAGATTGTAAGGATTCAGTCGTTAAACCCGTAACAATCGTTCGGAATACCCCATGTTAAAGTTTTCGAGACTGCATGATTAGAAATCACATTCCGACTGTCACTTTCATAATCCGGTAAGCGATTGGTCGGATGAAAGGTTGTTCTGATGTGACCCTTAATGGGATGTCTTCAGATCTTTGTTTAGCGGTAGCGAGAACTAAGGTCTGATTTTAATGAGATTGGGCAACTTATCAGCCATATCAGATCTCATACAAACACCTCAAACCTGGATCTTCTTGCACAAATTAAGTCCATGATGCCAAGGTACAGAGGCCCATTCCACAAAGCTATCATAGCACTAAGGTGATAGTAACTCCCACACTTTAACACAACTTACGTTGCGCTACATTCCCTTTGTGGAACAGGGCCCTGGAGCTACAATTATTATAGTGATAAGATCATTTTGTACAAGTGGACTCAGATCTGTTATATTGATAACAATTCAATGAAAGCTGATATGAAAATATAGGCCAGGCCAAACATTGCACACATATCATAAATACGCAGTATCAGACAATACACTTTTCCCACACCCTGCATCCTTGTACAGTGATGAAGACCTAGGGCCTTAATGGCTTGACATATATCCCATGTATTTCCGCTGGATGAGAGGACTGTATCGTATTTATATGACATACCTCCAAATCTGTTTTAGAAGAGCTTAGTCTGCGTGACGGCATGGTGGACCGACGTAACGTGCGACGTTTCCGACCGGTTGGGGACTCTGGCCTGAGTATACTGCCATCCTTCTTCTTCCCTCCCTTGATCATAGACTCCATCTTCTCCTTCTTCCTCATGATCTCCTCACGTTGTTGTCTGTAACACAGTATGTAGGTATCAAATTCTCATCAGTCCTTAATTACAACAACAGCAACAGCAGCAATATTGTCCTCACCCTATACGTAAGTCGTTACAGGTATCTGATGGCGCTTCCTACCTTGCCAGCTCTGCACGAGCCCTGAATGCCACTGTCTCCTGGAAGAGGGTCCCGCTGCTGTGGAAGAACTTGTCATACTTGTCACAGCCTGGGCTGGGATAGATCCTCCGGAAGTTGCCCATATGTGAATTCTCATAGCGCTCCTGCTGCTCCATAAACAGGGCCTGAGCCTGCTCAAGCTCTTCTCTGTAGGACACACAAGGGATTTAGAGAGAAGGAGACATAGTCAAGTCTGTCTGATGGGCGCAGGGTGCACGACATTCATGCATGATCATTTGTCTATCATAGGACTATCAAAGTACGCAACAATTCAAATGTTCAGGTTCTCAAAACTCCTTCCAGCTGAAACATGTCTCAGGTCCATTTAACATATACCAACGGTGCCAGTATATAGTAAACATCATAGTCACAGCTCTATACCTGTATTTCATCATTCACCTCAGACATTCATAGCACTTAAACAGCTCTGTGGAATAGTGTAGGTGACATCAGGCTAGAATCAAACTGAACTAATATGGGGTTTAACATTGCCTTCAAGATTATTGCACTTCTATAGTGATGTGTGTCTGCTTGTACTAGACCTGACTAATGCCTGTTTTATAGTGCTGCAGTTTAACATGGAAACCCCTTGACAACTTAGACAAAGTATACTGACTCTGAACCTACCAGTCCTTGTTTTATCCCCTTAATGCCGAGGATCAAACAGGAAAACAACAAGTACCATCTTTTAACACCTTTAGGATCGAACCACTGAACTTTAGCTCTCTGGGAAGGTGCTCTATCCACAAGACCACGAGAGCGGTGCAGATGACGCGAGAATGAGTGAGTGAGTGAGTGATTATAGTTTTATCACACTTTCAGGAATATTCCAGCAATATAATGATGGGGGACACCAGAAATGGACTTTCCCGTGTGGGGAATCAAACCCTGGTCTTTGGCGTGACGAGCGAACACTTTAGCTTCTAGGCTACACGACTGCACCTAGCAAGAATGAGGGTAAAGGATCTAGCAAGAATGAGGGTAAAGGAGTAATGATGGATCATGCTTGAATCACGTTTGAACTGATCAACTCACTTGGTTTCCTTCTTGGTGTATTTGCCCAGCAGCCTGTCCTTGATCTTCTTCTTCTCCTCCTCAATGCAGCGCCTCCGGTCACACGCTCCGCAGTTGATGAGGTTGAGTGTGTCGTACACTAGCGTGCCCTTGATCTCACGGTCAAGATCAGCATCAGTGGTGAAGCTTGGAGAGTGATTCACCTGAAGTAGGAAAGATAAACAAATTGGAGCCTATCTTATACATACAGTCTAGACAGTGTCTATCAAATGCTTAATAAAATGTAAAAAAACTTTTATATAAAATGCTTCAGCAGTTTCACTCATACAACATAAATATGTTTATAACATATATATTTCTTAAAAACAGACCTAGTTTTGAGTTGTTTATTCTTAATAGTGATAACAAGAACACATTCAGGCACTGTTCCTGAGGCACTGTTCCTAGCACAAGGATGGCTTGGTGGAATGGGGCCCACGGCCACATGGTACATTGACCACCTGGCAAAGTACACAGCACACCATCCGAGCGGTGCTGATTTATACAACCGATACATGTCTCCTGGGAATGATTTATAGGCTTTGGTTGAATCCCATTCAATTACTTATGTCTGACCTCCCTCCATTACCTGTGAAAGTCTACACTGTACACTCTCACCTCCAGTATCTGTGAAAGTCTACATTGTACACTCTCACCTCCAGTATCTGTGAACGTCTAACTGTACACTCTCACCTCCAGTATCTGTGAAAGTCTACACTGTACACTCTCACCTCCAGTATCTGTGAAAGTCTACACTGTACACTCTCACCTCCAGTATCTGTGAAAGTCTACATGGTACATTCTCACCTCCAGTATCTGTGAAAGTCTACACTGTACACTCTCACCTCCAGTATCTGTGAAAGTCTACACTGTACACTCTCACCTCCAGTATCTGTGAAAGTCTACACTGTACACTCTCACCTCAAGTATCTGTGAAAGTCTACATGGTACACTCTCACCTCCAGTATCTGTGAAGGTCTACATGGTACACTCTCACCTCCAGTATCTGTGAAAGTCTACATGGTACACTCTCACCTCCAGTATCTGTGAAAGTCTACATGGTACACTCTCACCTCCAGTATCTGTGAAGGTCTACATTATACACTCTCACCTCCAGTATCTGTGAAAGTCTACATGGTACACTCTCACCTCCAGTATCTGTGAAAGTCTACATTGTACACTCTCACCTCCAGTATCTGTGAAGGTCTACATTGTACACTCTCACCTCCAGTATCTGTGAAAGTCTACATTGTACACTCTCACCTCCAGTATCTGGGGCCTCAGCTTCCTGTCCAGCAGAATGTCCACTCCAAGGATCTCGAAACATCCACTGCCCCTGACGTGGTTGGGGAAACATGTGCGATAGTTGTGCTTCAGTACAGAGTGAGCCGAGATCACAGTCTTGATGATGACGTCATCAATGTCATTCCACATCTTGTCCACATCATACCCCTTCTCTCTCATGTAGCGGTTTATGGTGGATATACGCCTAGACATATAGCAAAGTGTTTACAGCATACCTGTTTTAGTATTGCCTGGGTAAGGTTGTCTTTAAAAAAAATGTGATCATAAAAATTAAAGGGAACATATATCATGTGATCATAAGAAAGTTTGTTTGTTTGTTGTTTAACACCGCACTCAGCAATATTCCAGCTATGATGGCGGTCTGTAAATAATTGAGTCTGAACCAGACAAGCCATTAATTGATATCATGAGCATCAATCTACGCAATTGGGATACGATGACATGCATCAACCAAGTCAGCGAGCCCGACCACCCGATCCCGTAAGTCGCCTATTACGACAAGCATAGTCTACTCTTATGGCAAGTATGGGTTGCTGAAGAGCTATTCTACTCCGGATCTTCACGGGTAGATCATAAGAATGAAGGGAACATGTATCATGTGATTATAAAATGAAGGGAACATGTATCATGTGATCATATGAATGAAGGACACATGTATCATGTGATCATATAAATGAAGGATACATGCATCATGTGATCATAAGAATGAAGGTAACATGTATCATGTGATTATACGAATGAAGGGAACATGTATCATGTGATCATAAAAATGAAGGGAACATGTATCATGTGATTATAAGAATGAAGGGAACGTGTATCATGTGATCATAAGAATGAAGGGAACATGTATCATGTGATCATAAGAATGAAGGGAACATGTATCATGTGATCATAAGAATGAAGGACACATGTATCATGTGATCATAATAATGAAGGGAACATGTATCATGTGATCATAAGAATGGAGGGAACATGTATCATGTGATTATAAGAATGAAGGGAACATGTATCATGTGATCATAAGAATGGAGGGAACATGTATCATGTGATCTTAAGAATGAAGGAGACATGTATCATGTGATCATATAAATGAAGTATACATGCATCATGTGATCATAAGAATGAAGGTAACATGTATCATGTGATTATACGAATGAAGGGAACATGTATCATGTGATCATAAAAATGAAGGGAACATGTATCATGTGATCATAAAAATGAAGGGAACATGTATCATGTGATCATAAAAATGAAGGGAACATGTATCATGTGATCATGAGAATGAAGGGCACATGTATCATGTGATCATAAGAATGAAGAGAACATGTATCATGTGATTATAAGGCTTGCACCAGTCAATGGATCATCAACATAGTAATCACATTACATGAACATCTAATCCACCCACCTCTTACTTCCAGCTTCATCGTCCCTCACAAAGTCTGTACTGTGCTTGTTGATGGCGTAGTTGGTCAGGTGCATGTACACATTGTCCTGAAATGCAATCAGCACAAACACTTAACAATGTTAAAACATCAGTGTTTACGTCTTTGAGTTATGTTATGAAATTTGATACTGAGTTAGTGGTGTATGGTGTTGCTGCAGAACATCTGCAAATCAAGGTCACTGGGAACACATAAACTGGCTATTCATCAACACTACACATACTAAGTCATCTACACTCCATATACTAAGTCATCTACACTCCATATACTAAGTCATCTACACCTCATATGCTAAGAAAACTCATTAGTGGTCTAGTGGTAGAGCGTCTGCCCTGAGAGAGGAAGGTCAGGGGTTAAGTCCCCGGACGCATCATACCCAAAGACATTAAAAGTTGGTACTTGTTGTTACCCTATCTGGTGCTCGGCATTAAGGGGCTAAAACAAGGACTGAATGGCACGGAATCAATATACTGTGTCTGAATGGGGTATTCATGTTAAACTGCAGTGGGCTAGCACTATAAAAATGGCATTAGTCTGGACGAGTACAAGTAGCTGCACGCACACACGCTATATAAGTCTTGAACGTGATGCTAAACCCCATTTCACCTCACCACATATGCTAAGTCATCTACATTACACATACTAAGTCATCCACACTACATATACTAAGTCATCCACACTACATACACTAAGTAAGCCACACTACATATACTAAGTCATCCACACTACACATACTAAGTCATCCACACTACATATACTAAGTCATCCACACTACATATACTAAGTCATCCACACTACATAGTCATCCACACTACACATACTAAGTCATCCACACTACAGAAACCAAGTCATCCACAACTTAATATTCTGCAGGGTAATGAATCCTTTCAGAAAGAATTCTGAATCACATTTCCAAGGGCATGTCTCTGGCATAAACACACGTCATATTGAGAATTGTAAAGCTAAAGTAGCTGTGACGACTCACCGTGTTGCCAGCACTGGGCTCCACATACTTCTTGGTGGCAAACCTTGCCAGACCATCTTTGAACACAAATATCCTGAGAGGGTCACATGATGTTATTAAGGTGTAGATTCGGAAATCAAATTTGAACCCATCTATTAAGAATGGCTGAAAGAAAGACAAAAATATGTGATTAAATGTGACAATAATAATAACTACTATAGTGGAAGATCAGAATCATTTGATCAGTATTTCTTTCAACTGTGAAATATTCTCTTGGTAAAGGGGATCACAAAAGCACCCACAATCTACTTCATTATTACATTATTCAGCAGACAGCTACACATTATCAGGATACTAAAAAAACATGGAAGTATAGGAACAAGCTTGTAGATTTTAAACTGACCTCACTATGTAATCAGTGTGCGAAACAAACTATAGACCCATGGCCTGTGATAATCAAAATTTGTTCGGTCTACGATGTGAGAAATTGAAGGATCAGTTGGAAAGTCATAGCAAAAAGTTTGTTTACACATTTTAACATTCTTCAGACTTTGTTCATCTTGTCGATTTGACAACATCTATTCATTTTCTCCGGCTAAAAATGCAACAAGAAATATGTTTGGAAAAGGTCTTTATTCTTGCTGCACTCTAGATTTTAAACTTTTCAAAGCGTGCATGCCCCTGTACTCCCCTAGAGGGCTTGATTGCATAGTGTTTCGTGTGTAGGGTTGTCCACGGAAGTTCTGGGGCTACTAGAATATATTTCTTGACAGCCCAATGGGCTACATGTGATACTTCTTGGTGTAACACACTTTAACATGCAGACAAATCAAATGATCTAGACTTGAAGAAAGAGTTCAGTTAATAAACACATGATGGCACCTTATTGAGGTAGACTTGGCATATCATATGTTCATGGGGTTTGATTTCCTTGGGGTTCTTGGTGACCCAGATCCCTCGACCTTGACATCCAGACTCTGGCTTCAGGATGTAGGACTTGTTCTTCTTCTGCCTTGTGTATGCTTGGAAATCTCCATAGCTGCACACAAAATACAGCAGATGGTGAAATCAGAGTGAACCAGTCAATGGCCAGAGTGTAGATTTGCAGCCAAGGTGCAGCAGCACATACTCAAGCACCCATGGCCACAAGAAAAGCAATGTGAAATTTGAAATTGCAGACCATTTCAGGATATATGATAAATAAATATATAAGGCTTTCTAGTGTTATTTTTAGTCTCTATTTTCCATATATATCATAAGATTTACCAAAGACATCGTATACAAATAGGACTTCATTCTTCCCCCTGCTTAGTGAATGTCACACCATCCCTGTCCCACAAATTAAGTTTATTTGTTTGTTGTTAAACGCCGCACTCAGCAATATTCCACCTATACGACGATAGTCTGTAAATAATCGAGTTTGGACCAGACAATCCAGTGACGGACATCATGAACATGGATCTACACAATTGGGGTATGATGACACGCATCAACCAAGTCAGCGAGCCTGACCACCCTGATCCCTTTAGTCACCTCTTACGACATCGAAAGCATGGGTGGCCGAAGACCCATTCTAACCCAGATCTTTAAAGGTTACAAAGCCTTGTGGTTCAATTCCCCAGGGAAAAACAAGTCACCGACTCGTTCACTCAACAGTGACACACACCATTGAGGTCATGCAGAATGCTGTAGCTGCCTTTTACAGCAAGCATGGATTGCTGAAGACCTATTCTATCCCAGATCTTCATGGGTCCCCTCAAATAAAGAATTGTGTTCTCAACCAACTGCTCCCAACATCCTGACAACAACATACAACATGGTGTACAACATGTACATACTCAGCAGGAAGGCACCATGTTTTAGGGAAGACGTTGTATTCCTTAGGGAACATCTTGAGCATTCGGTTGAGGTTTCGAGACAGCAGATCCTTCCGACAAATCTCATTCATTCCCGGGAAGTGATTGATTTTCTGAAGAAAAAGCCATAACTTACTGGTTCATACAATAACTGACCTATCTCAAAGTAGCAATGATGTAATGTCTATGAGGAACTCCTTCTACAGGAGATTCTGTGCTCACCTGATACTTCTTCATGTCCATGACTCTCTCCAGTGCCACGGAGTAGTCTGTCCAGTACAGTGACCAGTCGTCATCATCGGACACCTCCTTGAAGCCAAACCTCCGTGACGTCCGCCGAACTACAAGATGCATCATACACACACAGATATAGTTGTGTCGACTTTATTCAGACAACATCTAACATGATCACGTCCAAAGTACCTTAAGTTACTCCACAGAGGACTAATGAGTGAAGCTAATCTTGTTGAAGTGACTTCCCCTAACAGGAGGAACTGTACTCACCCACATCATACTTGCAGTTGGAGAGACAGATGTACAGCAATCTACAAGAAAACAATTCAAAGTAATTTCAGGTACAGATACAGCACACATGGCTGATGCCAAACGAACACCATCTGAAATATGAGTATTAGCAGTTGTCATTCTGAAAAAAAAATATGACCTTACTTCCAATATGCTCTATATAGATATGAGAAATAAGATGATATATTTTCTTCAGAATGACAACTACTATCTTAAACTCATATTTCATAATGTCTATATTAACATGACCTGTTAGAACTGGCCCCACGCAACATATGCTGATCATAAGGCAACTAAATGAATCAGGTAGACAGTCTCGGTGTCTTGGTTGGTGGTGTGTAATTGTACCCAATTGCATGGAACAGCGCTCATGATGTCAATCACTGGAATATCTGGTCCAGACTCAATTATTTACAGACTGCCATCTTAAGCTGGAATATTGCTAAATGTTGCGTTAAACAAACTGTATATATATAATGTTCAAATATCCTGATAATTGAAACAAAACACTGAACAGATACCTCGGAAATATCTACAAACTCTTCCTAACACACTGAAGCAAGGAACATGACGAAGATGATTACTCATGTCTTCCTGCTGTATGAGACACACCCTGCTCACGGTATGGAATCGCTGAACGGCATATTTTGATTACACCCTCTATTTTATATACCTCTATCTAATACCTCTTTCTGTCCCCATAGCTTGTTCCTGAAGACGAATTAAGTTTTTTTACTTCAACAATCTTTCAGGTTTGAATGATGATTTTATTAATTTAGATCCAATCTGCCGTTCAGCAATTCCATTCCGTGCTGCTGTTATTGATTGTGCCAAACTCATCTGACGACCATTACATTTGATGAATTTAACAACATACTCATTAGCATGATTAGGAAACTGTGTTAAGTTACTATGCCCATTATCACTGCCTTAATGATCAAAACTACTTGACAGTTAACTCTCATTAATCTCTCAACAATAACAAGCTGTGCAAATGAACATTAAAGGCCTTATATTATTGTATGCTAGATGTCATTCAAACACAAATCATAAACATTATTTAATTCTGCAAATAATATCAGATCAATTGATCAACTAGTCAAGAAAGTATTGTATTCAAACACTCATAATTTGGTAATTTACGGAACCGATTAATAAACTTAATTGTGTAAATGCAAATTTCAACTACGATATATTCCAACAGAATATTTTTCTTAGCATGCTAAACACTGAAATAGGCAGAAATTGTAGACTCTCATGGTCGGAGGTTCAATATAGCACTGAAGTGTGCCACATTAATGCTATTGTTGCAAAATGTTAATAAAGCAAACGCCATTCCTGACGTTTGATCATTATTTCTATGTAACAACAAAGGCAACTGAATAAGTTCCTGATACTGATGTAGTTTCTTTATTCCACCATAATGAGATAAAAGGCTCGTTTAAATCTCTTATAAACCTATCAAAGATATTGACCATCGTTTTGGACGTTATTGTGTATTCATAATGGGGAATATTCTTTAGACTTTATCTACATTTAGATGCTCAACTCACACTATAATGATAGAAATCCGTCGGCAGTAAATCAACAGAAATTTAAGATTTTGTCCATTTTGTATAGTATTAATAGTAGAATTAGAATACCATGTTTGCCTCAAATGTCTGTTGTATGCAGGCATAACAAACAGTATTTTACCAAAGTCTTATTGTGTCCATCCAAACCAGCAAAAACTTACAATACTATTTTCCAGCTCAAATGTGTCATAACTTTTAGTTTAGGTAAAATTATTTTCTTTAGATATGTTAAAGATGTTATTGAGTATACTAAATAGCAATACTGTCTGGTACTATACATAGGGCAAACATCCTGGCACTCTCTATAATATATCTAATGTGAGTATATATGCTTGTATAATGGGCCAGTGGCCTCATTACAGAATAGTGAGTGAGCAAGTACGTTTTTATGCGCTTTTAGAAATATTCCGGCAATATCACATCAGGGGACACCAGAAATTAGCTTTACCCATTGTACCCATTTTGGGAATTGAACCCAGGTCTTCGGTGTGATGAGTGAATGATTTAACCACAAGGCTACCCCACCACCCCTCATTACAGAATAGGGGCGGTCGGGTAGCCTGGTGGTTAAAGTGTTCGCTCGTCACGCCGAAGACCCGGGTTTGATTCCCGACATGGGTACAATGTGTGAAGCCCATTTCTGGTGTCCCCCGCCATGATGTTGCTGGAATATTGCTAAAACCAGCGTAAAACCATACTCACTCACTCACTCATTACAGCATAAACAACACACACACAAAAATATAACACCTTTGGAGGTTTTACTTTTTCTTAGACCTAATCCTGGGTATGAGGTTTTACTTTTTGCTAGTAAGACAGAGTATGAAGTTTTACTTTTCATGGTAAGACGATGAGTAGGGAAGCAGAGTGAGTTTGGACTTCAGGTTTCAAACATCCAATGTTCTTAATTCGAAGACAAGAAATGCAACTTTTTCATTACTGATGAGTGATGAACCACAACCCCCTGGGTGCCATTGTACAAATCAACCTTAACTTCCTGGGTGCCGTTGTACAAAAGAACCTTAGCACTACGACTGCCAGAAGCCTATGTTAAGGTATGGGACTTACAACCACCTTAGCACTAAGATCGCTTTGTACAACTGCACGCTGATCAGTAGTCAGGCACTCTTACCATCAGCCCACAGAACTGGAAGAAGGCGTGGTTCATTAGAAGGTCCCATGTTTAGCGAATATTTCATAGCCATATATATTTTATACCCTCAGTTTTACTAGCTCGGTCACTGCCTTCCTCAGGTGTTACTATGTCATCCATAACAGAGTCATGTTTTATCCTTTACTTAAAAAGCCAAACATATTGTATATTGACTGCCCATATCACACAAGTAATATAGACGTCCTCTACATTGACTTGACTTGATAGTCAATAATAACCTATCATATCAGATTAAGACTTATATTAATGCCGGCTCATGTCCTAAGCGTGTGATCCCACTGAAAGTCACAGTCGGTGAATATAGGGATCATACCCACGTAGCCAAGAGACACAATGGGGTATAGATTACTCATATATCCTTTGATGACCTCTCCCTGTACCGTAATTACTCAGGAAGAATGAGACCTCCTTAAGGCTTTGACTCATTTCAACAAGGCTGTATTCACAGTGCAAACTGCAATAAACACCAGAGCTCGAGATCAGCTGTGTATTTGTGTAAAATAAGCATTAAATAAACAGAAATACAAATCAAATTCTCGCCTATCAAATACTCAACAACAAAAATAAATACGCTATTGAAATACAACTAATGTGTATATTACAACAATTACATAAAATGATTGAGTATATATTACAACTGTTAGATAACATGATTGAGTATCAGCCCATCGCGAAATTCAATCACTGACATCATTCGAGAAAAGTTTGTGCAACAAACTTGAATACCGATAGATTCCAATTGAAAAGCACATCGTGCCTAGTCAATGTATCTTAAACAGTCGCTGATTGAAGATTACAAAAATACCTCCTTTTTTTTTAATGCTAAGTTTTGAAACAAAAATGGCTTCCTGGAAAGGGATCCACAAGCAGACGCAGACAGGTTTTGTTTTTATTGATTTACACAGATTGTTACAAAATAGGTTTTCAAGTTAAAAAAAACAAATGTCAAGAAACAGGTGGGTAAAACAAATTTCATTACCCTCTAAAAATTGTGGATACCCAATCAAAATCAAACCCCTGGGTAAACTATCCCAATACCCAAAAGCTTATCCAGAGCTCTGAATGTTATTTTGTATTTAGATGTTAATTCATACATATGCAAATACGCAAATAATTAATTAAGAATTCTGTAAAAGGAATACATGAACGAATATCAACATATTTCTCCTAATCTATATTGTTGTATGCACGTTTATTAGAATGATACCCGTAGTTGCGTACATTGACATGTATACCACCCTGTTGTCTTCAACACAGATACACCACAGCAACCACCGAGACCTAATGAATTAATCAGTCCATTTTTTAATCTGATGTTTCTGTGTACCAAGGCAGATAACTTATCAACTCCGCTGTTTTTCCTTTGCTAGGAAAATGCTCTGTGTTAATTAAAAGTTGTGATTCACGGAATGAAATTTACCCTAGTTCTGTGATTACCATTAACACATATTTGATTAAACCGATCTCTTGCAGCTTTAGAAATGAAGTGTGAAGGGAGGAGAGCGGAAGAAGGAACGAGGGAGAGGACCTGGTGTCCTTGAGGCTGACTGTTGTAATACTTTGGATCCATGAACCCCATTAATCTTTTATTTCTAAATCAAAACTAAGGCTTCGGACTTTGGCCCCCTTGACTTTGATCCTTATTTTGAAATTGTGGCAATACATTAGGCAATTTTTTTTTAGTTCTTGTTTTACGGATGCGCTGTTCTTTCAAAGTCCAAATGTTGCAAAAAAATAAAAATAAAATTACTCCTTTTTTTATTACCGCCCATCTTTACTTCAAAAAATGCATAAAACGTTCAAACGAAAAAAGATTTTGTTTTCTCGTTGAGTGTAACACATAGGGAAGTCACTCTGATATTTCTAGCTGGGATCCCATCAAAGCTTGTCAACGCAAAGCGCAGTGGTGACCAGTTTAATCGTCACCCATGGTGCCAAAATGGCAGCATGGGCAAAAGACAAGTAAAGAAAATCCGAGAGGTCTTTTTTTTTTTTTAATTTGCCAACCTCACTTTTGAAATGAGTTTTAAATCCATAAACCAAGAAAGAAAAACATGTCGCCTTAGTAAGATCTCAGACATCTTGAATTCAAATCTGGTATTTTGTGTGTGTGTTACGATGCAACTTATGTAGAACCGAATATTTATAAGTGCCGGGTATAATTATCTCCATAGGAGTTGGGGGTGATACATGTGATACAAACATGATGTTCCACGTGTTCTTTCTAAACCTGCTTCATCACTCTGGCTGGGCTACTATCAACTTTATATGAAATAATAAAGTTCCGTAAAAATATTATTGATCTCAAATCAAAAATATATATTTCAACCCTGAGACTCGATAACAATGACTACTATCATTTTGAACACTTGCTGAGTTTCCTTGCAAGGGTTTTGAAGGCACTCTGTGAACTATACTACTCAACTTTGACAGGGATAATCAGATATGTCACATATTTAAATACACACTTGACTGTGTTAATTAATAGTTGAGATTCACAGAATGAAATTTACCCTAGTTCTGTGATTACCATTAACACATATTTGATTAAACCGATCTCTTTCAGCGTTAGAAATGAAGTGTGAAGGGAGGAGAACGGAAGAAGGAACGAGGGAGAGGACCTGGTGTCCTTGAGGCTGACTGTTGTAATACTTTGGATCCATGAACCCCATTAATCTTTTATTTCTAAATCAAAACTAAGGCTTCGGACTTTGGCCCCCTTGACTTTGATCCTTATTTTGAAATTGTGGAAATACATTAGGCAATTTTTTTTTAGTTCTTGTTTTACGGATGCGCTGTTCTTTCAAAGTCCAAATGTTGCAAAAAAATTAAAATAAAATTACTCCTTTCTTTATTACCGCCCATCTTTACTTCAAAAAATGCATAAAACGTTCAAACGAAAAAAGATTTTGTTTTCATGTTGAGTGTAACGCAAAGGAAGTCACTCTGATATTTCTAGCTGGGATCCCATCAAAGCTTGTCAACGCAAAGCGCAGTGGTGACCAGTTTAATCGTCACCCATGGTGCCAAAATGGCAGCATGGGCAAAAGACATGTAAAGAAAATCCGAGAGTTTTTTTTGTTTTTTTTAATTTGAGTTGGGGTGATACATGTGATACAAACATGATGTTCCACATGTTCTTTATAAATGTGCTTCATCACTCTGGCTGGGCTACTATCAACTTTATACGAAATAATAAAGTTCCATAAAAAATATTATTGATCTCAAATCAAAAATATATATTTCAACCCTGAGACTCGATAACAATGACTACTATATCATTTTGAACACTTGCTGAGTTTCCTTGCAACAGGTTTGAAGGCACTCTGTGAACTATACTACTCAACTTTTGACAGGGATAATCAGATATGTCCCATATTTAAATACACACTTGACATATTATATGAATCAGTTTTGTGATTCATGGAAAGATTAAAACATCCCTTTCAAAAGTGGAGTAGTATATTATAAAGCTATACACTGCTATACCCCAAAACAACATCACAGAGCAACTGTCTGATCCTTACATTAGTATTAGGAACACCCTGAAGCGGACTGCTTTAGCAAAGTCTCTACAGCAATGTACTGACTGTGTATGGCTTAAACATACAATCTCCAAGATAACATCTCGTGTTTCAGATCGGTGGGTGACTCCTCGCGTTAACAGGAATGTCCACAAGGCCTGAGGGAGAACCACATGAAAGACGCCAACAACAAAAAGTCATTACAATCTAATTAATTATTTATCCTAAAGTTAATCATGTTGATGTGTGTTGTGTAGAAATCAAACACATGGTTAAAATTATTTCTGGGTGTCAACCAGTTCATATTTGAAATTTTGTTACCCAGTTCATATCTAAAATATAGCTGACAATTTATTCCTATTTTTCAATCAATCATTTCAACGATTAATGATAATTCAATTCACTTCTCTTCAGTCCAGAAAAAAACTATTTGCTTATTTTATTAAGGATGACTCTGCCTTACATTTTGCAAAGGTGAAAAGAAGAAGTTAAATGCAGTGATTGACTGAAAAACAAATATATGCTCTTTTCTTATAATTTGAAATAAAACTATTTTAAGGATTTATTTAGGGAATAATTTAATATTTTAATTGTCTAGATTGATTTTATATCATGTATTCTCTTTCCCTTTTGCATATTTAACAAGAAATGGGTGAAAACAACATAATTGGGCTGCCCTTATGAAGCTTCGTATCCCTAGTTTCCGTACCAATCCGCAGCCGTACCCATACAACCAGACCCTTTCACCAACATGCAGCATATGCCCGCTTTTATTACCATCCCCACCTCATTCAATCAATCATGTCCTATCTGGGCCCTACCCCACCTGAAACTACCTGACTATCAACACAACACCCACACTACACAATAAATCAATACTGAAACTCATCTCAGCTGTCAAATCCGTTGGCGTTGGGCAAAATATTTATTGTATCCTGGCAAAACTGAAGGCAACCCTTGACATGTAACTCATCTATCTGTTATAAGCTTCAGTGTTGGCAGATGGCAATAAGATTTGCTTGGCAGTAGACAAACTTTGTGAACAGTCATGTGCAATATTTGTTTTATATCTTGACGCCAGTGTTAAAGTCAAATTTAGATGTGACATCAGAAATATTGTATTGATTTTAGTGGGTAGGATCTGGTATAATGAACATAGGTGCATACCAAATTAAGGAAAATATTTTGTTGCTTTGAGGCATCACAATTTTTGGCTTTGGGCTAAAAAAAACCAGAGTTACACCGAACTATTAAGCATATCATATCAACATAATATTCAGCTTTAAATGTCAGTGTAACATGTACAAACTCTCACTACATAAACCAATACCATAATGAAGACATAATATAAAAAATAATTTTTTTGTTCTTTTATTGTATAACGCCGCACTCAGCAATATTCCTACTACATGAGGGCTGTAAATAATCGAGTCTGGACCAGACAATCCAGTGACTGACATCATGAGCATCGATCCTCACAATTGGGATACAATGAGATGCATCTACCAAGTCAGCGAGCCTGATCACCCGTTCCCGTTAGTCGCCTCTCACGACACAGTCGCTTTTTATGGCAAGCATGGGTTGCTGAAGACCTATTCTACCCCGGATCTTGACGGATAAAAAAATATATTAAAAAAATGTACATTATTTGAACTAACAATTGAGTAATTCTTGTAAAACAAGGAAACATTCTGACAATATTATCCTTGCATGCACCAATCTCTAGATTCCAGCCTTCTTGCCCCCATCTCTATTCACCACAACTAGATTGCTAACTCAGTTAATGCTTTCTGCTACGGTGAATTGCAACAATGCCTGAAACATTAGCAGTCAGTGCAGAGTGTACAGAAACCCAGACTAAATGGAGGGATTAGGTTTCCTTATACGCCAACATACCAGTACCATGCCTTCTGTAGCAAGGGGAGACCTTTTGTAACCTCACTGCACACACGATATATGAATCTAATACTGTCATGACGTGGGTCGGGGCTGATGAAAGGTTATTAATGTCGCCGATGGTCTCATAGGAATATGGCAACATTTCTATTGACACAGAAACGGTGCCTTAACTATATGTTAACATTACCTCTGAATAAATCCAATGTGATAAAGTTTAACAGTGTGCATGCTTGTATCATTGAGGCCGGTATTAAAGTCATGACTTTATTGCCCTGGTTGAATGGGGTTCATTTATATGACACAAGTGTGGCTCAAGGGGGTTGTGATGCTGTCATGTCAGACTGGTCTTGACCCTGGATTTGCTTGAAGCTTCTATGTGTGTCATAAACATTGTACAAGATTGAGTGGAACACGAGTGGCTTGATGTCTCCACTTTGTCTCGTAGAATATGTTAACCCATTTCAAGCACCCACTTTGTCAAAGCAAATTGTTTCAGGTGTAACACCCCTCCTCTTCAGTTAAAGCAATAAAGCTATATACCACAAGAGTGGGGATCCCATGATCCTCTAGATGTGCGAGAGCAGCTGAAAACAGTTTTTCAAATCATATCAAACTTTCTATTGGCTATTCCATAGTAGGGACAAAATATCATAGTCAAACATGCAGAGGGCTATCCTGTTGGCAACATCTCTTATCAAATCAGAAGCCTAAGAATAGATATTAAAATAGAATATAGACAGAAACATGAAGGGTTTACTGTGCGAGGTATTCCACGGTAAAAATGTCACCATGGTAGCAGGAGCTGCTTAGAAAAGCAACTGAGTGAAACAATCTTAACGTAAATAAAAGCTAACAATACTAATGGGATATACAGTAAACTACAATTATAACAAACTCAAAGGGATCACTAATTTTAGTTTGTTATAACCATTGTTCGTTATAAGCATATATACAGCAAATGGCCGGGATAAAACAAAACAGTTTGTTATATCCTCCAGTTCATTATACTGTACATGCCTGAAACATTATACACTGTATATATTAAATGGGAAATATAAGTCCAGTGTTACCAAACACCAGATCATTCACTTACCTAGCCCAACTATTGACTCCGAGCCAAAACAGGGGCAGCGTGCCCGGGACCTTCCAATTAACCTGTTCCCAGGTCAAGGTTACCAGTGAGGCGGTATAATCAAGTAATGCATTACGACTGGAACCTCCCAGCCAGCCATCCATGTCATGCAGTGTTATGTCTTACCGTTTCTTCTTTTTCTTCTTCTTCTTTTTATCCTGAATGTCCTTCTTGGATGTGACATCAGGCGTAGTTTCCACAACACTCTCCCTCCCCTCGCCCTCGCCCTCACCCTCACCCTCGCCGTCATACTCATATCCCACATCTGAGGAGAGACAAAGCAGGAATTGTAATCAAATGGTCACTGATCAGGAGTTTTTCTGTGTTGTTTCATACATGTCAACATAGTCAAAGAAATAACACAAAATGCTTTCCATCCTCAACTCAGTATATACAATGAACTGAAGTGACATCATCCATTTGTAACATGAACATGTCGCATTCACTCTCCAAAACACACATTTGAGCTTTTCATGAACACACATAACATGTTATGCTCTCCCTCAAAAACACATCCATACACCCAAGGGGTCCTTATCATAACCCTAAAAGCCCAAGGGCATCCTGATATTAAAATGCTATACGAGCATCCCCTTTATTTGTGCCACTTGTAAGTATAGAGATTCCACAGGCAGCACTTACCCTGGTCTGCCTCCCCATCCTGTTCCGGGTGGATCAAAAGAGGCGAGTCGTCATCCACGAGGGTCAGCTCTTGGCCACTGGTGCCACCAAATCCCGAGTCCACATTGTCCTCGGTATCACTTGCCTCGGACTCGGACTCGGAGCTGCTGCTGCTGCTGATGACGAGGTCATACTCCAGATCATCTGCCAACTGGTCTGGGTCTCCATCCTGTTCCCTCCTGTTCATTGCAACCTTATACTGCCCACTGGGTTCTGCAAAACAGACACAACCTATCACAGCAACCTTATACTGCCTGCTGGATTCTGCAGACACAACCTATCACAGCATCCTTATACTGCCTGCTGGATTCTGCAAACAGACACAACCTATCACCACAACCTTATACTGCCTGCTGGATTCAGCAAACAGACACAACCTATCACAGCAACCTTATACTGCTTGCTGGATTCTGCAAAACAGACACAACCTATCACAGCAACCTTATACTGCCTGCTGGATTCTTCAAACAGACACAACCTATCACAGCATCCTTATACTGCCTGCTGGATTCTGCAAACAGACACAACCTATCACAGCAACCTTATACTGCCTGCTGGATTCTGCAAACAGACACAACCTATCACAGCAACCTTATACTGCTTGCTGGATTCTGCAAACAGACACAACCTATCACAGCAACCTTATACTGCCCACTGGGTTCTGCAAAACAGACACAACCTATCACAGCATCCTTATACTGCCTGCTGGATTCTGCAAACAGACACAACCTATCACAGCAACCTTATACTGCCTGCTGGATTCTGCAAACAGACACAACCTATCACAGCAACCAATTACTTAGCTATGATATGAAGTGTTGGCTTCCATTGTCTACTGCTAATCACCTATCAGCGCCAATCATCTGTTGGCTTCCTTTGTTAGCTTGTACCCTTTTTTATTTTCTACCTTTTGTTATCTTATCAATTTTGTTATCCTTACATGTACATACATATGCTCTTTGCCTCATGGCATTCATTCACCTGATGAAGGAGTAAGCATATACTCCGAAACGCTGTGTTCCTCATAATAAAGAAGTTGACATCCATATTCTCTTCCTTATGTGTATCACTTCTAAATGCCTTTCAAAGACCTGAGATACAACCTATTTCAGCAACCTTATACTGCCCACTGGATTCTGCAAACAGAAACAACCTATCACAGCAACCTTATACTGCCTACTGGATTCTACGAAACAGACACAACCTATCACAGCAACCTTATACTGCCCACTGGATTCTGCGAAACAGACACAACCTATCACAGCAACCAAGTCTAATAAACAACCTCACTGTATGATCCTTTTCAACACCAAGAACTGATGCTTTTAAGTTAATACTTTTTATATCAACAGGTCTTGCCAGAAATATTTGAGATATGACAATTATCAAGCAATCACTGTTCATCGATGACCATACGGGTGGTAATAGCCTTCTCAACACTGATTGGGTGACATTAACCATGTCTTATCACAAAGTGTATAATGAATCGCAAATCAACAACCATACCGACAAGCTGTCACAGGTGCGAAGCTTCATCAATCCTTCACCCTGTCCCACCTAGCAGATTAACTTTCACCTCTCAATACATCAATTATTCAAACTCCTTAAACATTTCAAACCATCAGAAATTGAATCCCAACTTTCGCACACCCCACGGTACGTCCCAACCACCACATACGTTCACCTGTATGGACAGCCAGCTTGTTCTACAGGGAACACTCAGAGATAAACTATTTCAAACTGGGCACAGACGTACTGGAATGACATGAACAACTGTTAAATTTGTTTGTAAATGTCAATGTGCCCATTACCAACATGCTAAACAGCTTCTGTGAGTAATTAGATCATGAAATATTCACCCCCAGAAGAAACATTAAAGTAAAGAGAGACTGGGAGTGATCAGTACATGTGCCCTTCACCATGGCTGGGTAGGACCACGCCAGTGTTCAGAATACACATCGGCCTGTAGGCCCTAGGCTGACAGATTTGTTCTCAGGCTGATAGTTTTAAATTTCAGCGGGCCTTAACCATGCTGACGGACGGCAGTTGATTTACGTAATTATTTATTAAGCATTATTTACGTAAAGTGATTTACATAACTTTCATATCTAGGATCAGATCAGACCTGTCAAATGGTGTATGACATGTAGTCGCAAAGATGTTTGTCAAGTTTATAATTTCCTGATAAATGTAGGCTTCATTTATCACCACTAAGTCTCTGGAAACTCGGTGTGATAGCAGTAGAAGCTTCTGGTTCACTGGTTGTGTTTTGTGTAAAGCAAGAGTATGTCTCCCTGCTTCAGCTAAAATGTCTGGGCCTACAATTTTTCCACTGGGCCTACAGTTTCTGAAATGTGCTGGCAGGAAAGCTTTGATGCAGGTCTTAGACAGTTACTTAGACCTGTCTGACAAAAATGATTTCTTCTCGTCTCTGATTGATAAATGTGATGTTAAGGTATATGTGAGATATGCTTGATCAAAATGATTTCTTCTCGTCTCTGATTGATAAATGTGATGTTAAGGTATATGTGAGATATGCTGGACAACGTTGTTATGCTTTAACCTTTTCCTGGTGCAGACAAAACTAATTACGATGCTTAGGAATACATAATACTGATTTATCATCACCTCAATTTGACAAAGGATTAGGTGACCATTTTTTTATTTCTTGGTTCATGGATGCGCCGCTCTTTCAAAGTCCAAATGTTAAAAAAAAATAAAAATGAAAATTACCCTTTTTTTATTACCGCCGATCTTTTCGACAAAAAGTTCAAACATAAAAAAGATTTCATTCCCTCGTCGATCGTAAAGCAAAGGGAAGTCACTCTGATATTTCTTGCTGGGATCCTTCTCTAATACCATCAAAGCTTGTCAACGCTAAGCGCAGTGGTGACCAGTTTAACTATTTCAACACTGTTGGCCGTTCAAAGCCACAAGTCACACCGCACGGTAGACCGTCTAAGCCACGTCAAAATAGTTTATAATTATATTAACCTACTTGTCATATCATTCATTTATTAAATCTATCACATTTCACAATGTCTGAAATACGTATTCCATTTGATTTTATCATTTTTTTACCTATAGGTTAAAGATATATTCACTTGACACAATTTCCCGCAATGTTATTGAAAATAAAATTCTCGGACACACTTCGATAACGGGTCCTCATCGAACATGTCAAATAGCAAAATAAAGACGTTTCACACGCTGAAACGTCTTTATTTACAAAGTAATAAAATCATCAAAAATATATCTATAAAAGTTGCCAAACTGACATCTTAGTTATTATTTCCAACTTTTCATGCGATCGCATATCGTAAGTCAAATGACATCTCGGCTTTCGTCGCCTCGATTTCTCGGCTCAGACACGATGTCTTAATGCCAAAATATATGCATAAGAAATCTTTGTCACAGCTCCAAACCTAGCTCTTTGTATCCATAAAGTTCCATATTTTTAATATAGATCGCGATTTCATGCTTAAACGTTCAGAATAACATGATTTAACCCAAACCTTTCGCCAAAGTCTGAAAATTATCGTTGCTGTAATTTGATTAGCTGCCTTAGGTCACGTGCTTAAATTTGACCAATCACGAAACTTGTAGCAGATTTTGTCGGTGAAACAATATAAGTTTTTTTAATGTATACTGACATGGCAGGACTTATGTGTAATTCATACGAAGCTTTGAAAACCGAGGTATTTCCTCATGTTAGTGAGCGGACAGCCACTATCATCGGGAAATGGGTGATGACAGATATTATTTGTAATTCTTTTTAAAATAATGTTCCAACAACGTAAACAAATGAAAATTAAAAAGAAATAGGTAAGTGGATTTTATGAATTCTTATATTTGCCGAAAAAATCGTTAGATTTGCGCTTAATTTGGACGTTATGAATGTTTTAGCTTACATTATTATTATTTATTTAAAACAAACTTTATTTAGTTGTTCATGAATTATTTAAATAATGAAATACACATAACTTTCATATTTATAAACAATAGGATTAATTAGACCTTTCAAATAGTGTATGGCCAAACATGTAGTAGCAAAGATGTTAATTTCAGCAGATAATTCCTTGATAAATGTTGGTTTCATCTATCACACAACAGTCTCTGGGAACTTGGTGTCACAGCAGTAATCTTCTGGTTGGCTGGTGTTAAAAGAGTTAAACGTTGCCCATGCTGCCAAAATAGCAGCGTCTTTCATGCATTTCCACCCATGACATGAATATTGTTATGTTGCCATCCTTGCACAAGCTGTGCCAGGGATATAATAAAATGTTCTTGAAAAATTGAGTTATTTTACTTTTATTACGCCAGGATATTTTTTTTCATACCTACCTAACTTTTTAGGACAAAATTCAGGTAATAAAAATGTGAGAGGCTTTTTTTTTTGCTTTTTTTTTTAATTGGCCTGCCTCACTTTTGAAATGAGTTTGAAATCCGTAAACCAAGAAATAAAAAAAGTGTCGCCTTAGCTGTGTTTGAAATTAAGGTGGACTTTCAGCATGTTCAAATTGTCTGTTATTGTATTCTAGTTGGGACCATCTAAATCTTTCATCTTCAACATCAGGGTTATTACAATCATAATCAAGATATTAATGATAATTCCTAAGCATTATTTCAAACAATGTAAAGTACAGTTATTATGTTTTTACCAATCATAACAAGCATGAAATACTCACATCCCCCGCCAATATGACATGTCGGGTTGTGTGCAATGTAAATGGCCTAATTGCAGCAATAAAAAAAGTTATTACTGGTGTTGTTTTTTCATCTGCAGTTTATGATACAATATGTAACTGAATTTGTAATGAGTAAGGATGAGACATATGGACAAACAACTTCTTTATTACAATAAGGATCAATGATTTCGGTGAAGGTTCTGACATCGTTATCAAGCAAGTGAAGTACAGAGTAAGGTTGACAAGAATATATAGTGTTTATACAGTTGAGTAGGTTTAAGATCAGTCTCACAGTTGTATTTGTAATGAGTTGTGTTTCTGCATGAAGTTAGTCAGTGAATGCAACAACTGTGTCCATGACACTTTTGGAGGAACATACACTCAAGCAATGCAGAACTTACCAACAAGAAAGGAAATGTATTCAATACTGTGAGATGACTTTATGTGCCAAGTTTGGTGAAGAAATATAGTATGGTTTTCAAGATCTGCTCTGGAAACGAGGACTACCGCCATTTTCAGTCTAAATCAAAGTCATTGCCATGGAAACTCGAAAAATAACTTTTTTTTAAATCCCAAACTATCAAAAGGCACCAGTTCACCACTAGACCTATCTATGTGCGAAGTTTGATGTAGAAATATATGTACGGTTTTCAAGATCTGCTCCAGAAACGAGGACTACCGCCATTTTCAGTCTAAATCAAAGTCGTTGCCATGGAAACTCGCAAAAATAATTTTTTGAAAAATCCCAAACTATCAAAAGGCACCAGTTCACCACTAGAACTATCTATGTGCGAAGTTTGATGAAGAAATATATGTACGGTTTTCAAGATCTGCTCCAGAAACGAGGACTACCGCCATTTTCAGTCTAAATCAAAGTCGTTGCCATGGAAACTAAAAAAAACCAAACAAACTTAAATCCCAAACTATCAAAAGGCATCAGTTCACCACTAGACCTATCTATGTGCCAAGTTTGGTGAAGAAATATGGTACGGTTTTCAAGATCTGCTTCGGAAACAAAATGTGACGGACGGACGGACGGAAGGACACAAAAAATAATTTTTTTTAAAATCCCAAACTATCATAAGGCACCAGTTCACCACTAGACCTATCCATGTGCGAAGTTTGATGAAGAAATATAAGTATGGTTTTCAAGATCTGCTCCAGAAACAAGGACTACCGCCATTTTCAGTCTAAATCAAAGTCGTTGCCATGGAAACTCGAAAAATAATTTTTTGAAAAATCCCAAACTATCAAAAGGCACCAGTTCACCACTAGATCTATCTATGTGCCAAGTTTGGTGAAGAAATAAGGTATGGTTTTCAAGATCTGCTCCGGAAACAAATGTGACGGACGGAAGGACTGAACGATGGAAGGACGGAAGGACGGCACCCATTCCTATATCCCCCTTCCACTTCATGGCTGGGGATAATAATAACATTCCACTCAATATGTGAGAAAATCTAATTACAGTGCTTACAACTTGACTAGCATTATACTGACACAGCCAACCTTCCAGGTATATTTAAACATGGCAGATTGAATGGCATGTCTTCACACCAGGTGAATGGCAACACTCACCTCGATCAGATTACTTTCAGTATTGCGTGATTTGTTTAATCAAATACATACAGCTGAAACTTGGCGATCAAACCACTAAGGTGTGCAGATTGTTTCAGTAATTAACGTAATGCCAACACAGTTGCCTGTGTCAATACTGTTAGTTTACACACCATTCCCTGGTACCCATCAAAATAACATTCTGACTTGCTATAAACATGATAAACAAGAAGCTGCTATAAAGAATTTCTTCAAAGCTGTGTAATATTTGTGAGTAGTATGTCGTCAGCCTGACATCCCCTAGCCTGTCAACATGGCAGCAATTGTATAGTACTGCCCAGTCACAAAGAAATGCGATAGATCCTTGATACAAACATGTCAAAACCTTTGTATTTTAACAGCAAATCCTTCATGGGCATAAATCATCATGAGCACAAAGACAGGGTCATCCTATATCCATATAAGCATTGCAAAGTTTTAAAGTAAACCATTTTTGCGTTTACCAATTTATCCTTTTTGTGTTTTCATAACTAAATGTACACATCCTTTTACGTTTTGCTTTTCGATACAAATCATGGTGGCGATATCAGCTACAATATTACAGTACTTGAACACAATAAGGAGTGTTAAACCAACAGGCATGACCGACAGTTAAGTAAACAGTGTCTCAATGGCCCTAGCTGCCGAAGTAAGTGTGATTTATACATGGCTGTGGAATAATTCGTGCCCCTGGTACACGTCTCCAGCCATCTGTCTTTCAGGCAAATACTGTGAAGCCTACACCCAAGTACCTGTTGTATTTAACTACAAGTAGAACCAGATCTATTCTCGTGCTTAATAGTAACAGAAAAAGCCTTGCATCTACAAATCATTATTGTGACAAAACTTTATATCAGTAGAATCACAGACATGGATGTTACTGCTAGGCAATCCTTTACTGTTATTGTCAACACCTGAAGCCTAAACAGTGTTCAAGCAGAAATTAGGAGGCCAAACCGAAGCACATTTGGAGTACTTTACAAGGGGAAAATCTCAATTTACAAGGACTCCTACTTAAAGATACATTTACCTTTGCATCAATTTCAGTAATATTTAATGACTTGCCATATTTGAACCAAAGCAACATGCAAGGTTGATACCCAGATGAAAACAATTCTGCTCACAGTATGTCAAGGCAGTGGTCAGTATCTACAATGTCCCCTGCAACAACCACTGAAGACTACAGACACACTCCAACATGGTACAACTCCCAACAAGGCAGTGGTCAGTATCTACAATGTCCCCTGCAACAACCACTGAAGACTACAGACACACTCCAACATGGTACAACTCCCAACAAGGCAGTGGTCAGTATCTACAATGTCCCCTGCAACAACCACTGAAGACTACAGACACACTCCAACATGGTACAACTCCCAACAAGGCAGTGGTCAGTATCTACAATGTCCCCTGCAACAACCACTGAAGACTACAGACACACTCCAACAAGGTACAACTCCCAACAAGGCAGTGGTCAGTATCTAAAATGTCCCCTGCAACAACCACTGAAGACTACAGACACACTCCAACATGGTACAGCTCCCAACAAGGCAGTGATCAGTATCTAAAATGTACCCTGCAACAACCACTGAAGACTACAGACACACTCCAACATGGTACAACTCCCAACAAGGCAGTGGTCAGTATCTACAATGTCCCCTGCAACAACCACTGAAGACTACAGACACACTCCAACATGGTACAACTCCCAACAAGGCAGTGGTCAGTATCTACAATGTCCCCTGCAACAACCACTGAAGACTACAGACACACTCCAACATGGTACAACTCCCAACAAGGCAGTGGTCAGTATCTACAATGTCCCCTGCAACAACCACTGAAGACTACAGACACACTCCAACATGGTACAACTCCCAACAAGGCAGTGGTCAGTTTTAATCTACAATGTACCCTGCAACAACCACTGAAGACTACAGACACACTCCAACATGATACAACTCCCAACAAGGCAGTGGTCAGTTTTAATCTACAATGTACCCTGCAACAACCACTGAAGACTACAGACACACTCCAACATAGTACAACTCCCAACAAGGCAGTGGTCAGTATCTACAATGTCCCCTGCAACAACCACTGAAGACTACAGACACACTCCAACATGGTACAACTCCCAACAAGGCAGTGGTCAGTATCTACAATGTCCCCTGCAACAACCACTGAAGACTACAGACACAGTCCAACATGGTGCAACTCCCAACAAGGCAGTGGTCAGTTTTAATCTACAATGTCCCCTGCAACAACCACTGAAGACTACGGACACACTCCAACATGGTACAACTCCCAACAAGGCAGTGGTCAGTATCTACAATGTCCCCTGCAACAACCACTGAAGACTACAGACACACTCCAACATGGTACAACTCCCAACAAGGAAGTGGTCAGTATCTACAATGTCCCCTGCAACAACCACTGAAGACTACAGACACACTCCAACATGGTACAACTCCCAACAAGGCAGTGGTCAGTATCTACAATGTCCCCTGCAACAACCACTGAAGACTACAGACACACTCCAACATGGTACAACTCCCAACAAGGAAGTGGTCAGTATCTACAATGTCCCCTGCAACAACCACTGAAGACTACAGACACACTCCAACATGGTACAACTCCCAACAAGGCAGTGGTCAGTATCTACAATGTACCCTGCAACAACCACTGAAGACTACAGACACACTCCAACATGGTACAACTCCCAACAAGGCAGTGGTCAGTATCTACAATGTCCCCTGCAACAACCACTGAAGACTACAGACACACTCCAACATGGTACAACTCCCAACAAGGCAGTGGTCAGTATCTACAATGTACCCTGCAACAACCACTGAAGACTACAGACACACTTCAACATGGTACAACTCCCAACATGGCAGTGGTCAGTATCTACAATGTACCCTGCAACAACCACTGAAGACTACAGACACACCTGGTACTCACCTTATGGTCATGGTACAGTTCCCAACAAGGCAGTGGTCAGTATCCACAACTATGGATGCATCTAGTGCAGCTGATATGTATTTCTCAAGAAAATCCTCAATGTTCTTCATCCAATAATTACTTTAATTTAAAGTTGATGTCTTAAACCATCTTGGAGATCTGAAACAAAAGAGAATCTTTGAAATGCCATAGAATATCATAAATAAGTGTGGCAAAACATTTTTGACGGAAACCTTGACGCACAACGGCTATATAATTTCAAAATTCAATACATCAACACAGCTTAACCATGTTTAGTCTTGGCGCTACTCATCATAAACTGGGACTTCATGTCTCCCATGTCACCCTGTGACAGTGCTTGGGCATCGTTGCTGGAGGTGAATGTGTGTGTGTGTGTTTGTTGTTTAAATCCATGCTCAGTAATATTCAGCAACATGACATCCTGTTAAGAATTGAGTCTGGACCAGACAATATATTTTGGATATTTATGACAATAATAACTGTCATACATCATTGAGCCCTGATTAGATGTTGGAAACCTCTAAACTAAAAGCACAGTAGGTTTATCTCCCAATTAAAATTTTACCAAAGAGCACAAATGTTTCATTTCTCCTATTTCATCTAAAACTAGAGGAAAATTTTCCTACAAACATTTGGCAAATACAATGTTCATACATACCACAGACATGACACACATGAAGGGCAGGGATGGGTAACTCAGGTACCTGGGTCGAGTGGGTACTGAGTAGGACCCAGGTACCCACAGGACTACCCTGACCCATGGTTTGTCACGTGATGTATTGTTTAATGACAAAAATTATCTAGAACTCTATGGTTACACTACAAGTCACTTATGTTCACATTTCTTTCTGACTATGCACCCATTCCTTCTGAGTTTTAATATGGTTAAATAAAGATATTCTTAATTCAACTTCAGTGTATGAATGACCAGATTGTTTAATACATGTATCTAAATACATTTTGCCAGGGTCTCACTAAAAATGTTCCCAATCGGACATTTTAAGACATCTGAGACCTACAGTGGGAACCCGGGTAGGCTCGGGTAATAGGGGTTGGGTACCTGGGTAGTAAATTTGGATTCTTCCCAGCCCTAAGTGTGTGACATTTCTTTCTAAAAAAAAAATATATACAGTGTAAACATTCTATCAACACATCCATCTACAAAACAACACTAAACATCTGAACATGCTGAAGGGTGGACTGCATGTAGTGACATGTGGCAGTAGGATACACACACATGAAATACATACGGAGTAGATCCTGGTGCAACTGGACAGTTAAGTTTTTATCAAAAATAAGTAGATTAATACATTTTAATCACTCACAATTCTAGTGTTTGTTTGTTGTTTAACGCTGCACTCAGCAATATTCCAGCTATATGACGGCATTCTGTAAATAATCTAGTCTGGACCTGACAATCCAGTGATTGATATCATGAGCATCATTCCATGCAATCGCGATACGATGATGTGCATCAACCATGTCAGTGAGCCTGACCAACTGATCCTGTTAGTCGCCTCTTACAACAAACATAGTCCCTTTTACGGCAAGCATGGGTTGCTGAAGACCTATTCTACTCCAGATCTTCACTGGTCTACAATGCTAGTGAAAAGGCATTGATTTGATCCAAGCTTCAAGAGCAGTTATTATGAAAGATAATTTTAATAAAAAGCTACAGCAAAACGTTTATATTATCTAAATAAACCAGTAATATGATTATCCCCATACAGATATATCAATTTCTTTTCTACCACCATTACCCTGTCCTGTGCCTATATGACATGTTATATTCCAAACACTGGTGTATTTACCTGTTTGTATATAGTTTCATGTGTGTCTTATGACTATGGAGAAAAGATGAAGGTGACTATAGTAGGTCAATACCTCCTTGAAGTGTGGAATGTGGAGAATAAATGACTTGTGTCAACATACACCACAGGAGACCACCGTACATACACCAACCTGGCTACACAATGTCCACCCTTGCTTGTAGTTCTACAGGATATTATTCACCAGACTCAGACAGTTTCTTCATATTGTGTGACAGTTTCTTCATATTGTGTAAAGAAACATTTCTTTAGAACTACACAATGAACTGAATACTATGACTACAGTAGAGGACAAATAGATATCTATAATAATATTTAGTTTAAACACTGTAACCATTACAATACCATAAACATCACATAAAGGTCTGATCCCAAATGGAAAATTAAAGGGTTCAAATGTTGTGTGTGCGTGAGTGTGTGCATGTGCGCGTGCGTGCATGTGTGATAAAGGAACACACACAACTAGTTTTTTATGCAGCTCAACATCCACTTGCCATGCGATATGATTTAATAACATGGTTTTCATAGCATATTCATCATAATCACCTTTAACCATTGATTTTAACAGCAGTCATGCCTCTGAAATAACTGAGGTGAATGTTTCTAAGGCACTTTCAACCATTGATATAATAAATCTATGTGCACTAAAGATACTTGTATATGCTCTATCTACAGCCATGCTAATTTGGGTTTGAAAAAAACAAAAACAAAACAATTCAGGCCCTTTTCAGTAGGTTCTGGAATTGCTATCTTCCACAAATGTTGAGAAATGAAACTGTTCACACATGTCAAATGTGCCTCTATCCAAATAATTTTAAGAAAAAATAAGACCTAAAACCTGTTAAAGCAAGTTTCCACATAGTTCTTGAGCAAAATGACTTTTTCCTTAGTTGTTTTGTATTGCATAGAAATTGCACAGAATTAGCATGGCATAAGATAAACTTGCAATACTCATTACAGCGTTAGAAACTGGCACTAGTCCTATTGTCCTTGCCAAACTGCTCAATAGTTAAGGTATCATAAGGACTAGTAGACATTTATCCTTTTTAAGGGTTTTACTATATGATAAGGATTTTATAAGGATTAGTGGACTAAAACTGTTAGTTTCTACTGCTGTCATTATATCGATTAAGTTTTTAATGAATATCTGGGGGAGCTGATAGTAACGTTAATATGTAAAAAATTGGTTTCTGATTATGCTTTCTTGCCAAAATCTACTACAAGGTTTGTGATTGGTCAAATTTGAGCATGTAACCTCAGGCAGCCTATCAAATTATAGCAATGGTACCGTCCTCGTGTATGATGAATTTCAGATTCTGACGAAAGATTTTAGTTAAATCATGTTATTCTGAACAGCAGGAAATCGTGATCTATATAAAAAATATGGAGCTTCATGGATGTATCATGCTAGGTTATGAGCTGTGACAAAGATTTTTCAGACATATATTTTGGCATTAAACATCGTGTCCGAGCCGAGAAATAGAGGCGACGAAAGCCGAGATGTCATTTCACTAACATTACCCGTGATAGCACGAAAAGATGGAAATAATAACATACCTGTAAGTTTGACAACTTTTAGATATATTTTTGTTCATTTTATTTATTACTTTGTATAATATATTTAAAGATTTTCTTGAAATGTCTTTATTTCGCTCTTTGACATGTTCAATGTGGACCCGTTGTCGAAGCGTGTGTCCGAGATTTTTATTTTCAATAACATTACGGGAAATAGTGAATAATTTTTTAATCTATTGATAAAAATGATAAATTGAAATGGAATACGTATTTCAGACATGGTGAAGTGTGAAAGATTTAATAAATGAATGATATGACAGGTAGGTTCATAAAATTATATACTATTTTGATGTGACTACAGCTTGGCCGGTCTACCGGCCTATGTTGTCTGGGGACTCGAGGCTTCTTGGCTGGTCTACTTGCGTATGGTGTTGAAAAAGTTAATCATGTTCATCACTACTGAGGAAGTGACTAAAAGTTGTTTATTTTGTAAATAAAATGATTTCAACACGCTGAAGCAAGTCAGACATTATTGAGAAGCTAATACTGGACAAACTACACATCCCACAGTTACATATAGAAAAATGATACATGATCCAACAATGCATCTTAAGCCATGCCATACTTGCATTTTAAGCTGTGACATACTTACATGGTCACAAATATGGTCCACTAAAGATTTTCCTAGCCTGTGAATGAGAGTGCCATAAAGTATCCCCAGATCTAGCCAAGATCTATCCCTTATGAAAGGAACTAACAATAAGCTCAGCCTTGGAAAATGTTTATGAGAGTACAACACACAACACTGAGCAGTAGGTCAATAATTAATAGCCCTCCCATGCTGTCAGTCCAGTAATCACAGCCCATGGAATTGTCTCAAACTTGTAGCAGATTAAATAGTCATTAAACGTGAGCAGATTACAACATAGCTTCAAGTAGACGTGGTTAATCAATAAACATTAACATAATTACAGATAATAGCTGACAAAATTGGTGATTATTACTATGATTACATTCCTTCTGTCAATACTTTGATTATCTCATAAATAAGATTACACACATTATTATTTTGATTAGCTTGCTGTACCAGTTGACAGATGCACAAAACACATCAAAGATATCCTTTGAGATAGTAGAAATGTTCCATTCTCAAGAACATGCAGTGTTCAATATTCATGAAAGTCATGGTGTTCTAAAGATGTCATAGCCATGATAACCTTAACCTATAGAAGGGTTCACTCTAGGAATTTTCTGACTGGGCCCTTTATGTGAAAATTTCAAATATTCCAGAGGTACACCCACACTTGCCCATACAGCACAATGTTAAAATGCCCCACTGTATTTGAAAATGTGGGCCTTTTTTTTTAAAATTTAGGGGCTAAAAGCACAAGGCCCCACCTTAGAATTATCCCTGCTATGGAGTTAGGGGTACCTGGATTCAAACATTATAGGAGCAAACCTCAAGAACCTCAGGGCCTCCTTAATTTGAACCCTGACTTGTCCATACCTTGTCTATGTTATTATTATTCAGGCTAGAGCTGAGAAAACTGGGTTGCTATTTCTTGTGATATTCCATGAGACAAATGGCATTCAGACATTTTCATGATTGAAAAAAAGTATGTTTGGTAGACTTAGAATGTATTTAGGATGACAATCTATCAATATCCTAGAAAATAACCAATTTGAAACTCTGTATTTCACATCCTCTCTAACACTACCAGTACTTACTTACGCTTCAGAGGTCACAGGTACTTTGGAAAATAATTACCCTTTTCTTCCCTAATCATGCTAATGGCAATTACTGATGTGAATAATACATGTCCAGGGATTATCCTTGAATTTTTCACCTATGAGAGAAAATCCCCCCTGGTCTAAAAGCAATGAGATTTTCTGGCGTGTGATGAGATATGGGGGGCTGACCATATCAAATGAAATCTTCTCAATATTAACCTTTTTTTATTCATCAGAAGTGATAGTTCATTATACAATGATTATTGCTCCGGGTTCACCCTTTTGTTTAATTAGCAACAATTAAGTCCTTATTTTATCTGCAGAAGGTCGGCATGTTTGCCATGTGCAGCAGCCAGAAAATGTTTACGAGTAACCGGAGGCCATCGCCCTATGAAAACGAAGATTGCTTGCTTCTGTTTCTCGTTTGGGTAGAAATATTTATACATGTGCCAGAAGAAATGTAACAAGATTGGGTCTAAGTGCTAGAGAGAGCATCTGAAAGATGTCAGTTTGACATGACCAAATACTGTAGAAACATACTGCTTGACTGTAATGGTCCATTCGAAGTTTTATGGCGCTTACTAAACTAATATAGTATGCATATTTTACCCTGTATCCAACTGACCGACAACTTGTTAAGATTTACGACTTATTAACAATTTATTTTAGACAATAAGAGTTTGATAGCACGAATGAATCACCGAATCTGCCACTTGAGGGAATGGAAATTAGCTTTTATTGAGACAAGCGTATGAGTTACTTCTCATGACATTGAACATTAATTTGGTGGGAGGAGCTGAAATTATCATCGATAGTATTTTGTTAGTTATCCGGGAGTGATGCGGGGATTCAGAGACTCACAGCTAACCAGAGAGGCTCTCTGTATATTGGAAGACTGGATCAGAAAAATCAGACGAACTATCAGACTCTTCTATACATTGCCTTAGATATGTGTTGTGCATAAACAAGTCGGGCTACAGAAAAAACATCTGAGGACCTTGTGTGTGTAATTATCAAAACTTCCGTCTCCAGTAAATGGACTGTGAGAAACAAATCTGACTTGTACTATTGAGAAAGGTACATCATCCCCGGAACCAAGGAGTTCAGAGAACAAATGGCCAAGATAGAAGGGTATCGTACCCAACACCACTACGGTTACAGATGGTGGAGGTGTAGGGTCCCAATTCCTGGACGGAGAAAATCAGCATGGAGGGTTATCAGAACTACCTATTGGCAATCAACATGCAGTTGCTTGGATTAACAGTTGTAAATACCAACAGAAACTGGGCTGGGACTTTCATGATGCTGATTATGAGTAAGGATGCGATATATTATATCATGAGATACATAATATTTTGGCACTTGGCATGCTGAAGAGCTGCATCCAACCATGAAGAGAATAATTACAGATGCCAGCTTGACATATTTGGTAAATTGTAGTAAATTTAGATCATAACATGGACTTTATAGCTCTTGTACATAATGACTGAAAATAGTATTTAAAGCATTAATTTCTCACCATTTAAAATGTCCTCCTTAGATATCTTTGTATCTATACCATGTATACATAATTTCACAAAACAATTCTCATAATATGGAACAAAGAATCGCAATGAACAGGGCCTGTCTTGCTGATGGACCCAGTGTCATGATTTCCTGTTAAGGGAAGATGGAATTTACAGTTCTTGTTTTGTTCCTTGACTACAGGGTAAAATTAAAGATGGACAATTTACTTCACTAGTCTGAAATAAGATGAAAAATTGATGGACTGGCATTTAAAATTTAATTATATAACATAAACTACTAGTCCAAAATGAGCTGTGACAAAGTTGAATATAACACATGGTGTCTACCCCTAGCCAGATGCAAATGACTTCCTAGTTGGATAACGTTCATATCAATCATCATTCCTCACACAACAAGAACCAAGTAGGATAACGTTCATATCAATCATCATTCCTTACTCAACGAGAACCAAGTAGGATAACGTTCATATCAATCATCATTCCTTACACGCGAACCAAGAAGGATAACTTTCATATCAATCGTCATACCTTACACAACAAGATGCTACAATCATTGGTCATAAATAGTCATTTTGTCTTCAAATTACTTTCATGTTACATCAGTGCAGCAAACAATTTCTATTAAGAATATTAATGTATAAAACCTGGCACAAAAGGCATATGATATAGATAACACTAAGTATCACTAGAGTATCAGAAGAAAACCTAGGGTCAACTGCAGTATTTGGGTTCCCACTTTCAACAGCTTTGTTTATAAATAAGCGCGCACGCGCTAGTGTGCCAAAATCAGTTAGGAGGCATTTTTTAGCAAAAAGGACCCCAAAAAGTAGCTGGACGTGAAAAGTATGGTCTAAAACTACGCCTTATGGGGGCCGAGAGTTTTATGATAGAAAGCATAGCTGTATTCCCGTGGGGTTGACTTTGTGTTGCTTGTGAGTGGGACATAAATGATGTAAAACGTCAGGTGTCTGATCATGTGACATTCCTTATATGGACTTGTTACTACAAACGCCACTACGCTCATAGCACTTTTCAAGGCTGATAAGTGTTTCATTATTTGTCACTTTTATCAAGAATCTTTATAACTTTTCAAGAATGTCTGATAGTAGAATTCTGTATGATGATTTGTATGAATTGTGCGGGGATAAGGGAGACTTTGGGACTGGTTAGAGGATGCAGGTGTGACAGGACAGTTTGGAGGGCCTTGCTGTAAGTGTCAGAATGATGTGATTAACAGAAGGGACAGCAGTAGGAGTGAAGGTTATATGTGGTAGTGTAACGTAGCAACAAGAGGTGTCATTATAAGATTTCAGTGAAGCGTTCTTCCTGGTTTATAGTTCTAATTGGTCCATTCCTGACATTTTGAAAATTTACTGTTTATTGGGTTTACAGGTATAGAGGAGATTTTGTTATAAAGTTCAGTTGAAAGGTTTGTTTGGAAATTTTGGAATGAGAGAATGAGGCTATTGGGGTACCTGGTGTAGAAAAATTTGGGAAAAGAAAGTTTCACAGGGGGAGGAGAGTGGATGGTGTTTTGGTGTTTGGTGGGATTGAAAAAGACTTCTAGCAAGATGTTCATCACTGCTGTTGAAAAACGAAATTGCTAAACATTGCTCCCAATTATTAAAAGATGGATTAAAACAGGGATCAATCATTCATTCGGAGTGTTGGAAGGCTTATGACTGTTTGGAATCATTGGAGGGAATGGGGTACATTCATAATAAAGTTAACCACAGTGTAGAATTTGTAAATTCAGAAACAGGGGCATGTACAACATGGAGACCAGTGAAGGCATCTTTGCATTAGTAAGACATGAATAAAAGAAAGTATGATAGTTATTTTGTTGAGTACATTATCAGAAAAACATATAAGTTGTTCAGTTTGTTCCGGTTTGGGGACCCAAATACTGCAGATTTAAAACAAGAAAAAAATATAAATATCTGAGCATGTGTACATGAAGCAGCAGGGGCTGAATAACTTTATTAATCTTGTTGGAATAAACCACTGACTTCAGAAGACAAAGCATGCACAACATGACAGAATTTGACAGCAAACTGATTCAAGCATGTACTAAAATTATCAATAATATGTATATATAATATATATAATCTGTAACTGTAATCATGTAGGACAATCTGTGTCGTGCGATTATTTTGTGAATTCCTTTATATAAATATATATATGCATGACATGCATATATCCACACAAATGATTACTTGCAATGAGTGCAAAATGTCATTTTCTTAGAATAGATGTTCTGTTGCCAGGAAAATATTACCATTGTATGTGTATTCATTTATTCAGTATGATGCAATGCAGGTAATTGATGTCCTGACACTAATGTGTTCACGACTACCCATATTGCCTCAATCCACACAATAAATAAACTTTATTATATTTGGTACCAGAAATCCTATGAATCTTGTGTTCATATGTGTTGGCTAGTATGCAGTATACCAAATACCTACTTTGGTAGCCTAAAGCAACTTTTTAATAACCATGATTACCATGAAAAAGTGTTGTCAATCAAAAATACATATTATTTCATGTGCCAGGTGAGCATTTCATCTGCTGTGAATGGGTTAACTTACACATATTTTCCGTTTCTTTACTCATTTAACAGTTTTGCATTTGCACTAAGAATGTTATTCAATGATATGCCATAGGCATTTGCTTATTTACTTCTTTACTGAAGAATCGGCATGTGCCATTTGCATGTGACATATAGGTTTTCTCATTGAAACAAAAAAGGAATCCGACTAATTTATTCAAATGATTGATGACTTTGTGTTGATTATGCATATATGATTAAGTTGGGGAAAAAGTATGACTTCTTAACTGGATAAATAAAAAGTAGAAAGTAATCACTTTTGTGATGACCAGATATGACATTAACGAGAATCCAACACAATTTTATTGATAAACGCAACGGCATTTGCCCGATATATTATTTGGCCGAATAAAATCAGTTGACACAAACGTGTACGCATATATCCAGAAACGCCTTCTAGCAGCTGTGTATACTGACAAGTTTCGACCCTTCGATCACTGAAAATAATAAAAACGCACTGAACAATTCATCGTTTGTTCACACAGGTGACAACTACTATACTCTCAATGTGACAATAAACCAAAATGTTTACCTTTCTGAGAATGGTTTCATATTCCAACTTTGTCTCTGAAAGCATGCAAATTGGAGAATGTTTCACGATTAGATTGTTCCTGTCCGCCATATTGTTTAAACATGGCGAATGTTCCTTGACACTTTGTAAACAATATCATTACGCCAATATATAATTTATAATATCAACAAATGTCTGTCCTATATTCAATCATATGAGATAAAAGGAAAACGTACCTTTGCTATGTTATTAGTAAACATAATATCACTGTGTTGTTCCCACTATTTTCTTTAATTGGTATCGGAACTATTTCTCTAGTCAGTGCGATGGTTGCTGGGGTGACGATATCTACTCGCATGTAGTTCTACCAAGGGAGGTAATCTGTTACAGATTTTCAATAAGCACAAAAACTGAAGTTGGCAAACATACGTTTGTCAATGCACCGTAAATCTGCGCTTGTGAGCGTTACAGTTTGCAAATACATTTATGAAATTACACGACCTGGGCGAGAACAAGAACCTTTTGAAACATAAAAGGCATTCAAATTTGAAATGGATATATAGCTAGAGACCAATACAGTATGTGGCTGAAATAAGTGGTCTCTGTTTGAACATAGTTTTGTCTACGATTCGTTCATGTGTGACCCTAATGTTTATTTCTATTGATATTTTTCAGATTTTAAGTAAGGACTTAAACACACTTATCCTGCTTATAAATTTCCTTGTGATTAATTAAGTTGTATGCTTGTCAAAAATTCATTTTAATGATCAAATACATCAGGATGGCAATTGGTGAAGACGGTCAAATCGGAGTTGAAGAGAAGAGGACTGCTAGGGACGTACTTTGACCGTACGCATGTAGCGGGTGTGGTATAAAGACCGAATACATATTTTAACTAAATATTTCTCTGTTGGAATATATATTAATCCATATATACCATCAGGATCTATTGGTCACTCTGGTACTGTGTTATGTTCTTCTCCCCGGGTCGGTACATTCACATCATATATCATGTGCCGTTTATAGAGATTGTATATAATGTATATGAGTACACGCGACAGAAATATTGTTGATGCGTGATCCAAAACTTTACTTTGGGCGAAGGAACCGAATACTAACAGGGCCTCTCTACGGGAAATTCGGTAATAAAAACAAGACAGCTTGAGAACTTCAAAATCATACTTTATGCAGAAGAACATTATTGCTTCACTAGACTTGTTCAAAGTATGAATAAGCCTAAACAAATTCTGGGAATGGCGCTTTGACTTTCCGAAAGATTGTTGTGACCAGGCGATAGTCATTTTACGACGTTTCAACCACTTTGCCGAAACCATTCTTTTCCAAAAATGACGATCATGTAAGATAGTATACCGATCAATTTTTCAAAATGATAAAAAACGCAAAAAACAACAACAACATGTTGATGCAAATATTGTATTACGAAAGTAAAATCATTTGGCGAGTTATAAACTGATAAACACACTATTGACCAACAATTCTCAACATCACAGACAACACTTCCGTTAAAATTACAGATTACACTCATGACGTCATGTGAATAAACATGATCATTACTGTCACTAGTGTCAATACATCAGTAATGTGTATGGACTGTACGTGCAGACAGACATGCGGACAGTTTGTTAGGCGTCTTATGACGTCATCAGGAATAACCCTCAATCCCTCCCTCTCTGCTTGTTCCATCTGAGGTTTGGGACGGTGTCGGGTGTTCTAGTAAAGATGTTCTGTGGGTGACATGTATGGTGAAAGGGCTGGCCATGGCAAAACATTGACGTTGTTCGTGGCCACAAACTGTTGTGCTTTGTCCTGTTGAAACAAGATCCGGGGGTTACCCTGCAAGAACGGTAACACGACGGGATGTGACACGCGGTCTATGAAATGCCGGACATTAATATTTCCATCAATGACAACCAGTAGTTCAGTCTTCTGTCGGCCACGTATACCACCAAACTGCCACCGCCAAACGGTACAATCTCCTGAATACAACAAGGAGCTGTTCTTTCTCCCACACGTCGGTGGATCCGTGTCCTTCCGTGGGCTCTGAACAGCTTGGCCACCTCGCATCACAGTGAGGAATCTGTTACGTAGGTGCAAGGAGAGGTGATGGCGGTGCTCAGTGGAAGCCGTGACACGTGAACTTACACGTGAACTTCCACCTCGAGACCTGTCTGCAGTTCTTCCAGTCACCCTGTAACACTGCGTCAACGTGGTAATCGTCGTTCTCGTACAATGTGTGATGATTGGAGAACTTGCCCCCCCCCCCCCCCCCCCCCCCAACTGCACCATAACTCTCTCTCTCTTCTCTCTCTCTCTCTGAGAGCCGACAGTTATGAGGATCTGACCTGGCTATGTGTGAATATGTCCTAGTTCCTAGAATGCGCTAGTCGTTGTTCATGCTATGAACAACTGATGCGTCTGGTTCCCCACTAGAGTCCCCCACGTAGCAGTGATACAGCTGTAACATTGCTGACCGCGACGTTCAATCACATTATTACGCACGAACTCATGATTTGAAGTAAATCAAATGCCACAAGGTACTATGTGCAGCCTTGCTCATATGTAAATCATGCAACGGCACGTATGGGACTTACATCCTGCTGAAAGTCATCAAAGATTCATCTATGTATGCATTCTGACACAAACGGCTGCCTTTTAGAAAGGCAACTGTTTAACTGAAAAAAAATAATAATTTCGTAATGAATCACCCGATGAGACAATTATGGAATATTGTAACGGACATTGTCTCGGTCTCGGAACTTCGGTGAACTGTCAAGCAAGACGAAGGAGCAAAAACGCGACATCTGACATTCTCGCATTCTCATAACACTGCACTGTCTAGGACGTGAAGATGCGACATTTGGCAATCGAGCAGACTCTGGCAATCTAGCGAATCCAAACCAAAGGTCGAGATCGAGGAGCGACAATATATTACACGGGTTTTTTTGTTTGTTTGTTTGTTGGTTTGTTGTTTAACGCCGCAGTCAGCAATATTCCAGCTATATGACGGCGGTCTGTAAATAATCGAGTCTGGACCAGACAAACCAGTGATTGAAATTATGAGCAACGATCCACGCAATTGGGATCGATGACATGCATCAACCAAGTCAGCGAGTCTGACCACCCGAACCCGTTAGTCGCCTTTCACGGCAAGCATGGGTTGCTGAAGACCTATTCTACCCCGGATCTTCATGGGTCTATTACACAGGCAGTACCATTAGAACAGATAGATAATATGAACTCCCTTGTTTTAAATGTCAACAATGCCAGACACTTTACATAAGTTGCTGTTACCGTTGATGTTCAAATATTTTACTAACTTACAAATATGAAACTTGTAAACAATATGCAATATGTCTTAATCTACATTAATGAGTAAAATATGGTATAACAATGTTGACATATACAATAGTTAAATTTTCTTAAGTGTAAGGAGGGTGAAATTTCAACTTTGCGACTCCTAAGTCTTCTTTATTCTTTTGTTCTAAATGTTTTACAAAAGATAATTAGCTTCCAATGCTGACACCTCTCATTAAACTTAACCACACATTGGCGACACATCTAAATCAAGTATCAGGATATTTTAGTTTTTTGAGTGAGAGAAACTAGTTATGGGTTAGTAATATTAATAGAGGTGGAAATGTGTTTGTCTTAATTGTCAGTGACTGCAACATATTGAACTACAAGCAGACAAATATGAAATGAAATTGTGGCCAGATTTGAACAGCAGTCAACAATATTGAGTGGAGCTTTCCAGCATGGTTTTGTATTAGAATTAGAGTTATCCGCCCTTGTACAGGGCAGGTTGGATCATTCTAGAAGTTTCTGGAAGGGACAGTTTCTAGAAGGTTGGCTGTACCTGTTTAAGAGAGACAAGAAGACACTTATCTATGCTGAGTTGTATATTTGGTGTAAAAGTTTTGAGAAAAAAAAGAAAACCTATTTTTTTGCAATATCTTCTATAGTATTGAGTTGAATGCTAATCACGTTGCCTTGAGTTAACTTGAATCTTGTTATTGTCATTATCACTCAAAGATCCTGATTTATAAACCTTGCCTTTCTTCCTAGTGAGAAGCTAAAATGTTACGTGACCATTTTAAACCATAAATAACTAACAATGAAACCACTCGGAATACAGTGTTGTGGATCCATTGATAGACTCGTGCTCTTGAAGGACATATTTCAACGCAAAAATAGCATCTACAAAATAGGCCCTATATGGTCAAAACCTTTGTTAAGGACTAACGCTTAGTCCCTGTAAATAGATATATTAATTTCATAGCAACAAATAACTATTTAAATTCAAAAGGAGACCCAGTGAGATGGGAGATTCAGAACCTGGTGAAAATCTAGACTTGCTTTATTTAGGGCTATAGCATTACAGTAAGGGCTGGGGGAAAGGGAAAAACATATGGTTCAGGGACTATGAGACAGACTACCAGGGTTATTACGATACAGAACTGGCACTGATTGTGACCGTATCTTTTCTAGGTGCTAAGTTTTCCTCTTGCTCAAAAGCTGTTTCATCGGGGTAACAACATTCAAGGCTTCTGCACAGCTTTAAAAACTTGTGGAGGATGAATTCCAAATTTGATGCTTCAGTGACAAAGAATATGTCCGATGCAATTCTCTATTTCGATAAGTACCAGGCTCCCATGTTTTGTCCTGCATGTGTTTGTGATGGGTGTCACTGGTGACGTAGAGTACAATCACCTTCTCGCGAGCACCTGGTACGATCACTTTTCCTCAGTGATTCATGTATGCTTATGGTATAGTCGGAATCGTACAATAGACTCAGCTTTCAGCAGATCATTTCTGACGATTATGGAAATGGTTGCCGCTTTTATTGACATCGTTCAAGCGGGACGACCTTCTTGGATGTCCCGGATGACACACAGCTGTCCTGGAGTAGCATCATAACCCATCTATACTCCAGTACGAGATCAATACACACAATGTCGTTAACCCGATACAGCTGACTCAATAAAACGTTCCTGACAATCTCACAATGCGCTAGATTTAGAGGCCCAGTGGACTAAGGTGCCATAATTCACAGTGTAGAATTGCTTCTCTTGGTTGAGTTAGGATCCGATGATCGTGGGTTCAAAGTCCAAGATGTGTCCCCATTATGAGTGAGTG